TTTACTGGTACCGGAGATTTGTTTGCCTCACTCTTTTTGGCCCACAGTTATCAAACTTCAAATTTGGGCTTAGCTCTTGAGCGTACTATTGCTTCTTTGCAAGCTGTTATTAAACGCACTATAGATACAATGCCAGCCGAAGTTCGCAATGGAGAACGCAAGGTAACATCGTTTGAACGTGAATTGAAATTGATTCAAAGTAAAACGGAATTGGAAAATCCCCAGATAGTTTTACATGTTGAACAAATAAATTAATATAATTAAGCATTTAAATAACATTGTTGTAATCACTGCTGTTGAGAAATTTGTTTGTTTTATCTTCTTATCAGCAAAACTTCTGACAATAATTAGGTAGCTATATTCTATATGATGTATACTATATATTTTACCCTGCACATTTATATGAAATACTAACACAATGTAAAAATAAAAGAATTATTACCACTTTATAAGTAAATACATACATATGTGTATTTAGTAATTATTATAGTTAAAAATAATTTTATTTAAAAATGGTTTTTATGACAAGTTTTTATGTATTATACAATTTGATAACTGTTTCAGTTTTTGTTTAGTGTTTGAACACAAACCAAGAAAATTCAAACAAATTTGATTTTTTCCAATTTTGCTTCGAAATTTTAAATCTGGCAATTCGATTTTTTTCAAATATACAACCACAGAGCGTATTTTTAAAATTTTTATTTTATAAAAGGTTTATAAAACAAAATTTCCATACAAAATCTAATTTATAAACTGTTTATAAAATAAAAATTTTGTTTGTGAATAAGGGAGTTAAAATTATTTATTTCCCCCTTATTCACAAAACAAATTTTTATTTTATAAAAGGTTTATAAAACAAAATTTCCATACAAAATCTAATTTATAAACCGTTTATAAAATAAAAATTTTGTTTGTGAATAAGGGGATTCGAATATAACTTGAAATTTTCGTATGGAATTTTGAAAATTCGAAAATTACAAAACAAGAACTGAGAACAACTCAGATGTCTAGATTTCAGCATGTTTGAGCTACAAGAAGTGGTTTAAAAATTCAGTTGAAGTTTTTAAAAACATATTAAAATAACTTCGAATTTAATTATATACATAATAACCCATTCAGACGAATTTGGGCTCTAAATTACAAACGAAATCTTACCTGTTCAGACTGGTATTTTTGACATATGAATGGATTTTGCTTCCATAAATTGAATAAGAATGTTTGGTCTTTGTTTTGAAACTTTTATTATTTTTCGTTTTATTAATTGTTTTAAAAATAGGTATTTTTACACTATGACAGGGATGTTAATTGCAATTTAAAGTTAGTTTCAATGATTTTAAGCAAAATTACTTGGTTTCAAATTAACAAATGTATGGGAAATTACTTAATTTCGAGTATATTGAATTTCGAGTCGATTGATATCTCGAAATTACTCAATTTAGTTTGGTCTGAATGTACTATAACATATGTATAACAAATTTGTTAACATTTAAACAAATATTAGTGTTGTCATCACTGCCCTATGCAATACAACCCTGTCTAAATACAGTGCTACCAACATAAAGTGACAGAGAAAAATTTGAATTTTTCAAACGCTTATTCCAAAAACAACAACGAATACAGCATTTTGTTTGTGAAAAAATTATTTATTTTTATAGAAAATAAGAAAAAATTTTAAATATTAGAAACATGTCCACGGAGCAAAAAAATATTAAAGTTGTGGTGCGTGTTAGGCCATATAATCGACGAGAACTGGAGCAAAATCAAAGAACTATTATAAAAGTAATGGATCAAACAACGCTTTTGTTCGATCCTGATGAGGACGAAGATGAATTTTTCTTTCAAGGAGTTAAGCAAAATCATCGTGATATCACCAAGAAAGTAAATAAAAAATTATCCATGGAATATGATCGTGTTTACGATACTGATACAACTAATATGCAAATATTTGAAGAATGTACAGCACCGCTGGTTGACTCTGTGTTAAATGGGTAAGCAAACCAATGCAAAAATATATATAATTTACTAAATTAATTTATTTTTGCTAGTTACAATTGTTCTGTATTCGTTTATGGTGCTACGGGAGCTGGCAAAACATTTACCATGCTTGGTAGTACAACAAGTCCTGGTCTTACATTCCTCACAATGAGAGATCTCTTCGATAAAATAGAAGCACAAAGTGATGTACGCAAATTCGATGTAGGCGTCAGTTATTTGGAAGTGTATAATGAACAAGTTATGAATCTTTTAACTAAAACGGGCCCTTTAAAATTACGCGAAGATTCGAATGGTGTTGTGGTTAGTGGTTTAGTTCTAAAGCCAATCTATAGTGCCGAAGAACTGTTGGAACTTTTGGCATTGGGGAATTCAAATCGTACTCAACATCCCACCGATGCTAATGCAGAAAGTTCACGTTCACATGCTGTATTTCAAGTGCATATACGTATAACAGATCGCAAGACCGGTACAAAACGTATGGTGAAATTATCCATGATAGATTTAGCTGGCAGTGAACGGGCAGCCAGTACAAAGGGTATAGGTATACGTTTTAAGGAAGGAGCTAGTATTAACAAAAGCCTATTAGCACTTGGAAATTGTATAAATAAATTAGCTGACGGTTTGAAACATATTCCCTACAGAGATTCAAATTTAACGCGTATCTTAAAAGACTCTTTGGGGGGCAATTGTCAAACATTAATGGTGGCAAATGTTTCTATGAGTTCTCTAACATATGAAGACACCTACAACACGTTAAAGGTACGATTGTATTGAATAAAAAATGACAGATTAAGCAATAATTCAATATTTTAAATATATATATTTTTTAGTATGCCAGTCGTGCGAAAAAGATACGTACTACTTTGCGACAGAATGCCTTAAAAACAAATATGCCAAAGGAATTCTATGTGAAGAAGGTTAACGAACTAATGGACGAAAATGAACGTCTTAAACAGACTAATTCAGCTTTAGAGGCTAAGGCCAATAAGGCTACTACATTTGATGAATCCGAACTTAAACCCTGGTACAGTCGTATTGATCAAATTTACGCTTCGATTGTTAAAACACAAGAAATATATATTAGTATAAAGAGTCGAGTGAAAAATCTAACATTTCGCATAAAACTTAAAACGGACATGGAAAATTCACGAAAAATATTATACGGAGATTGTGAATCCCAGGAGGTAAGTTATTATAAAAATGCTATATTTGTAAGTTTTTAAATATTGTTTAAATTAATTTTTTAATGGGGTAAATAGTGAGTATTTTTAAAGCAATTGAGCAATATTCAAAGATATCATAAATGGAAAAAATATTTTCCAAATGTGAAGTTTTTTTGAAAGTGATCCAGAAAAGAATTAGGAACATGAAAAATAAAATTATTCGTCCATCCACTGTTACAAGAATCTTTTCATTAAAATTTTTAGATACATTTAGGAATAAAACGCAAAAAATAAAGTGAAGAGTTTTGAATAAAAATATGTGAATATCTTTATTTAGATATAACACTAAAAATTATACAAAAATAATTAGAATTCTGCTGATTAATGAAAAATATTTCATAAAAAATTATATATCTATATACAGAATTATAGCAGCTACACATCATCTGTATGTCACCTTAGCAAGCAAATTGATAAACTAACAGCGGAAATTGAGTGCTGGCGCCAAAAACTCCGTAATCTTTATAAGAATTTGGACAAGATAAAAGCCGAAATAAAATCATCAAAATATGGAAATTTTCTACAGATTTATTTAAAATATAAAAATTCTGAAATTCAAAATTCCAAAAAGTCTTTAATTAACAAACATATTACTGCCATAGATTTGGAATTAAGTGCAAAAGCAACTTGGTTACAAACATCTTTCAATTTAGCAAGTCAAGTTATTAAGAATGGTAATCTAAATACACAGCAAAGGTATCACTATGAACTATTGGAACGGCATCTTAGTAATACTAATATTAGCAATGAAGTTGATGATGAGGTTAAAGGAGAAAATAACATTAGTTATAGCACACAGCCAGCATCAAGCGATGAAGATGTTGATCATCCAACTGGTACAAGATCATGCAATAAACGTTTACGTTTAGACGAGTACGATTTGGATGATACAGATGATATAAATGGTTCTAGTGCTGATGATGGAGTTGAAGATGATGATGATATGGTTGATATGCACACCACATTTAAAATGCCTGCAAAAAGACCTCGTAATCCTAATGAAACTCATGTTTTGAGCGAAATGGACACAAACGGAAATGCTACATTTTATATGGGTCCTTCTACGTCATCCACAGCGAGGACAAAAATCAACACAAAGAATGGCAAAGAGTTAACGATGGCCAAATCAAATATAGTTTCAAATATGATATCGGATAAAATGGTGAAAGCAACATCCAATGCGGAACAACTAAAGAATGGTAGGTGGCTTTAAAACTCTGTGTCTCTAAACATTTTTCTATACATTACTACATATCCTTTCAGTTCTTTTGAAATCCAAGAAATTCTCTCATGCTACTCTAAGGACAGTAGCTGGTGGTCTGCAAAAAGAAAACAAAAAATTTAGTCCGAATCGTGTAAGAAAAAGTCCTCGCACACTCTTAAGTAAAGGTAAGGAAACTCGTTAATAATGTGTATGTATGTATTAAATTATCTTTTTTTTAATTTTCTACTTTTTAATACAGCTGCTTCCACCCAACGTCAAACATCACGCTTAGCTAACGATGATGCTGCTCCAGTTGTCAGATTAAATAGGGCAGCTTCGTTTAGAACAAAGAAATAATCAAATTGCCTATTTTTTTCCTGAAAAAGAGTAAAGTGCAGATTTGTCCATTTTTGATACGATTTTGCTTTAAACAAATCTGATTTTTGCATGATTCAAACAAGTTTTAACTTTATATTTTATAATATAATTCTATGTATATATGTAATTTATTTCATTTAACATTATAAACGAGCCTAAAAGGTCATTTATAGCTAAAAAAAAATTCTACTGGATAAATACACAAATATATATATGTATTTTTATTAAATTTTATTAAAACAATATGTCTTTCCTTAATTAGTACAATTTAAACATACATTAGTTTTTTATTTGTTACAAGTCACTTGTAGAAATTACCATTTCCAACCAAACCAATTGGCTGGGACAAAGACAATAAACGGTTAAATAATGCCACACCGCCAAATAAAATATATGATAAAACTGCGAAATGTATTAATAAAAATATTGCTTGAGCTACAAAAAAATTATAAGATCCAAATAATGATGTTGAGTGTTGCAGATTTTGGGTTTTGCATAAATAACTATCTGCATGTTTATTTGAGGCGGCTGGACCTGTAGACAGAAATGTTGTTAATCTTTCCCAATTATTCTTCTCTAACGGTTTAATTATTCCACTATTTTCTTCGTATATATTCAATGCTTGTTTATCCTTTGAGCTGTAGGCGTTTTTACTGCTTAATACAATATTTTGTAACGATTCCTCTAATACTGCATCTTGTTTTTTCTGTGATTTTAAGGTATAAGGTAAAAATGTAGTATTTGTTTCCTCCAGTTCTTTAGCTGTAATAGCAAGTGTTGTTAGCAGCAGTTGTGTTATATGTATTAAATACATGTTTAATACATTAAATATCTATTGTAGTAATAATAGGCTTTTTTAAAATGCACTGCTATGTCGCTTATTTATATACCATTGTAAATGTTCATTTCAGTGATTTTTGATGCACAAGTTGTCTGTTTATATTTTGATGAACATTATAGGTACATATGTATGTATTTATAATAGACTTTTAGGTAAATATTGAATTTAAGGTTCACTAATTTTTAAAGGTTTTGAAAAGAATACAAAAAGAAGAAATTCAATTAAATTAACAAAAAGGTGATTATTTGTAAAGAAAAATATAAAATTTGTGCAAAAAATTATAATTATGTTCATATGTATATATCGTCACCTGAAACGCAAACGCCCTAACCATGATACAACCAGTAAAAGGTAGAATCAGTAGGGAGAGTTATCAATTTTCTGCCTTGTTATGTCAAATATAGAAGAACTAAAAAGAGAAAAACTTCAAAATATTCAAATGAAAAACCACGAAAAATACCATGAAATATTACTTGAACGGCACACGCAAGCAGTATTCCACACTTGTATGTCCGTATTTTGATTTCCAACGGTTTTGCGTTCTTTTTTATTCAAACTATTAAATTTTATTTTTTTTTCACAAAAATTTTCCAATAATTTTCATTTGATGTTTTGTTTTATATTTTTTAATTTTCTATTTTGTGACAATTCAAGGCATGTAAAATTGAGAACGTACTCTTCTACTGATTCTACCTTCTAATTGTTGTATTATGGCCCTAACTAACCAAAAATTCAAAATCGATTTTATTGTTGATTATAATGTATTGAATCAAAACAAATGTCTACAGAAGAAATTGGACTCCTCCGACCCAAATTAGCGAATTTATTGACAAAAAACAAAAGGCCCTATCTATAAAAACATTTAAATATTAAAGGTAAAAAGTCCAATTTATCCATTTTTATATACGACATTGTCACCTATCATAACAACTGATAGGTTTCACTATTAAACAACTTGTTTATTTATTACAAATAAATCGCGTTGATAGAAACAAACTTTTCAATTTAAATAGTTTTTTGCTTCTCCTGTAAAATTTTCAAAATGTTAGATAGGGCCGTTTGCATTTTAGGTGACGATATGTAGATCCGAATAACATCAAAAGAACTACATATAACACAAGATTTCTTACTTTCTATACATATTTGTATTAGGATGGCCCGTTTGGAGAGAAAATAAATGACTTATGTTCCCTCCGAAAATCAAATAATAATTGACTTCTCAATAGGCCACGAACAAGGAAAAATCCACGAACAAATTGCAAAAATAAACAAATGAGAGTTTTATATTCGACTATGCCGAATCTTATATAACTACCATCAAAGCGTTGTAAATTAAATTAAATTACGAAGGTGGTCCTATATGTATATGGGCTTATCATATGAACGGTGGCTTGATTCAGTTATGTACCGAGCTCTGTAGAATTTAAAATAGTGAATAATGATTTCCAATAAGTAATTTTTTCCATAATTTTTGAACGATTGTGGTCAATTATGGTCCAAAATATGTAAAACTATAAAAATATGAACCATAAAGTCATTTTCTGAAATGGACCTTTTATAGTTAGTTAGGTCAATAATGGACCGAACCTTATAATTAACTAATTTATTACCATTTAAACAGAATTTCAGAGTACCACTTTTGTATGGGGGTTCGGTAAAATCATGGACCTATATTGCTCTTTTTCAATCAATAGAGAATTATTGTATAAGATAGAGGTTTTATATTTAAATGGAATCTAAAACATTTTACTACTAATACAAAATTTAAAATTAAAACAATAGTACTTTTCTAACATTACCAAATTTTATTAAATTTCAAACAATTCCAACAAACTTCACCATTTTTCCAGTTCAGTCTTCTATTGTACATTCAAAAGTGTTAAGAATTATTTAAGAATCACCTAACAATTCCTTTTGTTTCACTTGCAACATTTTATCGGCTTCGGCTATATACTTATCAGCTATGGCAGTAATTTGATTTTGAACACCAAACATATCATCTTTCGAAATATCAGATTGTTTTTTCAGCTTCTTAATGTTTGAATTTTGTATATCTTTAATGGTATCACGATATTTAATAAATAAAGTCTTGGCATTCTTTGAGAGATTTTCACGATGTTCTTTTGTAACTTTTGGTATGGGTATAAAGAGAGTGGTACCATCTTGTTGGGGATTCAAGTTCATGCCACTTTTTTCAATGGCTTTCAAAACATCCGGTATAGTCTGGGGAAAGGCAATCATATTAACAACAATCGTTTTGGGATTTTTACGTGAGATTTGAGCCAGCTCCTGCAGTTCATGCTCTGTTCCATCGACTGTAACGCGTAGTGTATCAATAGCACCCGTAGTTGAACGTAGCGATAAATGCTTGATAAAATCATCTTTCATTTGTTGTACTGCCTTTTGCATTTGTGTATTTAGGGCATCATAATTGATAATTTCTCTTAATTGCGATTCATTGATTTCAACTTTAGCGGCTTTTTTGCCACCTTTCTCCTTTTTTTTATCCTTGGTTTTTGCGTAACACAACTTTGTTGTGGATAACAATCTCGTCTGTTGCAAAGCGGCTGGAGCGAAAAAAGTTAGTTGACTTTTTACGTTCGTTTTATTAAGAACGGATATTTGTCCCCTTACAGCAATATTTCGTAATAAAGGAGTAATTTTTGTAGAAATCATTATTTTTATTAAAAATTTATAAGATTTTGTTTTTTTGTTGTTTCAATTTCGCCAAAAATTTATTATAATTTGACATTTCTACTTATTTTTGCACATTCGAAAGAGTTGCCGTCTTTTTTTAATCCAGCTGTTTTGGAGGTAAACAAATTTTTATTAAAAAAAAAAAGTAAAAGCGAAAAGTAAAACACCATTTTTTAAACAAAATCAGTTTTATTAAAAAAATATGTAGCATTACATTAATATATATACAGATGAGTGTGAAAGTATAATTATCTGTTGAAAAATTGTTTTAACAATAAAAATGCAATCATTGTATGGTCATGTTCTTTGTTAAAAACATAATCAAAATAAATAGTTATAACTTTTTTGAATTATGCAAAAATTGGCGATTTCTTTCTTCAAAATTTAGAATTGCTCCATCCCCCTTCGAAAAATTTGACGAACAGATTTATTTGGCTAACTTTACGATAAAACGCAATAAACAATTCTACTAGTAGCCTTCTCCAAAATCTTCATCCAACCTATACCAACATATAGGAAGTTGAGATCCCGGATTCTTCTCCTAAGTTTTGTTTGGTAGTATACCAATACACAATATATTCAGTGGGAGGAACCGCAACATGTTACAGTTAACCGACGTTAACCATCCAACGACAACGGCAAATCTGGCTATTTTTTGGTTCTAAACGAAGCTGCCCTATTTAATCTGACAACTGGAGCAGCATCATCGTTTGCTATGCGTGATGTTTGACGTTGCTTTATTTGGATGGATGCAGCTGTATTAGGAATTGGAAAATTAGTAAAAATAATAATAATTATTATTATAAATTATTAAAGAGTTTCCTTACCTTTACTTACGACATTACGAGGACTCTTTCTTACACGATTCGGACTAAATTTTTTGTTTTCTTTTTGCAAACCACCAGCTACAGTCCTAAGAGTAGCATGTGAAAATTTCTTGGACTTCAAAAGAACTAAAACCATAAATGTTTATATATAATGGTAATTGGGAATGTATTGAAAGAAAGACCATTGTTGAAGACACTTACCATTCTTTAATTGTTCCGCATTGGATGTTGCTTTCACCATTTTATCCGATATCATATTTGAAACTATATTTGATTTGGACAACGTTAACTCTTTGCCAATCTTTGCGTTAATTTTTGTCCTCACTGTTAAAGTTGATGACTTAGAAGAACCCATATAAAATGTAGCATCTCCATTAGTATCCATTTCACTCAAAACATGAGTTTCGTTAGGATTACGGGGCCTTTTTGCAGGCATTTTAAATGTGGTATGCATATCATCCATACCAACGTCATCTTCATCATCAACGGCATCATCCGCACTAGAACCATTTATATCATCTGTATCATCCAAATCATACTCGTCTAAACGCAAACGTTTACTGCATGATCTTATAATATATTGATGATCAACATCTTCGTCACTTGATGCTGGCTGTGTACTAGAATCTATAGAATTTTCTCTTCCAACATCATCATCAACATCATTGCTAAAATTGGTGTTACTAAGATGCCGTTTCAATAGTTCATAATGACACATTTGTTGCGTATTAAGATTACCATTCTTAATAACTTGACTTGCTAACTTAAAAGATGTTTCTAACCATGTTGCTTTTGCACATAATTCCAGATCTATTGCTGTAATGTGTTTATTAATTAAAGATATTTTGGAATTTTGAACTTCAGAGTTTTTATATTTTAAATAAATCTGTAGAAAAGACGCGTATTTAGATGATTTTATTTCTGTTTTTATATAATCCAAATTCTTATAAACACTGCGGAGTTTTTGGCGCCAGCACTCAATTTCCGCCTTAAGTTTATCAATTTGATTGCTTATATGACATACAGATGATGTGTAACTGGTGCAATTCTGTGTATGGAAACATAATTTTAAGAAATATATTTCGTTAATTAGCAGATTTATAATTATTTGAAGTGTTTGTATAATTTTTAATTCCGAATTAGTATCCTTTCAGTGTTATATCGGATAATTTCCACATATTTTTACAATGTCTACAATTTCTTTAGATATTGTTTTAAACAGCGGATGGACGAACAATTTTTTCCAATTTGTCCCTGCTTACTGTGATATCAAACATTTCTTATTATTAATAGTTAGGCACTATTTAAAAAATTGCATGTCCTAGTTCACTTTGATAAAAACAAGTGAACGAAAATTTTTCCGTTTAGGAGTTTCGGTATATACATACATAGAAATATTGAAATCGTGTAGAGTATTTTTTAAATCTTAATTTTCGTGATAACTTTACCCCTAAACATAAAGCTTGGTTTAAAAATTTACTACTTTTTCCAATTAAAAAATTAAAATATACATTTTTTAATCTACTAATATGACCTTTTGAAACTACTTACCTCCTGCGATTCACAATCTCCGTATAATATTTTTCGTGAATTTTCCATGTCCGTTTTAAGTTTTATACGAAATATTAGATTTTTCACTCGACTCTTTATACTAATATATTGTTCTTGTGTTTTAACAATCGAAGCGTAAATTTGATCAATACGACTGTACCAGGGTTTAAGTTCGGATTCATCAAATGTAGTAGCCTTATTGGCCTTAGCCTCTAAAGCTGAATTAGTCTGTTTAAGACGTTCATTTTCGTCCATTAGTTCGTTAACCTTCTTCACATAGAATTCTTTTGGCATATTTGTTTTTAAGGCATTCTGTCGCAAAGTAGTACGTATCTTTTTCGCACGACTGGCATACTAAAAAAATTATATTTAAAATATTTAATTATTGCTTAATCTGTCATATTTTATTCAATACAATCGTACCTTTAACGTGTTGTAGGTGTCTTCATATGTTAGAGAACTCATAGAAACATTTGCCACCATTAATGTTTGACAATTGCCCCCCAAAGAGTCTTTTAAGATACGCGTTAAATTTGAATCTCTGTAGGGAATGTGTTTTAAACCGTCAGCTAATTTATTTATACAATTTCCAAGTGCTAATAGGCTTTTGTTAATACTAGCTCCTTCCTTAAAACGTATACCTATACACTTTGTACTGGCTGCCCGTTCACTGCCAGCTAAATCTATCATGGATAATTTCACCATACGTTTTGTACCGGTCTTGCGATCTGTTATACGTATATGCACTTGAAATACAGCATGTGAACGTGAACTTTCAGCATTAGCATCAGTGGGATGTTGAGTTCGATTCGAATTCCCCAATGCCAAAAGTTCCAACAGTTCTTCGGCACTATAAATTGGCTTTAGAGCTAAACCACTAACCACAACACCATTCGAATCTTCGCGTAATTTTAAAGGCCCCGTTTTAGTTAAAAGATTCATAACTTGTTCATTATACACTTCCAAATAACTGACGCCTACATCGAATTTGCGTACATCACTTTGTGCTTCTATTTTATCGAAGAGATCTCTCATTGTGAGGAATGTAAGACCAGGACTTGTAGTACTACCAAGCATGGTAAATGTTTTGCCAGCTCCCGTAGCACCATAAACGAATACAGAACAATTGTAACTAGCAAAAAAAAAAATTAAGTAAATTATACATATTTGTGCATTGGTTTCCTTACCCATTTAACACAGAGTCAACCAGCGGTGCTGTACATTCTTCAAATATTTGCATATTAGTTGTATCAGTATCGTAAACACGATCATATTCCATGGATAATTTTTTATTTACTTTTTTAGTGATATCACGATGATTTTGCTTAACTCCTTGAAAGAAAAATTCATCTTCGTCCTCATCAGGATCGAACAAAAGCGTTGTTTGATCCATTACTTTTATAATAGTTCTTTGATTTTGCTCCAATTCTCGCCGATTATATGGCCTAACACGCACCACAACTTTTATATTTTTTTGTTCTGTTGACATTTTTTCCACAATTTATTCCTTATTTTTTATAAAAAGCAATTAATTTTTATACACAAATAATTGTTTTCTTTTAAAAATGATGCTTTCGTTGTTGTTTTTTTTTCAAATAGGCGTTTGGAAAATTCAAATGTGCTGTCACTTTAATATGTTGGTAGCACTGCATGTGCATAGAGTTGTATTTTATAAAATGGAGATAACGTAAAGACATAGGTTGGGCCCTGCCGTTATTTCGACACCCACGATCATTTGTTTATCTCTGTAGATCTATCTATCTATCTACATCAAAGGGGATTAACATCAGATTGAATTTGTTTTTAGATTATCTAATCTGATTATTAGTTGGCATTTGATTGCGGAAACTTTTTGGTAATATTTTTATTCTTTTACTAATATTTTTCGAATTTTTTATAATATTAAACTAAACATAAAATTGGACAAGCAGCTTCCTGATTGTATAAAAATCTGTATGCGAAGAATTTCTGGTTGAAAATTAAACATGCATCATCCTGATTTTTTTTTCAGTATTGAACCTAGAAACAAGTATGAAAATTTTTAAAAGGGGACTTTTTGATATTGCATTTACAATAATAATATTTATTTTATTCCATTACGATGAGGGTAGCTAAGCACACTGGGTATAGCTAGTTTCATTTCATAAAGAAATTATCGCTAAAATAGGAATAGTCAGCCTTTAGAGTTATGAGTTTTCACACTCTTTAATAATGTTATCAAATTGAGACTTTTGGAATATTTTTAACCTCTTTGTGATATTTTAAATTGATGTTGTTCTGGTTCTCATTATCCCTAACATACTTATTTTTTCATTTAGGGCTGGGGAGCACATTTGATAGTTTTGTAACATAAAATTTATTGAAAATTTATGTATTTACACTTATGTAGGTTTATTAAATTACTGATGTCTGTTCTGAAAATGGAATCGGTTTCTAAAACCGATAAACTTTTAAAACCGAATTTGGTGTTCTGCAAATCGAATTGTTATTTGAACGTAAAAGTCACAAAAATAAACACAAAAATAGAAAAATAATTCTTTAATTTATTAGAATAAAATTAATTTTTAAACTTGAAATTTACTCGGATTCAGTTGACAGAACAGAGAAAACTATGTAATATTATTTTGGCCAAATTGGCTTTTTTATTACTGAATAAATATATAAATAAAATATCTTTTTAGTATATAGTATATAGATTACACTATGCGCCAAAAATGTTTTTAATTTTTAAGAATTAATCAAATTTAAAGTATTTTTTTTAATTCTTTAAATTTTTTTATTTTCATTCCATTCCTGCATAATTTCTCACACAACTTTTGTGCTTACTCTTTTTTTTTTTTTGGTATAAATTATATACAAAATCCCACTTTTTTATCCCTCGGATTCCGCTTTTATTTAAAATCTTTGAAAATTTTAAAGTTAATCGTATTTACGAACTTAGCCGGCTTACAGTCGATTTTAAGCTGCCGTCGATTTTTTTAGTGTCTGCCGACGCCGTCCTTAATATTTGTCGACGCAGGGCTCTGGTCGCCATTTTTATTTTTACAATTTTTTTGACAAGAGAGATTTGCGTCCTTTTTTGCAAAAAAATATAAAAAAGATTTAACTAAAATTTTAACAGAGTAAAAAGTTCACAAAAAAAACTAATTTGTAAATACCGTTTACACAAAAACAAATCAAAAAGATATACATATAAAATAGAAAAATATGAGTGGAAAAGTATTATTTGCGTGCTCAAAGTGTTTCTCGAGGCATCCATTTGAGGAATTATCGTCGGGAACTCAACTTTGCAAGGTGATGATAAATACAAAAAAACAATGTTATAATATTAGTTAACAAAATATTTACATGAATGGTGATACATATAATTTTCAATAAATGAAATAATTTTATTAAAATGTATGACACGCAAAAAAAAAGCTAAAAATTTTGTTTTCGTTTAAGACGCGGTAAAATTAGGAATAATGATTTTGTGCCTTTTTACGACAATAAAGCAAGATGTAGTTCGGCATCACCGGTCGTATGATACCCTACAAGATTTTTTAAAATAGTTTACGAAAGTTGGCCTTACATGATTCTCACGTTTAATATTATGATTTTAATAGATTTTGATCATTGAGATATATATTTTTTCAAATAAATTAAATGAGTCGAAAAAGTAATTTTGAAATTGTACGTGATACAAACACATTTTATTGCCATGAATATATTTATATACATATGTATGTAGTAGGGTACAAAAATGCATTTATACACTGAAAAAACTGATTTTGCTATATACACCGATAAAAGAAAATTACTAATTTTATTTCATGTATATTTTTTTAGAATTGTCGTGGTTCCACCTCCGTGGTTAAATGTTCTTATTGTCGTTCAGAATTTCAACCAAATTCGTAAGTACAACAAATTGTTTTTATTAATAAATTTATTTTTGTATTTAACTTAACTTCTATTGTCCTTTAAATATATAGGAAATCTCAGAATATTTGCAAAAAATGTGAACATAATCTGAGTAAATACGGTAAACCCAGTGCCTGTGAGTGTTGTAAAATTGTTGCTGCTTTTGGTAACTCCAAGTGCATGAGGTATGTTAAAATTTTCTCTAATTTATTTTTGATTTTTTCAATCAAATTTTCAAAATTTATTCAATATGTAATTTAAACACTTGAAAATATATTGAGTACACAATATGCATACATTTTTGAGAAATAATAAGATTTTAGTAGTTATTTCCAAAAGACACTCAGCTTAAGTTAAAGAAATAATTTTTGTCATTTAGTAATAATTAGCATTAATATGAAAGCAGTTTGGGTCAAAAAATATAAAGTTATTTAAAAAGCATCGACAGAATTAAACAGCATTTTTTTCATTATGATGATTATAAACTCGCATAAGTAGTGTTTGTTAACAAAAAAATCATATATTTTTAAAGATATTAGCATTACAAAAATCTTAAACCTATTCTTAAATATATGCAATAAAATTGTCCAGGGCTTTCGAAATTAATTGTGTATTCAATAACTAAATCAACATATTCGAATAAAATTTTGAGATATACTTGTGTCTATAACAAACATTAAATTTTATTTTTTATTTAAATTCATCGTTTTATGAACGCAAACATTTTTCTTCTTCTCTTTTTCTACATATATATAAAACGCACAAAAAAATAAAATGATCTTACATAAATTTCAACATATTGATGATTGGACAAACCCTCAACTATCAACCACCTTTTAACTATATTACAAAACTTAAAGATGTGCAAGCTACGAGGCCAGATATGGACCACCAGTACAGTGTGACGAATGCAAACTAAGATCAGCTTTCGATCGACGTGATGAAAATAAAAAGGTGTGAATAGAATTGCTATTAATACAATGAAATAAAAAAAAGTAGATATGCCTTTCTTAAGGACATACAGTAGTTTGTATTAAAATGTTTTTAAATGTATATAGAATTTTGCTGCTAACTGTAGTTATTTGTATTAGTCTATTTATTTAAAACTAAAAAATGTAGTTTAAAGTTAAAGTATGTTTGCGTTCATAAAGTATTTGTTATAGCTGCTACTTATTTATGTATGTAATTGCAAAACATTTTATATGATTTATATTATTTATTTTAGGTTAATGGAAAATTGCTGTGTTGGCTTTGTACCTGTGCATATAAGCGGGCTTATTTAAAAGCCCAACAGGAGGGTCGAATATCATCCAAAAAAAGGCCTCATGAAAAATCACATCGCGATAGTTCTACTGCTTCGGCTAAAAAACCCTCCCGTAGTGATATTAGCAAAACAAATAGTAGCAATACAAGTGTTGCTGTATCGGCTGTAAGTGCAGCTGGCCTCGATATGCCAGAAAAAATATCACGTACTGGTTCATCAGGCAGTGGTAACGGCAGTATAGGTTTAGGATCAATTGCTGCACCAGCTGTGGTGAGTATTGATCCAAATTCCGCCGATCACGTTGTGGCAATGACAACTTTAAAGGAGCGTATTGCTAGTCTGGAGAAGCGTTTGGCACAAAAGGACAAAGAGTTGTTGGAAAAGGATAAATTGGTAATTTATTGAAATACATAATGTTTAAAATTATAAAATCGTTATTTTCTTTCTTTTTATTCTAATTTATTAAGCTTACCGAACTCAAGGGTAAAAACTTTGAAAAAGAGAATGAGATGCGTAACAAATTAAGGGATATCGATAGATTAAATGAAATGAAAGTGGATAATTTAAACAGAAAAGTTGCATCTCTACTTAAGGAGGTGGCTACGCTAAAGAAGAGCAACAAAAAGAATAATGGAGGTGGAGCTAGTGCAGCTATGGCTGCAAATCGAGAAAAGGAAAGAGAAAAACGTGAACGTGAGAATGTTTCGCCCAAAGAGGAAATAACTGCTGCCAGCACAGCAACTGAATCATCGGATAAAGATGACGAAAAGGACGATGCTAAGGAAGACATTAAAAGCGAAGATTCGCGTGATTCCCGTATCAGTACTAAAGAAGAGGCCAAACCTTCGAAAGTGGAGGATGAAGTTAAAGAAGAAGATGCCGAAGAAGATGAAGAGAAAGAAAAGCGTGAGGAACGTGAGAAAAGCGTTAAGAGCGAAAAAAGCGACAAGAGTGAAAAGAGTGTTAAAAGTGAGAAAAGTGTCAAAAGCGATAAAAGCGAAACCAACAAGGAAGAAGACGTTGAACGTTCAGGAAATCGTTCTCGTTCGGGTTCAAGATCAGTATCACGTTCAGCATCTAGATCTAAATCTCGTTCCCGTTCACAATCGCGTTCTCGTTCGCGCTCTCGTTCACATTCTCAATCACGATCTCGTTCAGGATCTCGTTCACGTTCTGGTTCACGTTCACCATCTCGTTCGCGCTCTAATTCACCAGATTCCAATTAAACAACGACAGAGACTTTTCTTATTTTATTTCCTCAATTTTATTAAGTGTTTTTAGAACAGCTAATACACAATTTTATTTTCTGATTTTTCAAGTTTTTTTTTTTTTTTTTTGGAATATTACAAACATTTAATTAAAATGTACTGATTAAAAGTTTAGAGTAAAATAAAGTTATGACGCTCTTTCCTCAATAAAACACAGATATTTATGTATGTTTGGTTAGCCGATTAAAGACTTTTTTTCGTATAGCTTTAGACTTTTTATAATGTGTTTATTTTTTTTTTTTTTTAATGTTTTACAACACCTTTCTTATGTTTTTCTTTTGCTCTCTTTCTATAATTATAATTCCTTAAAGTCGTATTTTATATATTTTTTTATTCATGATTATTCTTAAGTTAATATTTTTTATATTCCTTTTAATTATAATTAAATTATAATATAGTTCAATTTTATTAATTTTCTTTTTAATGCTCGATTTGTACTTGGTTCCAGAAGAAGTAATGGACAATGAAAAAAGAAAAACTAGTTCACGGGAAAGATTTTTTAAGTTGCCTACAATTGCTACTACTCTATACTCTTTCATTATTTAGTTTAAGATGACTATTTAATTTTTGTAATTAAATTTATATTTTAATTGGAAAAAACACATACAACTTTAATACGTTAATAAAAATAAAAAAGCAGATTCAACATTTTTTTTTTATTAAAATATCAAACCTTTAATCGAGGGCGTTCCCTAATTCATTTTTATAAATTTTGAAATCCTACAAAGAATGATTTGTATACATATACACAAAACATATTCGTGTATTTTAGATTAAGGTTTCAGTTGGCAATAGGATTTTTATTGATATTAGATTTATTATCTATATGTTCAAAATTTGGTGGTAATGTCAATATTAACAATAAATCCATTTTCCGGCATAATGAGACAAAATGAGTTGAAATAGTTGCTAATAGTAATATTTTAACGGGTTCATACCTCCGTCATTTATGGACAAATTTTGAATATTTAAAATAGGAAACTTCACTTATTGAAGGAACAGACAGACGGAGATGGTTATAAGGACTCCGCAATATATAAGGACTTTATAGGGTCTGAAATTATAAATATATACCTTGCAAATAAAATTCAGTCTTCATAAGCTCTGCTGCCTCACAAATAGTGATTTATATAAAATTATAAATTATCCAGTAAGATTTAAAATGACATTATTTAATTCAATGTTATACCTTTTTAATGGACTTATTGTATACAATAATAGCTTGTATTAAAAACAAACAAAGAATAATTAAACAATATTTATATCAACAATATGGAAACTGCGAGCATCCATATAATATATTTTAATGAGGTTTAGGTGTATGACCATCTACATAAAAGTTACGAGTAGCCTTTGGTAATGTTAATTCAATGCCATCCAGTTCTTTCGTTAGTATGATTTGACAGCCTAAACGTGAATTTTCTTTAAGAAACGGTGCCATATCTAGTAAATCATCTTCTTTTTCCTCGGCCTCCGGCAACTTGTCTAGGTAGTCATCATGTACATAAACATGACATGTGGTACATGCTAGAGAAGCTTCACAAGCACCTGCAAGTTTATGGATTAAAATTATTCAACATATGTAAATAAAACTTCTAAAGGTAAATCTATTATTACCCTCCATTTCAATTTCATAACGATGAGCCAAATATAAAACATTATCCCCAATTTTACCCTTCACCTCAGTTCGCTTGCCATTTTTATCGATATAGGTAACTCGTACACTGAAATTATATTCAAAATTTTTATTTTGTTTAATATTTTTCATAAAAATTTCCTTGTTTCTTACATTTCATCTACTGACTTAGGATCTTGCCATTCATATTCTCCATGCCTGTTTACTGTAAGTAGTTTAATATTTAATTACACAATTATTTTTCCAAAGTTTTCCCACTTACTGGTCGTTGTTTGTAACTGTCGAAATGGTGTTCGTCTTGGGATCTTTTGGATATTTTTTGAAATAATACTACCAGAAATTCTAGCTTGCCGCAAAAATAAACAAAGCATTTTGTCCTAAAAGGTTATGAAATAATAATAATAATATTGCACAGCTGTTTCATCTTGTTTATCTTTTTGATAACAGTATTGCCGTTGTTGAAAGTAATAGTATCATTTGTGGGGAAATTTAATAATGTTATCACATTAGCGATTTTTAAGCTACATATTTAAATATTAAATTTATTTTTCTGAATTCCACCTGTGTATTAAAAATGTGTTATTTTTTCATAGACTTATTTTGACCAAATTTTCATACTAATATTCTCAGTTTTGGTTATTTTCACTTTTTTTAATTTATTTATTTCATTTATTTGTAATACAAAGGCCAAAATATTTTTATTACACAGCAAAGCAAATAAATCCATTACTATTTTTCCTTATAGGGTATTTTTAAAATACCCCACAAAATAAAATTTCATAATTAGGTAACTTTGTATACAAGAAAAACATTTTATACTGCAAGTGCATATAACAATTTGTAAGCTTTTTTTTTAACTTATAATTTATTTAAAGTTAATTGGAAAATGGTACTATTTAATGTTATAATTTAATTTTTGACAAATATATTAAGCAAAATTTGCGTAATATTGTTCAATGTTTATAAAATTTTTGATTGTGAATATAAGTAATATGTGTATACGTATGTATGCATGTATGTACATTAGAGGGGCCCAAAAAACAACAATCTTGTTTGGATAGGTGTGTTTTCATTGTGACTAAAACTAACTAACTGTTAAATGTTAAATTTTAGTTCAATTGGATAAAGGGAACCCTCATTCGTAATCCAGCTCTGGGTGGAGTCGTGCGTCGTTGCCATTATCGTTTATAGAGAATCAGGCCGTCCTTTTTGCTCTGCCTTCGAGTGTTTTACGTTTCAAACCGCATTGGACAAAGCAAGATATATTAATTATGTTAATATATATTATAAAATTAATATACCTTGGGACAAAGTGTGGCGTCGTATAACTGTACCGAGTTACGGTATGCGAAGCGCACGTTGACCATATGTAATCGTGTTAACTTAACCTAACTTTTTATTTTGATTATGGTGGAGAACCAATAAATCTCAAATGTTGGAAAATTGTGCTAGTAGTACTAGCAGTAATTAGTTATGGCGTTATGTTTTACAACATTCCAAATAAATGTTAGCTGATTTCACAGTTAAGTAACTCTAAAGTCAAACAAACAAAGGGAATCCTTGCCGGAAATCGATTGAAAAGTGTAAAATTGAGTAAATAATAGGACTTTTTTGATTTCTTCAAAAATTGCGCCATTCAAATTATTTTTTCCTAAAATCTATAAAATCTTTATTTTTAGACAAAATTATACGAGGTAACCTATAAAACAACAATGTTATTGTCATAGGTATGTACATATATTAAAAAATCAACCATTTTTTGCATTCTTCGATCTTTGTTATGCATGCAAAAAAACGGGTAAAATATAAATTGATCTGTGGTTTATGCTACATATTTGTGAAGAGATGTCGTTTTAATAAACCAAATATGTATTTCCATACAAATGAAAACCCAGTTAAAAGTGAGGAAAGAGATGTAGAAAAGTCACCACATACCTATAACATATTCGAACAACATAAAACTTGGATGAAAAACCAAAGAAATTTAAATAAGCAAGTCATTGAAAGACTTTGGTCTATTTATGTCATACAAATATCGAATTTTTACTGCTTCTAAAAATTAGATTAGATGTAGTTAAAAGTTGTCAAAATTGAACAGCATCCCTCCAATAACACGCTAATGTAAAATTCATAGGTTTGTCACCAAAATTGGAAGTACTTCAAGTATGTTATTTGTGTTGAAAATTCTACTTCTTTTTCCTCACTGGGTTGTTGAAAAGAAAAGGCCCTATCTACAAAAACATTTAAATATTGAAGGTAAAAGTCCAATTTATCCATTTTTATATACCCCATTGTCAACTATCATAATAACTGATAGGTTTCATTATTAAACAATTTGTTTATTTACTAGAAATAAATCGCGTTGATAGAAACAAACTTTTCAATTTCAATAGTTTTTTACTTCTCCTGTAAAATTTTAAAAATGTTAGATATGGCCGTTTGCGTTTTAGGTGACGATATATATATTTTATTTTTAATTTTATTCATAGTAATATAAAAAGCCACTATTTTCAAGTAGTCTACCAAGTTAATTTTTCCTTTTCGTTGAAAGTCTACTAGTTTGTCGACAAAACTTTATTTAACACCTAATACACAAACTACTAAAAGGCGCAGCGGCAACATTTAATCGAATCGTGTTTAGCATCTTTAATTAATCCCCAACATATAAAGTCCAATAAACTAATTAATAAGCTATGACGTTGATCACACTCATTGAAGTAAAGTTTAAAAACTTTAAGAACTTTTTAATTTTTTTTTTTTTATAAAAAATATACCTATAAGAAGTAAATAAAAGTACAGATGTATGTATATACATACATATGTATGTATGTGTATCATGATGTATACTTGTTAGAAAATTTTCGAGCAATGTTTTTATATTTTATTTAACAAGCGATACAAAATCAATTAATGTTTTTCTCTTTTATTTTATTTTTCAGCATATTAACTACAACAAAACGAAAGAAAACAAAATCATTAAACACACATATTGTGTGGTTAGTATCTGAAAAGCTGTGTTACCTGGAGGTAGTATAGAAAAGCATTCCGTTGCCAAACCTTTTGAAAAAAAATTAAAATAAAACGAAGAAATTCGCTTAATATTTTATACATTAAGCTAAGCTTTGTGTTGGCTTCATTTACGGTCAATTGGCCTTGTTTGCGTACGTGTGTGTGAGAGTGCCTTAATCAATATAAAAAACGCTGCCAATTACAATGAGGGGATTGATCCCGTTAATAAGTTTATTTTTAGTATTTTATACTGAATTTACAACTGGATCAAGTCAAGAGTAAGTATGTAAATAAGTTTAATATTTTTATATCCTTCATGAAAAGGTAATATATATATATATATATATATATATATATATATATATATATATATATATATATATATATATATATATATATATATATATATATATATATATATATATATATATATATATATATATATATATATATATATATATATAAACTCCCTCTAGAATAACGGTGTTACTATATTTTGCACATATAAATCTAATATCAACAGAAAGCGTATTACGAACTAAAGCCTGGGTCGGTCCATAATTGACCATAGCTTACACTAATTATTCAGCGAAGTCACAGCTTCCTTATAAAGTGCACTTCCGAAGATCATTTACTTGTAAAAAAACTCATGAATTAATAATATATGGGACAAAAATTCTACACGAATATATTTTGAATATATACAAATCATATTTAAGATAGCACCCTTTTTTAATTGGGTCAGAAGCTATGAACTCATATAATTGGTACTTTTTTGTGTGCAGGCGTGAAAGTATTTATTCGTTTGTTACATTAAATAATAATATTGTGCATACTACCAATAGTCTCGAAAAATATAGCCTTTTGTTATTTTATCATATGTTGCTATCATAATTTTACATAAACAATTGTCCATATTTTATTTACAGCCTTATTTATGGTTATGAATGTCGCCAGAGTAAATGTGTGAAAGTAGAATTAGACGAAAAGAATTGGAACAAGGCAATTAGTTTACCAGTATGCCGAATGTTTTGTGGTGATAGTGTGGGTACAATATGGCCAAAGCCAACTGGTTCAGTTAATTTAGATTCGTCTCTTTTACACATTGATCGCAGTGCTATTGAGTTTGTACTGCCTACATATCGCCACCAAGTTAAACTTTGGGAAGCGAATCGTGAACGTTTCATGGATTTGGTGGAAAATAAAGTACCAAATCCAGAATTTTTAAAGAACGAAGGTCATCCCCTCAAAATTTTAATAGAATTAGATAACAATAATGGAGATAATGACGAAACGCCGAGATTAACATTAGACACCGATGAAAGCTATGAATTGGAAATTAAAACATCAGATGATCATGAAGTGTTTGCAAATATAAAAGCTAAAAGTTACTTTGGTGCACGTCATGGCCTGGAAACTTTAAATCAATTGATTGTCTACGACGATATAAGAAGAGAATTGCAAATAGTATCGAAAGCCAGCATACACGACAAGCCGGAGTTTAAATGGCGTGGAGTTTTATTGGATACTTCCAGGAATTTCTATACTGTAAAGGCTATTAAAAGAACTTTAGGTAAGTTTTCCAATTTTATATAAACAATTTGTTATTATTAAATTACTTATTTTAAAAAGATGCCATGGCCATGGTTAAATTGAATACATTCCACTGGCATATCACCGATTCTCACAGTTTCCCCATGGAGGTTAAAGCCAGACCTGAACTTTATAAATTGGGTGCCTATTCTCCACGTAAAACTTATAGCCATCAAGATATACTAGAGATTGTTGAATACGGTCGCGTTAGAGGCATACGTGTAATGCCGGAGTTTGATGCTCCCGCTCATGTTGGTGAAGGTTGGCAACACAAAAATATGACTGCTTGCTTTAATGCCCAACCCTGGAAAGATTATTGTGTAGAACCACCATGTGGACAGTTGGATCCCACTGTTGACGATATGTACGGCATCCTGCAAGATATATATCAGGACATGTTTGACCTTTTCCAGCCGGATATTTTTCATATGGGTGGCGATGAAGTATCCGTTAATTGTTGGAACAGCAGTGAACAGATACGCAATTGGATGACAATGAAGCAAGGTTGGGGTTTACAAGAAGCGGATTTTATACGTTTATGGGGTCATTTCCAGACAGAGGCCTTAAAGCGAGTAGATACCGCTGCCAAGGGACAGCAAGTTCCTATTACATTATGGACTAGTCGTCTAACAGACGTACCCTACTTAGATGACTATTTAGACAAGCAACGTTATATCATACAGATATGGACGACGGGCATGGATCCTAAGGTGACTGACATTTTGAAACGCGGCTTTCGCATTATCGTTTCAAACTATGATGCTCTCTACTTTGACTGCGGCGGTGCTGGTTGGGTTACTGATGGCAATAACTGGTGTTCTCCATATATTGGTTGGCAAAAGGTCTATGAAAATCGCATGGAAACTATTGCTGGCGATTATGTACCATTAGTATTGGGCGCCGAAGCAGCCATTTGGTCCGAACAAATCGATGAACATACATTAGATCAACGCTTTTGGCCAAGAGCAAGTGCTTTAGCTGAACGTTTATGGTCTAATCCTAAAGAAGGTTGGCGTCAGGCTGAACCACGAATGCTATTGCATCGTGAACGTCTGGTGGAAAATGGTATATCGGCAGAAGCTTTACAGCCGGAATGGTGTTTACAAAATCAGAACGAATGTCCCATTGATGCGTATACAAGTCAAAAAAAGGTATAATAAAAACGCGTAAATCGAGATTATTTTGGTTCCTAGTACCAATATTGATAATAGTGATATTTTCCCTATATATTTTGAACTCATTTAAAAGAACAATAAATAAGACATTTTTTAATATTATTTTTATTACGTAACATTTTTTCTTTAATTAATTAATTTGTAAAATAATGGCCACTGTTTCGGAATTATAAAAAATTAAAAAAAGACTTAAAATGTTATTAGTTTTTATAAAAAACTTACAAAAATTGGTTTACAAATAAAATGTTAGTTTGCAATGTTATAAAAAAAAAAAATACAAAAATTGGTATTTTATTCAACTAGAATTATTTGGTTTGGGAATATACATACATATTTCTAAAGGATTGAGCTCCACTAAAACAGGTTTTCTAAAAAAACAAAGTTATAACAGGGCGATGAAACCGAAATTCCCATAATTTGGATATTATTTTGTCTTCTGTTGTCTTTAACAATTTTTCGGAAATGAATCACTGTGCTACATCTGATGCGCAGATCGGAAATGCACCATAACAGAAATTATGATGCGCAAAAAACGGCAAAACTCGCATCATAAAGATTTTAGTTGTTTCATGATTTTGCATTGTCACCAGATATAAATTTTGACTTAAAATAATTCAGTTTTCAAATTTTAACTATAACACTAAAGAAAGGTTCTTTCCCAAATAAAAATGCACTTTACAAGATTTTTATTAATTTTTTATATATATTTTTTTTTTTTTTTTTTGGAGAATATACAAACAACAATTTTCACAATTGTTTTGTTGTTTCGTTTTATTTTTATTTAATATAAATGTATATTAAGTGGTTAATTAAATTAATAATCTAAATCAGAATAATCTAAATATTTGATGATGGTTGTATTTCATTTATCAATACGAATGTTGTGTTTCGTGTGTTTTTTTTTTTTTTAATAAAGGATATTAAAAGAAGCTAATTGAAAATATAAATTATGTGAACAAAATATACAAGAAATGTATGTCATAAATATACACATACAAACAGTAAATGCGTACACATATATAAATGGAATTGTTTGGTATTTTTTTAAGGTCCAAAATGACTAACACGTCTATGCATGTGTTGCTACTTATTCATCATCAAGAGTTTAAGAAATTTATTTATTTTATTTTTTTTTTGTTTGTTTTTGTAATGGGTAATGAGAGGTACGATTTGTGTGGTTAAAAGTTCTTTTTAGTTCTTTGTTTTCCAGCATCGTCTTTATTTATATTAGTAAGCGTATTCTCAACATTCTCCCATTCCAAAAAAAATCTTGGTTGTCTAGTCATTATTCAAGTTGATTTCAAGATCTTATACATAGTATATATAGTAGAGTAGTATTAGTAATAATAGTTGTAGTAGTCTGAGTTTGTTGGGGAATTTTGTTTGTAGTTGTAGTGCTAGATAATAGGTCCAGGTTTTACTTACAAGTCCTTTTCTTTTTGCTCTTTTATCCGTTTTGTTTTCTTATTTCCAGTGGTTGTGGTTAATTTATGTTCCGTAGCTGTCAGTTTATCATTCAAGTAAATATTGTGTTTCATTCTGTTTTCGTTTAGTACATTCGTTCATTTTATTGATGTCTGTGAAAATAGAAAATAAAAATTATATTGCATTATGCTGCAAACTTTAGATGGTCAAAGCTAAAAACAACAAGTTAATGAAGACTTTCGTAAGTCATATTGGCTAGCGAAAAGTCCAAGTCTATGAATATAAAGAATTTCTTTCTTGGCAAAAACAAAAACGAAATTAATATAATCAAAATTACAACAAACTACATATTGACTTACTTACCTCCTTCTTTAAAGTAGAACTAAAGCGTTTAAACTTTAAAATACTTTTGGAAAAAGTGTTAAAAAATATTTGTAAGTAAAAGTACTTACGTTTTTTTTTAATTGCGTCGCATACGTTTGCGGCTGCCATCATCACCATCACTACCATTGCCTCTTTCTTCTGCCTCCATAACCTAAATTTATAATACATAATTCAGACTAATTAATAATTCCTTTTTAAGAAGGCTTCAAATATACGAACCTTCAATTTAGAGCCACAAATTTCGGCACCATTTAAAATTTGTATGGCTTTTTGTGCAGAATCTCTATCAGCATATTTGACATAACCACAATTTTTATTTGGCAGCAAATACACATCAATTAGACCTTTCCAGCAGGAGAATACATTTTTCAATATAGAAACAGGTAAATTCTATAAGAACAAAAATTTTATTTTATTAAGCTTATTGTTTTTAATAATGAACTGTTTCAATATTATTACCGATGCCAAAACAATAAATAAGCGTTGTGCAACGGGAGCATCGCTAGATGCCATTGGCTGAGATGGTGGTAATGGTACGTTGCAAATGGAATCCTTTCTAGTGCGCTCTAAAAATTATTTTGTAAAATAGACCAAAAACAAACAGAAGGAGAGAAGTAGAAGAAAAAAAAAAAAAAAACAAAACAAATTTATTAATATAAATTTTTATTCCACTTTGTACAAGAGTTTATAAATTAATAAAAGTATGTTTGTATTTAAAACCTACTATCAATAAAAGATGTATCAATGCGTGATGAGCTCATTCCAGACACTTTAACAATTAAACGTTCGCCCACTGGATATTCAAGACCATGTAATTTGTCCCTAAAAAACGAATTATTTAACATGATGTTTAATTTTAATGATGTTTATATATTTAGATTTTTGTTATGTTACGTACTTGGCATATATAGCAGCCTCAGGATTGTCATAGACCACAATTGCCTCATTTGTACGAGGTCCATCTAAAAGTAATGATGAAGAATATGAAATTATAGATAAATTTATAGATATATTTCCAAATAGTCTTCTTAAAATATTATTTAAATATATTTTTCTAAACAAAACTGTTTCTAGATAAACTATTCCATAGAAAACGATATTTGCTAAAAAAACTTTTCTAAAGAAAGCTCTCTATATGCCTTTCGTCTCTATAGGAAAATCTTTAAAATTTGCCCTTATCACGCGAGCTATGAAATTTCAATGTTAAACTTTAACGAAGAAAACTCTCTCCATAGAAGCTTTTGTAATGAAAAGCTTCTCTGGAGCACATTTTTTAAAGAAAACTCTCTCTGGAGAATATTTTCTAATAGAAACCCTATCTGGAGAGAGTTTTCTAAAGAAATCTTCTCTGAAGAGGGTTTTTAAAAAAAAAAATCTCTTAAAGATTTCATTAAAAGAAATATCTCTAGAGAAGTGGGGCCAAAACATAGTCTTTCATATGTTTTTAGTATTGGTACTTTACCAAAGAACAAAAGTGAACTTAAGATAAAACTATACTATATAAAGAGTATACGTTGCCAAATGAAATGAAAACTTCCTCAGCAGAAATTGTTCTTTTCTAAACTTCTTTATACTATATTTAGATAAATATTTTATATATGCATGTACTTCAATTGGTCAATATTATTTGAAAATTTGATATTAAAGTAATTCAAAGTTTTTTAATGTTTAATCGTAACATACCCCCTATTCAGTATCTGGGACCGATATTTTATATTCAAAAAAAATTTGAGAATAAAATTTCCGTCCGAAATACCTATGATTTATAAAAAAAAAATTTAAAAATATCGAAAACATTAATTTATTAAAAAAATTAGAAGTTTTGTTCAAATAATGTTTAAAAATGTTGAGATAATCATTCTCTATTCTGCATTTCCATACAACGTAACGACCGAAAAAGGTAACAACAAAAAAAAAAAAGGATCGTAAGAAAAAGAAGAAGCAATTCCATTTACTTTCAATGCTTTACGTTTGTGTCGATTGTGCATTAAGATCGTTGCTACGTTTTTGTAAGTTGTTATTTTAGCGATAGAACATAGAAGTGCAGAATGTAAAAGTTGTCAAATCATGAGGATTCGAAATATAAACGTTTTTCTTTTTCACACATATACATGTACATTCCGGTTGAAATAGTTTCAAATAATCATGGATTTTAGATTTTTATATTATTTCACCAAACAGACAAAATTAAAAGTATAACGAACTTGTATAATTACGAGCTGATGGGCGAAAATGCTAGTGCTCTATAATAATTTTTTAGACTTACCCCCTTATTCACAAACAACATTTTTATTTTATAAAAGTTTATAAACAAAATTTAATACAAAATCTAATTTATAAACCGTTTGTAAAATATGTAAAAATTTTGTTTGTGAATAAGGGGGGTTAGAATTTAAGTTGAAATAAATAAATAATATTATTTTGGATTAAGCGTTGCAAATGATTTGGTATTAATACCAAAAAAGTAATAAGATAATAAATAAATTACTTTTTTTGTCTTTTGTAAAGTAAACAGACGATAAATAATTTACAAAATTTGGCGCGTTATTTTCCCGCGAGAACAATATTTGTTTAGTAGATTTGATGACGCATCTAATAAGGTGAAATTATTTCAACAGCTACATAATTGTATTTTTTCATAAAAATTTAGCCCGAAGCTGTCAAAACACATACATATAAAAATATTTTCTATCAAAACCGACTCTGTCAAACTTAAATGTTTAATATTGCATAGTGAAAAATAATAACTATTGTAACTAGTAATGTGCTAAAATTATAGTTAAAGATGCGTTTTTTTAGATATGTAGTAATCATCATTAATCACCCCTATTCTGCATTTTAATTTGTATCGACATTTTCTCCGCTTGGGTACTTTGATATTATGATTTTCCATTCGGAGGTCCGCCCCTAAAATAATAACTTAAAAAGTAGCCACGGTTGTAATGCGGAATACTCACAAAACGGAATTGTTTCATCTGCTTCTTACTATTTCGTTTTTTTTTTTTTTGAATAGGGAAACTTAATCGAAGCGCAAAATAGGGGATATATAATATAAACAATTAAATTAAAGCAGCTAGTTTATTTAATTCAATTAATACTACATACCTAAATACTTTAATTTTAAAGATGTATAGAGTAAAAGTTATAATACTTACATTCTTTGGTGATTTGACAATAGTCCAAACCAGGAATGATATCAAATAAACGCCACAATTGATCCTGATTAACACAAGTACTAACAATAACTTCCAAGCATGTGGGTTGTGGTACTTGAACATTTTGCATACGCAAAAATTGTGACATATCGTTGTTGAAAGAATTGTTACCCCAATCATTATTGAAACCACCGCCATTGTTAAATCCACCACTATTCATACCAGATCCACCCATACCACCAACACTACCACCACCCATACTATTGCCACCACCAAATCCAGCACCCATATTTCCGCCACCACGATTGCCACCACTCATCATTGTATTATCATTGCGTCCGCCAAATTCTTCGCGTTGATTGCGCGAGTTTGAGCCTTTTGGTTCCGCAAAGACCGCTTTATATTTTGAAGGACAATTTTCATAGGCTACAGCAGCATGATAGAATTTTGAATAACGAACGTAACCAAATCCTTTGGGTGTTCCAGTTTGTTTATCTCTTACTATGGTGACGTTTTCTATGGGACCCCACTGTTTAAATTCTTCGCGTAATTCATCTTCGGTTGCTGTTTTAGGACAAACTATGAAAAGTCGCACATATTTTTCATGTTCATTATCTGATTTACTCGATCCTTGATTTCGACTAAAAAAAGCAACATTGAAATGATTTGTAAAGAAAATAGCTTATATTTTAAAAAATTTTTGGAATAAAGTAATATATTTAATTAGAGATAGAAATGATTAAGAAAACCGAAAAAAGAGCCGCAAGTGAAAATGGCCGCCATTTTCTGAGTAGGACGCTGTTTGTGGCCAATTTTTATATACATACATACATATGTACAACTATTGAATTTTGTGTAGATACATACCTACTAAACAAATTTAATAGGCATTTTTATGAGTTTTTTAATCCTTATATATTAATTATGGACCGATTTTAACAGTTTTTTAATGATTAGTTTTCTTTAAAATTATGAACTATACTTTGCGCATTGTTGGCTCGTGATTCTTAATCGATTGGTATACTTTATTATTTCTTTACGTCACAAACATCAGCAAAAGCGTATTTTACCGATGCTCATGTACAAACTGTACCACCAGTCCATCAAATATTCCTTATTCTAAATTTACTTATTCCTATATATTTTACTTACTTGGCAGCCACTAAAACCTTCAAAGTACGATCCAATGTACCAATTGTTTTGCCATTCATTTCTTCCTGAGCCTTGGCGGCATCTGAGGTCTTGGCATACTTAACATAGGCAATACCTTTGTTGTCTCCAGTGTGTTTATCTTTTACAACCCAAATATCTTCAATTTCACCGAAGGGCGAAAAAGCCTCACGAAAATCTTCTTCGGTATGAGCCTTATTACAGATAATGAATAAACGAGACATTGGTGGGTCATCGTCACTGTAATCATTACGGCCGCCGCCTCCACGACCACCTTCACGATTTCCATCACGAGATTGCGAACGATAATCAGACATATTTTATTTTATATTTTTAATTGTTTTCCGATTTAAAATTTAAATATAATTTTAATATTTTTGCTTTACACGACTTCTTTTCTACAAGACCTTCTTGTACAATTGAAAATTAGTTAATGAATAATTTTTTCTTCCGACTGCACTTTTTCGTTTTGTGAAATTAAAATGGCGAACATTAAAAATGTGTCTACACCGGCGTCTACTGTCAAATGTGCTCAGGGTTGCCAATTTCATCCCTTAAATTGGCATTATTTTTATAAGCTATCAATTTTAAGTGAGTGTACGCAGACGAAATGAAGCCGGCACAATAATATGCACGTCGCACGTTGGTTGAATCTGAAAATCGTCACCTGAAACGTAAACGGCCCTAACTAACAAAAAAAAATCAAAATCGATTTTATTGTTGATTCTAATATATTGCATCAAAAAAATGCTCACAAACAAAATTGGACTCCTCGAACCAAAATGTGCGATTTTATTAACAAAAACAAAAGTCCCAATATAGAGTATAGCTTTTCGGATATGTAAACAACTGAAACCCAGAATAACTTTTAATTACGTCTCTATATAAAATATATTAAAAAATTATTTTCAATTTGATTATACGCCTTTAGACAATAAAACAAAGTATATATTTTTTTATAAAAACCTGCTAATCTAACAATATTTTGGATGTATATGCTATTAAATTAAATTATTCGTTGTTTTGCATTCACAAATTTTTTAGTTTATATCTAAATCTGGTATCATTTTTCAATTCCATGCCGTATTTCTCGATATGTATATTTTTGGATTATGCCAACCTAGTAGTAAATAAGCGATATGCTTGGGGCTATTAAACGAAATGTAAAATCGGCCTTATCCGTTCCACAAAAACCTGGTCCACACTTAATTCTCTTTTGAAGTTTCCTTAATGTCCATACATAGAAATTTTTGTTTCAGAAACTACGTATTAATTGCATTGATTTGTTGATGTACGAATGAGAAGAATAACAAAACAAAACAAGTTTCCGAGTACGAAAAACTCCGTACCGCGAGAGAGATGAATGATATCCTTACTCTTTCTCTCTCACCCAAAATCAGAAGTTTCCCAAAAAAAGTTTCCTAGTGTGGACCGGCAGAAAGAGATTAAAAAAGTACTCATATAAATTTGTTTGGTATTAGAAAATCATTTTGCATCAGAAAGGATTTGTTTCAAAAATATCAGAATAACTGCCGGTCCACACTAGGAAACTTTTTTTGGGAAACTTTTGATTTTGCGTGAGAGAGAAAGAGAAAGAATATCATTCATCTCTCTCGCGGTACGGAGTTTTCCGTACTCGGAAACTTGTTTTGTTATTCTTCTCATTCGTACAACAACAAACCAATGCAATTAATACGTAGTTTCTGAAACAAAAGTTTCTATGTGTGGACCAGGTCTAATGTGTTTTTTATCAATAGAAAATAAATACGTAGTAACGAAACCGTATTTTAGTTATTCATCTTTCCTTTTAACTAATCGCATTATATGAGATTTGCAATCCACTTATTTTGAGTAATAAGCTGACGCCGTCATAAAATGTGTTCGGCTAAGATCTTTGAAAAAAACATGGCCACACATCAAATTTGTTTTAATAGGGTCACAAAGTATACAGAGGTGTCACTTTTGACATTTAAAAAAGTCTAAAATCAGCTTTTGTTTGATTTTGAAATTGTTTGGTGAGAAGAGGTATATAAAATACAGCTAAAAAAAATATTGAATTCGTTTTGTGCGAAAGAGAGGGAAATAGTTTTTTGCTCGTGACGCCTCTGTATACCCTGTGATAGGGTTAGTGAAAAAACTCACATGTATATATGCGGTGTGAGTTTTATACTAACTCATCTAAAAACTTACCGTTTGAGTCAAACTATTTGATGTGTCGCCAAGGCGCTTTACGATTGTGCTCTCAATGGCTAGTGAATGCAAAGTGACATATTTCAAAGAAGAAGCTCAATATTTATGTCGTCGAACTCTTAAAACGGAAGCGTCAAATGTGGTCGTAAACAAAACGCTTTGAGTGTTTTTGCTTAAAAAAAACAATATTAAAAATATACAAAATGTCCAGTATATTAACAGATGAACAACGTAATATCTTAATCGATGTAATTCGAGAAAGGCGTATATTATATGATACAAATGATCCTAATTATAAAAACATCACATGCAAACGAAGAGCCTGGAAAGATATAGCGAAACTTTGTAAAGCTCAAGGTAATATTTTAATATTAAGATTAAATTTTCAAAACAAAATTACTCTTTGTATAATCTCGGTATTTTCCAAGAATATCATATATTGACAAGTCTTCAAGACAGCACAGCCAGTTCCGTCAGTAACATTGTGAATGATACGATACTATATGGTATATAGATATATAGATAGATAGATATATAGATAGATAGATAGATAGATAGATAGATAGATAGATAGATAGATAGATAGATAGATAGATAGATAGATAGATAGATAGATAGATAGATAGATAGATAGATAGATAGATAGATAGATAGATAGATAGATAGATAGATAGATAGATAGATAGATAGATAGATAGATAGATAGCTAGATAGATAGATAGTCTAGCTAATAGCTTATGTTATGATGCTAGATGTAATTACATATGTATTAATAGCTGAAAGATAAGTAATTCTTAATATGCTAAAACACTTATGTTTATGGCTGATGCTGCAAATTAATACATATGTATCAATACATTTATAATTATCTATTCCTTTCTAAATAAGAAACCGCGTGTAAAATTGTTTGGAAGTCTATGAGAGATCAGTATCAACGCTATATGCGATCGCCTACAAATAAGAGAAAACAATTTCGTTACCTATCAAAGTTATCATTTTTGGAAGGATTCACAAAGTAAGTTAAAATTGATTAAAGTATTGCAGTTTTAGTGCAATGTTGATGAACCCACATTAACAACAATTAAAACTGGGAAACTACTAAAATATATCCATATATCCTTTCCTTAATCCCCGATTAATAGACATACTAAAAATAAGGTAATATTTTGCAATGACGCAATCGAACATTTCGTCGATAATTCATCAAATTCTTCCAATCACAAAATATTTTACAAGAATGAATCCGAAGATTACAATGAAGACGACTACAGTGAAGAAATTACAAAATGTTATAATAATAGCGAAGAATCTGAACACGAAGAAATTACCAGCGAGCCGACAAAGAAATTCGATACATTGCCTCAAACGACAAATGATCCTATATATTGTGAAAATTACTACGCAAATAACACTAATACCGATGGTAATGAAGATGTTATTGGAGTGGAGAAATCGGCAAATAATGTCTGTGATAGTATAAGCAATTTTCTAGCGAAATATATTAAAACCGATGAAGATGATAATGATTTATTTTTGAAAATGTTAGGAAAGAAAATGAAAGCGTTACCATTAACAGTCAGAAATCGTCTACAAGAACGCTTCTTAAAAGATGTTAATGATGAAATAGGTAAAATAAATTGAATTTTATTAAAATTTAAAAATATGTATCTATATGCATGTATGTATGTGTAAATAAAAGTTAGAATTATTATGTCTTATTAAATTACAAACTTTTTCTTCCCACTTTTTCGTTTTTGGAAATCAAATATTTTTGGCTTACTAACACAGGCCAACAAATTTTTAATCCAGAGATCTAAAGGAGTGAGCAGCGCTGAATCCTTATCAGTATTTCGTTTCTGTAATTCTAGCATTGAGAAAAACAGGGTTAATACAAAAAAAATATTTCTTAAGTTTTAATGAGTACAGTACTCACACTGTTAAGCGCCTTGGCGACACATCAAATTGTTTGACTCAAACGGTAAGTTTTTTGATTGAGTTAGTAAAAAAACTCACACCGCATATATACATGTGAGTTTTAAAACCGGGAGACTATTACAGAATCGAGGTAATGGTAAAAAACGGGGATTCTCAAACTTCATGACACGATATTTGAAAAACTTGATGTTATAGATAACTTTTGAGACCAGATTCGGATTCTGCACTGCTTAATCCTTTAAAAAAGTACATTTTAATCTCTGCGTTTAGACTTTATCAATTTTTATTGGCTTGTGTAATCTAAGTGCCGGTCCACACACGGAAACTTTAGTTGAGAAAGTTTTTCTTAATGCTCTTTTAAAGTTTCCTTAATGTCTACACATAGAAACTTTTTTCAGAGACTACATACGTGTTAATTGAATTGATTTGTTTTTGCACGAATGAGAAGAATAACAAAACAAAGCGAGTTTCCGAGTACGAGAAACTCCGTACCGCGAGAGAGATGAATGATATTTTTTTTCTCTCACGCAAAATCAAGTGTTTCCCAAAAATAGTTTCCTAGTGTGGACCGGCAGTAAATGAATGAAAAACTTATGTAATTACGCATTAATATAGATATTATTTACTTTTTAATTAAATATCTATCACAATATCGGGTAGAAATTGAGTTTTGAAAAATTTATAATGCATACTAGAACTAACAGAAACAACAATTTCTGTGAAATATTTACAAAATTATTTAATACTTTTTTAAATTTATTTTTATATTCTTTGCAAAAAATATTTAAAAAAGTAGAAGTGGTATCTAAGATGAACATCAATAACTTCCATTTTGAGCCACCCTAATATACATGTTAAATAAAAAGTTAAAAAGTACCACGAACATCAAAAGTAAAATAAAAAAACAACCACAATTTTCCATCCCTGCTGTCAAGCATTGATGTACATCAATGCTCTAAAATGATTAATTCTCTAACTTTTTTAAATTGAGTGATATTTTCAAACTCATTCCCTTTGATTTAATTTCTATAATTAATTATTAAAGCTTTCAATGTTAGTGAATGAAATCTCACGAAGGTGAAGGGTATAAAAATAAAGAGTTGAAATAAAAATAGTTCTCGTGAGAGAAATAATTAAAATAGTGTTACGAATACATACAGAATTTTAAAATTCCATTTATTAATTTCTCGGATCCCGCTCTTAATTATTTAAAAACGTTGAACATTTAAATTTAATAAATAACCGTCGATTTTAAGCCGCCGACGACATGTATAGTGTCAGCCGCCTTTATTTTTTGTCGGCGCAGTAAAAAGAAGAAGTGTATTCATTCTCATTGTTTTTTTATTTCAAAGCACGTGTAAACGATTTTCTGAGTATTATTTTTATTAATTTGACGGAAAATAATTTAAAAATGGGTAAAAAATTCCAAAAAAAGAAGAAAACAGAGCAACTTGAGATTGTGCCTATGGACGAAAATCCTCCATTGCCACCACAAAGGCCTTCTGATGAAGTTATACCAAAAAGGGTAAACAATAGTAATGAATAGTAATGAAAAGTTTTAATATAGTTTTTATTTTAGGAAAAATGGGTAAATAAACAAAGAGTATTGGTTTTTGCGGCTCGAGGCATTAGCCACCGTGATAGACATCTCATGAAGGATATTAAAACCTTAATGCCACATCATAGACCTGAATCGAAAATGGAAAGATCGAAAACATTAGCTGTGGTAAATGATATGTGTGCCATGAAGCACTGCAACAAATCTATACTTTTTGAGGGAAGACGTAAAAGAGATCTATATATGTGGGTTTCCAACATACCCAATGGACCATCGGCCAAATTTTTAGTTGAAAACATTCACACTATGGCAGAATTAAAAATGACTGGTAACTGTCTGAGAGGCTCCAGACCGCTATTGTCTTTCGATGCTAAGTTCGACGAAGTGCCCCATTTGAAATTGTTGAAAGAAATGTTCACTCAAATTTTCGGTGTTCCTAATCATCATCCTAAAAGTCAACCTTTTATAGATCATGTTTACACTTTTACTTATTTGGATAAACGTATTTGGTTTAGAAATTTCCAAATACTTTCAGAGGATGGTGGCTTGGCGGAAATTGGACCACGTTTTGTCATGAATCCCGTTAAACTTTTTGAGGGCTCCTTTACCGGCAATACTTTGTGGGAAAATCCAGACTATGTTAGTCCAGCCAAACAAAGGCAAATGCTCAAAAAGGCTGCTAAGGAACGTTATGTTAACCGTATTGAACAAAAGGTTCATCATGAAGCTACACTACCCAAGAATGCCTATGAAGGTATTGAATATGATGAAATATTTGCTGATAATGATGCCGTTGAAACAGCAAAACTTTTAGCCGAAAAGGCCAAACAAAAGGCTCTACAAAAATTGGATAAACCAAAGCAGAAATCAACAAAAGATGCCCTAACGAAGAAGATCAAAGAAAAACAATTGGATGCTGTTAAACAAGTAATAGAAAAGAAAAAATCTAGCGTGAAATCAAGTAAAAAGCAAAAATCTTAAAAAAGTTTTTTAATATTCTTAAATCTTTATTTTTTAATAAAATATATAAGTTTGTAAAAATTTATATTATATCATTTATTTTTTTATTCAAGATTGTGTACCAATGATTTATATAGAGAGTATAGCACATAAATTTGTACTAATTGTTCAAATGTTGTAAAAGTTTGCTATTCATTGTATGTGATGCACAAATATGTGCTGCATTTATAAATGTAAAAACTGTATTTTTATAATTTAATAAAAAAACAGTGCCGAATTCTGCTAAGGCAGGTTGAATCAGTAGTCAATTTTCTTCCTTGATAAGTCAAAAAATAATTTCAAAAATAAAAACTTCAAAATACCATTAAATGTTTCCCGCTTAGTATCCATAAGCAGCATTCCACAATTTGTTGTCTAATTTATAGAATTTTGGATATTTTTGAATAATATTACTTAAATTTGTAATTTTAGTCCTTGTTTAGTTTTTGTTATAAAATAGAAGTGTTTTTCTTAATAGAATATAGGTGGTCTGTTCGTAGTAGTTAAACACTGGAAATATGTATTACAACACTTGAATTTTAGTAATTTATTAATTATTTTTTAAACCAACAATTTTATTTTAAATATAGAATTTGTTTTTGATATTTAAAAAAAAAAAAAATATGTAAAGGGTTTTTCTGATGTTCTTTATAACTAATACATGATTTTATAATTTGTTATGGTAAATAAATAGTTAAATTTAAAACAACTTTTAAGCTTATACAAATATTTCAACTGCGTTTTAATAAATTAATAAGAAAATATACCATTCGTTGCCTTATGTCGAAGATTTTTAATACATACAACCAACATTTCTTGCATAATTTTATACATTCATACTTATTTTCATTACTTTTGTCTTCTTTTTGAAGGATTTAATGTTAAAAAAATAAATTTGTATATAGAAGTATGTAAGTATATACATATGTATGTATGTACATATTACAACACAATAATAAAAAATTGTATATTATTATGTATTAATAAATTAAAGCTTATTTAACTATGTTTTTTATATATAAATAGTATGTGTGAGTGTGCGTAAAATAAACATTTCACTTTAATGTCTTTTTTTAATAATCATTTGGTTCAACAATACCATCAGGCACTACCATTGGTTTGCTAGTCATACTAAATGGTTGCTTATTAATAGGCATCATTTCGACTACTTGTATGGGTGGTTCTTCGCCTGGCTGTAAGGGTTCTTCGCCTACCAATTTCGCCAGATTACTCTGGGCCCAACGACCGCCACGTCCATTTATAGTTTTATCTTCACATACACATAGAAATAGTGTATCTACAACCATCTGCAAGTAATAAATGGTATGTTAAAAACATAAATATGCATATGAATTATATACATATGTATGTATGTGTGTGGGTTGTTATTTAAACCTTACCTCAAATAGTGATAGGACAATATGAGCAATAAAGAAGGAAAATACAATGATTAGAATAACGGGTGCCATGTAGAAGTTAAGACCTGGCTTATCCTTTAACACAAAGATGCCAATAAGACCGGCAATAGCAGCAACTACAATTTTTCCCAAGAATAAAATAAAATCACCGACACTGTTGATGGTGGCAACTTGTAGGGCATTTGTTGCCATTGCATTCCATGCCTATAGAATTAAAGAGTTTGTAAACTTGATCAAATGTTTTAAATCCTAATTTCATATATTTTTTTGTTATATTCTTGCAAAGCGTAGCATTTGTGCTACAATATATACATACGTCTAAGGGCGGGTTTTTCAGATAAAGATAATCTACATTCTTTGTTTAAACCTAGTTTAATATATGTTTTGTGTTTTTCAGTAAACAGTAACGTTACTTATTATCTTAGTTTAACTGAGTGTTATTGGCCAATTAAACTTAAGTTATAAGTGAGAAGACACAATTAATAAAAACAATAAAACAATGATTTCGGAAGAACATAAACTTAATATTTTAAGTAAATTGCAATTTTCCGATTTGTTTTGTTTTATTTATTATTGTTTTAAATGTTTATTTAACATTTATCCAAAATTTTTCATTTTACAAAAGTATTATTTGCAAAAAACAGCTGTTCATTGTTTATGTTTTTGAGTGAAAAGTTGGCAATACTAACAAAGTTAACTGAACTTAAATCCATAACTGAAAAACACAATCATCGGTTAAAGTCCGCCTAAATTTGTTCCGAGTTTAATCTAACAGCAAGTTAAGCCTAGTTTAACTGAGTAGTAAGAAACCCGCCCTAAGGGCCAATCTTTAGGTGAAAGATTAGCGATTAAATTAAAATTAATCCTCGAAAGATGTTTTTGAGTACTCAATTAGTTAATTTTGTTTGCAAGTTTAAGCGCCCAATGGAGGTGGTTTAATCCTAAGCACGAAATGCAAAAGTGTAAACAGCTGATGCAAAAAAATTAATAAAATTTTTATAAATATAAACATTAAAATGTTCTATTTATTGATTAGTATAAATTATGGACACTTCAAAATAAATTTTTTTGTTTTTAATTTAAGTTTTCATTAATTTTCATATTAAATTTACAATTATCTTCTTCTTTTTATAAAATATGCATTGTTTTGATAACAAACAGTGAAGTTTTCTGTTGTTTTGTATGGCAACACTGCGAAGTTTAATCCTGTACTCAAAAACATCAAAGGGGATTAACATAAGATTAAATTTATTTTTAGATTAACTAATCTGATTATTAATTGGCATTTGATTACCATCTCAAAAACCCGCTCTAAGAGGTAATTAGTTAAATAAAAATTTCACTTACAATACCAGCTGCTGGACAAAAGTTTATTGATTCTATGGCCACAACTGTATACGCATTATGATTTAGAAAACGTATGAATTTCTCCAATAACCAAAAACCACATATACAACATTTCAAACAGCAAGCAGCACATTCAGAACCTTTATCTTCGCCTTTCTTCAATCTAATAAAATTGTAGAAAACTTAACTTAAAAAAATTGAAAAAAAAAATCCTTTCTTTGCTTACTTGGCATATAAATAAGTCAAAATTAAACGTGGAATTTTGAATATCGTTATTACAAATGAACCTTTTGCTACAGTACCCAAATGATATTTCACCAATTTCCCAATAGCATATACCGTAGGTGTACTGGTAGGTTTATTAAAATACCAGAATGCTACTGCAGCTGCTAAAGCGAATTGCTGGCAGGCGAATATAAATTCAGTTGTCCAAATGAGACCAATAACATAAATCCAGAACATACTTTTAAGTGTTCTGGCCTCGGTGTATTCTATGGGTTGGAAGCCTGCAAAATGTTCGATAAATTTTATTAGTTAAGTTGTATGTACGATTAGACCAATTACTCTGTAAGACGATTTGTACATACATATGCAATGAATTACAGAGTAACTTCCCATATAATGAATAAAAAAGCACTTGTAATATACATATGCACATAAATATGTATAGGATTCAGTAATCCCGAAAAAAAAAGAAATATTTTACAAAAGAAATAGTTTCAAAATATGAACTACTAAAATGTTAAATAAATTAATATAAAAGTGTTTTTATATCCTTTACCAAAGATTTCATTGAAATAAAATTTTAGTTTTATAAAACCCGTATAAGAGTTTTTAGGCAGCATCTATTCAATAAGTATTTTGATTAATTTTGTATCAAGTCTAGCCCATAAAATCGTCAATACTTTACAAGAGTCAGTAATGCTCAGAGAAGCTCAACTTTGAGACCAACAAAATTTGAAAACAGTCGAAACTGAGCGGCTCTGAGTCTGAATCTGCCTTCAATCAAAGTACTAAAGTTTGAAAAAAAAAGTTTTCGACTATATTTGAGACATTATCGATGTGATGAAGAAAATCTGAAATTCGAGCGCTGCTCAATCCTTTAGAAATTTATACTTTTGTAAATGTATATCAGAAAACCGATGTGTTAATCCAGTTCACTACATCTTGCACGTATAGTATACATAGAGCTCCTTCTTCCACAATATAATTTTCCGACCCTATAAAGTATATACATATATTCTGGATCCTTATAGATAGCGGAGTCGATCAAGCCATGCCCGTCTATCTGTCTGTTGAAAAAAATCTTCTCTTAATCACAATAAGGTGAAGGATAATAAGGTTAGGCAAAGGCGAATATAGACTTCTTACTTATTAAAACATAAATTACTTCAAACATACATACTTAAGTAAAGGATATACATACATATATATGTAATAGATTCTACTTTAATATAAAAAAAAAACTACAACCAAATAAGTAGTATGTATGTACAGCTAATGTTAAAACTATGCATGGATTTTTTTTTACAAAATTTATTTCAAGGTTTTAAAAATCACTTACATATGATGTTAATGTTTGGTAATTATTTTATTATTCCAAAAGGACGTAGGGTAAGGGTTAATTATTTAATATAATATAATATGTATGTTTATAATAAATATATTTAATATATAGAATAAAGCGAGGCATATAATGAGATATCTGTTTAAAAACATATTGTACTTACTTTTAGTACCGGTATTTGTGAATGTAACATCTGTAGTGGTAGCATGTGCTGCAGTATTATCCAAAGGAGCAAAGGGATTCTTATCACCGGGAGCACTGGCAGTTGCTATACAAATAACAACTAATACCCAAAACGCTAAGAATAGTGCTAATACTATAAATGCTAAAAGAGGTGCTATTATAAGACCTGGTAAGTTCATCATACATTTGCCAGATTCTTCAAATAATGCCGATAGACCCGAAAGTTTATTTTTCAAATAATAAATAATTACTATTAATATTATCTAAAAAATTATTAAAATAACTATTAAAAAGAGTTTCTTTACAATATATTAAAGAAAAATATTATACCATAGTTATAGTAGCTAAAATTGCCAAAGTAAACACAGCTTGTTCATTACGAACAAACTCCTCCAGATATGAGAATTGAGCGTTGATCTTTTGATCATGTTTAATGCTATAATATGCATACCACAAAGCTCCACATAATCCAATACTGGCAACAATAACTAATATACAAATAAGCCATGACACAATGCGTGAAAGCCAATGCATTAGAGTCACCAGAGCAATTGAAATCACTAGAAATTAAATTTATATTACTTAATTAAAAAAAGATGTTTTCCTTTAGACTTACGAAATGATATGCCACATATAATTGCTATAAAATGCCATGTTGAATATATATCACCCAAAAATTGTTGAGCAGCATCCCAAGAGTTTAACATTTTATACATATCCTTTACAGGAGCATTTTTACTCTTTGGAACACAACGATGCAGAACAGGAGTACTATTTTGTATTAATTTAATATAAAACAAAATCAAATACATTAATTTAAATATTACTTATTATTAGTTAATTAATTACCTTTCATATATAGGGAAATCCGGGCAAGGTCCCAAATAGTTAAACAATTTTGATAAATCCCCCTGTTTATCATTTGCTATTATTGACATATTAAAATCATAACGACAGAGATTATTTTGTGTTTTTAAATAATAATCATATACATCTTCACGTTTAATTAAAGTCGTTGTTGGACACTCCTTAACACATACTTTAACCGATTCTTTTAATTTTCGTACATCAAAATATAAAAGGTGGGGTTTATCGATTGTATTCAAACCGGACAGTGGATAATTTGGATAACGTTCATTCTTTTTAACACCACATGTATTACCAAAGGAATCATAGCCATTAATGACACGCAAAGGATTTCCATAGACAAATGAAAAAATTGCAATAACAATCTGTAAAAAAAATTTAATAATTACATACTATCATATTGTGGTTGCTTTTATTAATTTGTGTGCATATTCCGATGACTAATAGTCAGTTTTTATTAAAAATTTTTATATAAAAATTCTTTTTAGAAAATATTACTGTTATTGAAAAGTTTCGTAATTTTATTCTACAGAAGTCTTATAAAAATATTTAAATATATTTGTATTTGCTAATAAAAAGTAAAAATAATTTGCTCATATTTTTGAACATACTAATAAAATATTAAATGTTCTAATTACATTTATAAATACATACAAGTTGAAAGTAAGTAGTTGGTTAGTATTTTCTTTACTAATCTTTGATAAAGAATTATTATTTGTTTAATTTTAAGTTTTGTGTTTATTTAATGTTTTCACATTTCAAAGTAAAAATTAATTTATATTTTGATTAATATTCAGCCTAAACATGTTTTATAACAATTCCAAAACATTCAAAGATTTTGGATCAAAATTAGAATGTACATTCGTAATTCAGCTCTGGGTGAAAGAAGACCGTCGTGCGTCGTTGCCACTATCGCTTAGGGGTAATCAGGCCGTCCTTTTTGCTCTGCCTTCGAGAGTTTTACGTTTCAAACCGCATTGGCCAATGTGTGACGTCAGATAACTGTACCGAGTTACAGTTTTTCTTGAGGTGCATATTGACCATGTGCAATCGTGTTAAGTTAACCAAAGTTTTAATTTTGATTATGTTGGAGAACCAGAAAAACTCGAATTTGAGAACATATGAGCTAGTTTTTTCTAGCTAGAATTGGTGATGGCGTTGTATAATTTTTAATTACGGGCCAAATAAATCTTAGTTTTGAAAACTAAGGGCTAATCTTTAGGTGAAAGATTAGCGATTAAATTAAAAATAATCCTCGAATGATGTTTTTGAGTACTCAATTAGTTAATTTTGTTTGCAAGTTTAAGCGCCCAATGGAGGTGGTTTAATCTTAAGCACGAAATGCAAAAGTGTAAACAGCTGATGCAAAAAAATTAATAAAATTTTTATAAATATAAACATTAAAATGTTCTATTTAGTGATTAGTATAAATTATGGACACTTCAAAATACATTTTTTTGTTTTTAATTTAGGTTTCCATTAATTTTCATATTAAATTTACAATTGTCTTCTTCTTTTTTATAAAATATGCATTGTTTTGATAACAAACAGTGAAGTTTTCTGTTAAAAATTGATATTTTAATTATAATGTTATCAGCCTTTACATACAGTAATAAAATATATAATTGCTTTATTTTTGGTAAAAACTGCATATATTCTCCAAATTAACAGCGAGAGAGCTTAGTGTGTTGTTTTAAAATGTCTCTAGTTTTAGAATATTTTTACATTTTTATAAAATTCCTAATTGCAGCTTCATGTACTTTATTAACTCACATTTCTGCTTTCTTTAATTGGAACATAATGTATTTCCTCCTACTCTACTGCAATTTGAAGACTTTATTTATAAGTTGAACTGAAGTTATTTATTTAATTCATTTTTAATATACATACTTATACATACATACATGTGTACAATTAGTCCCGCCTATAAAAAGCAAATTTATCTGAGATTGATACCAATAGACTATATCCATTTTTTAGAATTACTTATGAATATATTTTGGAACTGTTAATTGCAGGACAATAAAATAGACTATTAAATTGTAGATTACGTGATAGTTTCCCTTTAATACAACTGTATTTTTAAAGCTCCTAAAAAGATTTATTTTTAAATTGAACAAAAAATGGTTGATCATACTTTCCAAAATTATATCGTTTCAGAAAATTCCAATTGAATTTCATAAATTTTTAATTATATTTCAGAAATTTTACATGTAAATTCTATTAAAAATTTTCTGAAATATAAATGGTAAATTCGGAAATACTAATGGATATTTCTGAAATATCATTAGAAATTTCTGAAATGTAATTGGAATTTTCTGAAATTTTGAATTTTCTGACTATAGATTAGACTAAAGGTACACTAGTCAAAAAAAAAAATTATTTTATAAGAATTAGTCTAATGATCAAATACATTTGTATAAGTATTCCCGCCGCCGCAGAATCTCGAGTCACAACATTTTAAGAAAAATGATTCAGTAAAATAACCCACAATATCTTAATACCTCTTCTACTTTCTCATCATTAGATTGAATAATTCTCTTTTTATAATAAAGTACATATATAAATATGTATTAAATATTATATACTACATACATAGTATATATTTACTAAACTTATGTACATACAATATATACATATGTATGTAGATATGTATATATATGTACTACTGTATACATCATAAACACACTAATAAGTAAACGCATATTTAGCAATAACATTCTAATGTCTGTTCTTATTGTCTATGGTTATGACGCCATACGTTAAGGCGTTCTTTAAAATTTTTTTTGCTACTGTATTAGTTGATTATTTTATTAAATTAATTTCATAATTAAATTACCATCATAATTACATAGCCATATTATAAAAACAGTCTTATAAAACTTACCAAAAAAAGCCAAAATAATATAAAGATAGCTAACCAAAATGTATCTGTACAAGTTCGATATTTTGGTCTATTTTGTTGTTGCGGTTCCTCTTCAGAACTTGCATTGCATCCCATTTTTCGCGTTAAAAAATGTTGTGACTATTTTGTGTTTTATTTTTAATGTTTTCACTTTTGTTTTACAATTAATCACACCACATACACACACACTATACACTCCTTATTAACTTTCTATAGTGATTTTTATGAATTAATTCCACCACATAACACCGCCACTTACTACGAGTTACTTCATCTATTGTTAGTTTATAGACAAATAAACAACAACTACTTGTTTATGGTTTTTTGGCCTGTTTTTTTTTTTTTTTTCAATTTTAGTTGTTGTCTAATCAGAGCCCTGCGCCGACAAATATTAACGGCGGCGGCGGCGGCTTAAAATCGACTGTAAGCCGGCTAAGTCTTCAACTACGTTTAGTTTTTAAATTTTCAACGATTTTAAATAAAAACGGAATCCGAGAGATCAGAAAGTGGGATTTTGGAAGCAAATATATTGTTTATAACAACAAAACAGATCAAGCTCAAAAGTTGTGTGAGAAATTATGCAGTCTAATACGCACAGTGTTGCCAAAACTTTGGAATCATAAACTCTGTGATTAAAAAACGCTGTAAATTATTATATTAAAACGCTGATTATACTGTAGTTGTTTTGATTTTGGGGGGAATTTTTAAATATTTCAGGGATAATATTAAAGCTATAACTCATTTCAGCTAAAAAAGGCAATCAAAATGTTGCTTTTTATAAAAATATATCTATAGTTAATGGAAAAACCTCTGTTTTAGTAACACTGAATAGAAACACCAGAGTACTGCGCTACCAAATTTTGCAGCGGCGTTTATCACTAAATGTGCCGGTAAACTGACAGCTTTTAGCCGGCTAAATTAAATTGACTTAATAGAAATTTAACTAAAAATTGGAGTTTTTACAAAATGGTGAGATTTTTACTAAATATTTAATTTTTCACTAAAATTGTCGAAAAATTTTAAAATTTAAATTACCGCAAATTTCAATATTTTTTTTTCGATTTTTTATTACTTTCTTTTGGGTATTTTTAAATTTCCATTTCTCTGGAAACCCTACCTATTTTCACTAATATGTTTTTGTTTGGATTGGCGCAAGTGCATGAATATTTAAAATTGAACATAAATTAAACATATTTTAAATCAATTCTTAATGAATTAATACATGGGTGTAAAAGATTTATGGAGTATCTTAACACCTCATGCTGAACGTAAGCCCATAAGTGAACTACGTGGCAAAACTGTAGCAATTGATCTTGCGGGATGGGTCTGTGAAAGTCTCAATGTTGTAGACTATTTCGTGCATCCTAGACACCATTTGAAGTAAGTGAAACATTTAATTTCATTATAAAAATAATTTATAATTATTAAAAACTTTTACAGAAATTTATTTTTTCGCACTTGTTATTTAATATGGGAAGAGGTTACTCCGGTTTTTGTACTAGAAGGTGTTGCGCCCAAATTAAAAAGTCAAGTTATTGAAAAACGTAATGAAATTCAATTTCGTGGCGTAAAACCAAAAGAGGCTCCAAGCAGCCAAAGTCAAACAAATGCACAAAAGACATCGAATAGTGATAAAGGCCGAACGCGATTTAATCATGTGTTGAAACAATGTGAAAATCTATTATTGGCAATGGGAATACAATGTGTTCAGGGACCTGGCGAAGCTGAAGCATATTGTGCATTTCTTAATTTGAAAGGGGTATGTAAATTTTGTGTCATTTTGGTAATTTTAATAAATTTTTTAATTATTATTTTTTCTAAAAGTTAGTCGATGGTGTTATAAGTCAAGATTCCGATTGTTTTGCTTACGGAGCCATACGTGTCTATCGAAATTTTTCTGTATCCACACAGGGAGCCTTGGCAGCACAAGGAGGTGCAGTAGATATCTACGATATGAGAAATATTTGTTCTAAAATGGGTAATTTTTATTAATTGCATTCAAAAGTTTACAATATATTTGAAATTTTTAAATGTTTATATTAGATTTTGGCCAAAATAAAGTGATAGTCATGGCTTTACTGTGTGGTTGTGACTATTGTCCTGATGGCATAGGGGGTGTGGGCCGTGATGGTGTTTTAAAACTGTTTAATAAATACAAAAATGATGAGATACTAAAACGTATACGTTCTTGGCGTCTCGAAGATGATAAATATACAGCATTGGAAATGAGAATAGATGATAAGACAATTTGCTCTAATTGCGGCCATCTGGGACGTACACAAAGTCATACTAAAAATGGTTGTGGTGTTTGTCGTACACATCGTGGTTGTGATGAAAGTTTATGGAAGTAAGTAAGAAAATCATTTGTAAACTTGCACAGTGGGGAAGTTACTAAAAAAGATTCCGTTTTTAATAATATTATAGTCAACGAAAAGCGTCATAACTATATATATTTATATAAACTCTAATGGTTTACGAGAGATTCACATTTAAACATTTTCACCCAATTTTCACATTCTTGGAATATTTTTGAAATCTTCCATAAATTTTTTATTTGATATATGTATGTATTAATAAAAAAATACTAGGTATTTGTTTTCCATTGATATATATTAAGTTTATGTTATACCTTATCATATTGAAATTGCTTCACTTCGGGGATCCCTACTTAGGGACCAGTAAAGTCTAGAACCGCCTGGGTAGATTTATAAACTCGCCCACTTTTCTCTCAGAATTGTATAATTTTATTAAAATCGGAATAGAAAAACATTTTTAAATTCTAGATGCAATCTCTCCATCCCTCTTTTAAAATTTCTCCACTGCATACCGAAACACTGATAATTTTTCCTGAAAACTTTTAGAGAAGAACGTCTATCTATAAAAGCTGAATTGGCAATGCGTAAAAAAGCTTTAGCAGATCCTAAATTTCCATCAGAAGAAATCATTGAGGAATTCCTTAAACAACCTACAGATGTTCCAAAACTGCAGTTGCATTGGCGTCAACCGAATATGGTAAAATTCATTAAACAGGTTGGACATCTATTACAATGGCCAGAAATTTATTGCTTTCAAAAATTCTTTCCTATTTTAACAAGATGGCAAGTGTTGAATGCTCAACGTTTAAAGGAATTGCCCACAGCTGTAATGTATGTAACACCCAAAGAAATTATAAAGAAACGTGTGGTAAAAGGTATTGCAAGCTTAGAATTATTATGGCAAGATGAAAAGGGTATTTTTAATGGTTTAATACCAGATAATCAACTGCAGGAATTTTTAGCCGACAATCCTAAAGGCTTACAGGACCTTTGGTCTACAGTTGAGCCCTTTGATAAGTTAGAAATTGCTTACCCTTTACTCGTGGAGGCATTCTTAAAATCAAAAGAAAAACCGAAAAAAGTTACGAAAAAATCTGCAAAAACTAAGTTAAAATTAAATGAAGACCAACCTTTAGGTTCATTAGAAAATTTAAACGATCTTTTAGAGGCTACTAATGACATAGCCAAAACTTTAAAGCCAAAAAAACAAACCAACAAGACAAAAAAAGTTAATTCAAAGCAAGGTTTACAAATGATTGATAGATTTTTTAAGCAAAGGATTGATGATGCTCTAGAGGAAGGAAAACAAAAAACTCCTGTTAAATCGGGGAACAAAACTGTCCAACAATGTTCTACCCCCATAACCACAAACATACCATCGGATTTAGAAAGTGATGTTGATGATGAAGCTTTCAATATGTCAGATATTGTAAATGGTATTGTGGAGAAAACAAATAAATCTTTTACTTTGACCTCCCACAAAGGTAAGCAACTTCGCTATGAAGCAATGCCACAGGATTTTAGCTTTTTATTAGGCGAAACTAAACCAATTGCTACCGAAACAGAAGGATATCTTGATGATTTTGATTTGATTAGGGAAAAACGTTTACTTTCGAATTCCTTTCGCAAATCTACAAACATTAATGAGAAACGTATGTCTCTGGATGATAGTTTCGATGTTTTAGTTAAAATGGGCAACAGTAGAAACTCGAATTTAAATGATAAGAAAACTCAAATCAATCGTCGTGTATCGACCATTATAGATCGTTTTAAACAAAAACAACGCATCAGTTTGAATGTTACAAATAGCTCCGTTGAGGAACAATGTGTTGATGATGATAAAAATGTAAGTTATTTTTTTAATAATAGCTTACAGCAAGAAAATGATGATGTCTTTGAGAGACTCATGGAAACTAGTTTAGCTAAAAAATCAGGTATATGTGATGATGATAATGATTTTGTAATTTTAAGTGATTAACAATAAAAACAATCCGATTTGGCAGTAAAAAAGTGAAATTTGTTTGATATAGAGTTTAATATAATTCGAAAAAAGGTTTTCGAAATAGTATTTATACCCTACACCACTTTAGTGGGGAGGATATATTGGATTTGTGCTGATGTTTGTAACATACAAAAATATCCGTCCTAGACCCACCTTAAAGTATACCAATCGGCTTAGAATCGTTTTCTGAGTCGATTAAGCTATGTCCGTCCGTCCGTCCGTCTGGCAGGCTGGTTGGCTGGCTGGCTGGCTGTCCATGTAAACCTTGTGCGCAAGGTACAGGTCGCAATTTTCAAGATAATTGGATGAAATTTGGCACGCACGTTTTATTTGACCCAATCGGTCCATTATTTCACCTAGCCCCCATAGAACAGAACCCCCCGAAAAGGGCTTCTGAGCTCATAATTATGTTAAATATACAGATATATCGATAAAATACGGCACAACTAAGTTTTATAGAAGTCTTGATGACCCTGCCAAATTTCATAAAGATCGGGCCCCATTTGACCCTAGCTCCCATACAAAGTCCCCTTCAGAAAATTACTTGAATGTCCCAAATTAACTTATAAACACAAATATCGCGATGAAATTCAGCACAATAAAATATTATGTAAATATAAATATATTCACAAAATTTTATCGGGCTTGGTCCATATTTGCCCCTAGCCCCCATATAAAGCCTCTTTCAGAAAATTAGTTTTTCATCCATAAATTGCCTAAATGTATCGGAACAAGGGAATATTGAAGATAAATGCTTTATTATGAAAAATAAATCACATTTAATATTCATAACTGGTGTAGGGTATCATATGGTCGGCCACGCCCGACTATACTTTCTTACTTGTTTTTAATTATTTTTAAAATTTACATTATTTTTATTTATTCAAACAACTTATTAAATGTTTGTTGGTATACGGACTGCGTTGCCAACTAAAATTAATTGGCAAAACTACCGCTTGCAAAAATAGCGCGCTAAAAATGTAAACAAAAAAAAAGCATTCAACAAAAAATTATCATTACACAAAAACATCGTGAGGTTTGCAAGCGTATTTTTTTATTGCTTAAAATTGCAAAAAACAAGGAAAGTTAAACTTCATTTAAAATAAACAACACCATGTTTGTAAAAAGTGAATTATCAAATATACAACTACCACAATCTCCCGAAGAATTTGCTGGTCCAAAAAATACAGAATTTAATAAACTTCTTGAAAATCCCAAGCTCTGGTCTAATGTACCATTGTTAAATTACACTCCATTGCATCAGTTAAAGGACAACACATTGGTAAGATTTAGAGGTATGATACAGGATATGCAAGATCCAGAAATATATCTGGAACGATACGAATGTAAAAAATCAGATGGTTCTGGAACTCGCATACAAGAGGGTAAATATAGAGATTGCCTACTGTTGGAGCGAGGCGAAGAAGTAGTCTATGACTCAAGTTCGAATGTGCAGGGCGAGAGGAGAACTTTATTTGTTATCTCTATACCGGGCATAAATGACTGGACCAAAGAGTATGAGGAAAACTGCAACAAAGCTAATTTGCCTGTAATTAATGTAGAACAACGTGAAAATGTCGCTGAAGGAGCAAAAAAGAGATCAGCTCCACTAGAAGATGAAATGGAAATTGATTGTCCTGATAGCAAAACTCATGTTGAAAGTGAAAACAAACCAAATTTAGAAGCTACAAAACGTCAGAAAGTCGATACAACAAAGGAATCGCAATCAAACTCCTCTAAAAATACTGCCTTGGGTGCTGAGTATTTGTTAAATTCTCCCATACCTGATAGACCCAGTAAAGCATGTATGATTAAAGTATATAAAGACTTCGATTCATATACCCTCAATACGGTTGTAGATGTCATTGGATTTCTATCAGTAGATCCCTCACTTGATGCCTCTAGCATGGAGGTGGATAATTTTGAAAGTACTACAGAAATACAAGCTCTCAATCCTCCTCCATCTTTAATACCTAGATTACATGCTATAGCCGTTCATAATTTACCCCATGTAAATCCCCTAATGGATCTACGTTTACCCATGCCGACTAGTGACAAAGAAAACTTAAACATACAAGTTGTACAGAAAGATCTACGCATGCTTTTAACTTTATGTCTTTTCAATGATGACTTGGCTGCAGATTATTTGCTATCCCATCTTATCTCAACAGTTTATAGTCGTTGTGAATTACAAAGTATTGGTAAATTTTCTCTTAATATTTGCAACATTCCCAAGGAGGCTTTGGCTGATTACACAAAACAATTGTATGAAATACTCGAATTAATAATACCCGCAAGTCATTATTTACCCATGACTTTGGATACAATGAATACTGCAGCATTCGTTCCTAAGTAAGTACATACATTCTTATATCAAATTTTAATTATTTTATTAATGATTCATTTGTTTATTTTTGCCGTAAAATAGAAAAGATTACGAAACAAATAAATTGGTCTCTGGTTTATTACAATTGGCACCCCAAACTCATTTAATACTTGACGAGACCCATATGCAACAGGGAAAATTAGAAGCCAATGGAGTTATGGGCATACAAAGCATTGCTCATCTTATAAATCATCAACAAATTAAATGCAATTTCCAATACTATGATATTGATTATAATGTAGATATACCAGTGTTGGTGCTGAGTGAGGGTCGCAGCATGTTGCCGGTAAGGAATTTATGCTCACACATTCTATAGTTTTGCATAAAATAGATTCTATATATTAGCTTACAGTCTAGTCTACTTAGTTTAAAGACCAGCTTACAATCTAGTTTTACTTAGTTCGCATACTAGTCTATACAATATTCGATATTAATTATTGCAATATGTTTTTTAATCAATCATTTTCTTATAGAGCGACATATCATTGCCCCTTAAAACCGATACAGAGTCTATACAACTAATAACTGAAACATTAAAGGCGGCGCATCATTATCTCAATCAAAATTCACGTCTTGATCAATTTCGTCGCTTTTTAACGTTGGCAAAAACTTCTCAATTTTCTATGAATCCGGATGATACTGAAATGATACAAAATGATTTCGTTGAAATGCGTAAAGCTGATTCAGTGACAAACGCAGATGATTTACATTCACTTTTGGTATTGTCTCGTCTATTGGCAATTGCCCAGGGCAAAGAAATACTCGATAAGGAATCTTGGAATATGGCTAAGGAAATGGAAACAAAACGGCGCCAACGTTTAAGTGAGCTGCCAAAATCTACATTACGTACGCGTCAATAATGTATTTTTAGAGTTAGTATTTGTTACATTTTAAATAAAGAAATAATAAAATAAGACTTTTTTAATATTCATAACTGCAATACGAGTTTTGGGTGTAGAATCCAATCATTATCGGAATTGTGTTTGAAAACTTTAAAAACATGCACATTGGTTTAATGAAATTCAACTAGATCGGTTATATTTCCGATCTAGAATCCAATTGTAACAATATCATTGGATTTCATTAAATCCGATGACACTGAAATTAGAGCCGATGTTAGGTCCCATTCAGTTACGCAACGATTGAAAGAAAAACGCAATCGTTAAAAAAGAAGCTGTTTCATATCGTTTCAATGCTTTACGATTGTCGCTACATACATACGGTTTTGTTTGTTGTTGTTTTAGCGATGGATCGTCAAATCGGAATGCAGAGTCGCCAAACGGAAAAATTTTAATTGAATTGCAGAATTATGGTGAATAGATGAGTTTAGAACTATTTACATGCATTTTCATCTTGTGGAATGGGAATTTACTAAATTTTTTCATATTTCAATCTCTAGGTTAGGTTAGGAAGGGTTATACACCGTAAAAACGTCGTATATCCACTCGGAGACCATAAGGTCCATTGTGATTCCCTTCAAAAAGTGAAGATTCAAGACAGAGAAGACAAAAACGCTACAACAACACAAGAATGAAAGAAAATAAGTAAAGAGGATATGTGAATAGATAATAAAATACAGATACATAAATAATCATAAATAATAACGAAAATCCATGTACTCCTATAAAGCCCAGTCAAAGAAGTGACTAATTCCCTTGACAAAACCTAGTAGGTTGCGAGAGTTAAGTCCCGCAATTTCCCCCAGTTCGCCGTGGAACCTATTCCCTAGCCATTATAGCCTAGCCGTTATACTACTGTCCCACTTACTGACAAAGGTTCTAACTGAGCAGTGTCCGGTTAGAAACCCTATCAGAACCCTTAGACTGCGTCTTTCCAGTCCTATAAGTATTTTGGTAGCAACCATATCAAGTTTTGGCCATAGGGCCTTTGATATCTTGCAATCCAATCTACTATTCCAGGACTGGTTAATGATGTCATGTATTCTTTCAATCTCTAACTAAAATGAAACGGAAATTTTAATGACAAATAATCCCGCACCCGTGATATAAATTTCCAAAGACAAAATTATATTTTTTTTAGCAATTTTATAGCATTTTGAAATTTCTCTATCTTAAAAAAATAAACATTTCTGTATTAGTTTGTATAATATTCATTTGCAAAATAAGTTTCCTTACTAATTTGGACATGTTGAACATAAATCCGTCAAAATATTTAGAAATCTATTTTGCTCCATGCTAGATGGCAATCAAGTGGATGTGTACCACACCCTTTTGAACTATCAAGTTATTTCCTAACAATAATAATAAAAAAAAAAACAGTAAATGTACTTTTTTTAAACTTTATTTTAAAAAAATCTGTAAAAAATATAAAAATTTACAAGCACATTATACATACATTTGTATATCTAAAATATGAACAAATCCACATGGATTATAAATTATTAAGTATTTCGATTCACAAAAAATACAAATTTACGCAGATCTAGGTAATACTTTTAGCACAATACTATGGCTACAACACTTTAAATATTAAATAGAATTGAAAATTTGTATTAATTTAGAATCGATTTACTTAATAACTTGCGTTTCGTTTAAAAAAGCTATCCGTATTAATCATAGGTTAATGAGAACGAAAGTCGTTCGTCAATCTGTAAAAAATAAAAAAAAAAACAAAATATTAAAATTTTGTAAAACTAATAAATTAATTTAAATAAATTTTATAAAATATCAGAGTGGATTTGTGTCATTTATTAATCAAATGATGGGGAATCCGAAAAAGTTTCATCATTAAACACCACACTGTGAAAAATCGTTGTAAAATTTACAAACATTTTAGAAAAGTAAAATAATCCACTAAATGTTTGCTTTTTCGCAAGGATTTTCCTTCAGTGTTAAAAGTTTTCTTTTGCAGAACAAAATGTAATTTACCTTCTTAAAAAAGAGATCCAAAAACCCATAATAGCCTAGTCAGCTGTTTCCACAGATTTTCTAAAAAAGAAGGGAATATATTAATATAAGAGAAATTTTGTAAAATTTATAAAGAAAATAAATATGTTTCATAAAAAATCAGAGTGGATTTGTGTCATTTATTAATCAAATGATGGGGAATCCGAAAAAAGTTTCATCATTAAACACTACACTGAGAAAAATCGATGTAAAATTTAAAAACAATTTAGGTAGGATAGGAAAATAATCCACTAAATGTTTGCTTTTTCGCAAGGATTTTCCTTCTGTGTTAAAAGTTTTCTTTTGCAGAATAAAATGTAATTTACCTTTTTAAAAAGAGATCCAAAAACCTATAGCCTAGTCAGTTGTTTCTAAAGATTTTCTAAAAAATAAAGGAATTATATATTAATATTTAAAGATGTATATAAAATATAGTTTGTTTTATAATGATCTAAAGATTAATATACATATTCGCTTAAATGCTCAATTAACTTGTATAAATAAATTTTTATTTAAAGAAAATTTAATAAATATTGAAATATTTAACATTTAAGCGGAATGTATTTATCAATTATAATCAGTATGGATTTAGTGTCATTTATTGTTCAAATGATGGGGAATCCGAAACAATATCATCATAAAAATTTTATTAAAGAAAACATAGTAATTTTAATACAATATTTAGCTTACCTTACTTGAAAATCCGATATTATATGCTATAAGATTCAGCATTTTTTACAATCTGTAAAAAATTAAACAGAAAAAAATTTGTAAGTTAAAGTTTATTGTGTTGTTTTTTTCTTTAGTTAATAACAAAGTAATGTTTGATTGAAATCAGCAATTCAAAATTGCGTTGGGTTGGGAAAGTTTTCTTCATGGCTTATCAAAGCGAGCTGGGTTAGAGTTATCATCATTTTGTCAAAACACATGTTAATATAACGTATATACGTATGTAATAAAGTTAATAAATATTTACCTTTCTTTTATGTGCATGGAGTTATAGCCCTGTGGTTTACTTTATGAAACAAATCTGTAAATAAAAATATAATATTCATGATTAGTGATTTGAAATTTAACAACTAATTGTTAAGTAAGGTATTTTTAAATTAAATCAGCAATTTTAATTTGCGTTGGGTTGGGAAAATTCTCTTCATGGCTTATCAAAGCGAGCTGGGTTAGTGTTATCATCATTTTACAAAGTGTGAACAGTAATCCCATGATTTACGTCATAATTGTCTTCATGAAATTAAGTGAATTAAATTTAATTTATACATACTAAAAGTATGAATATCTCCAGGTTTTGAGAATCAACAATGTTAAAGACGCAAATCGTGTTATTACTATTTAATTTTTATATCTTTTTTTAATGCTTACCTTCTTTTTTGCATAAATGCTTCCACTATTTTCAGATAATTTTCACTTATTGTTTAATATCTGCAAAAAATGAACAAAGTTTCTGATTAATAAATAGAAATTGAAAATATTATCGAAATAATTATAATGAATATAAATCAGCAATTTAAATTTGCGTTGGGTTGGGAAAATTCTCTTCATGGCTTATCAAAGCGAGCTGGGTTAGAGTTATCATCATTTTACAAAGTTTATATACAATAATGCCTTGATTTACGTAGAATTTGTTTTCATTATATGAAATTAAATTCATTCATACTAATAATATTAAGAGTAATATGTACTTCTTGAGTATGTATAAGAAGAAAATCCAAGTTGAAAGAATCAAACTTTCTGCAGGCGTAAATCAAGGTATAACTGTCTTATTTTTATACATACTTTTTAAATTTAATGCTTACCTTTTTTTGCATAAATGATTCCCCATGCCTATTAATGTTTGCTATTTCATTTAATTTGGCTATATAGTTTGATATCTGCAAAAAAATTAACAAAGTTTTTGATTAGTAAATAGAAATTTAAAAGATTTTCGAAATAAATTGAGTGAAATTAAATCAGCAATTTATATTTGCGTTGGGTTGGGAAAATTCTCTTCATGGCTTATCAAAGCGAGCTGGGTTAGAGTTATCATCATTTTACAAAGTCTGTACAGTAATCCCTTGATTTACGTAATTTGTTTATGAAAATAAAAACATAGATTTCAAAAGTTTCATATCGAATTCATACTGAAAGTATGAACATTTCTCAGTTGGCATTGAATATGTTTAGGTAAATCAAAGGATCACTGATAATTTATTATAGATTACTTACCATTTCTGTTTAGATGCTTCTCCATCCATATTAGTTTTTACTCCCTCTAAGCATCTTTTTATATGGTTTTTGCAATCTGCAAAACAAAAAACAACATAATTCTCCTATTAGTAAATTGAAGTTTAAAAATATTTATAATAGATAATGAAAACTTAATTCAGCAATTTAAATTTGCGTTGTTTGGGATATATTTTCTTCATGGCTAATCAAAGCGAGCTGGGTTAATGTTTTCATCATTATATTTGTAAAAAATTTAAAAGTTTATTTGTGTTAAAGTATGCTTACCTTTATAGTTTTAGAAATCCACTAATTTTAGTACATCAGCTTTAAAAATCTGTAAATATTAAAATAAATTTAAAAATTAGTTTTGTTATATTATAAAAAGAAGGAGAATAGGAAGTGTAGGCTAATGTTTAATCAGTTCTACTATCTAGATGAAATAGCTTACATTATTTGGATTCAAGTTTCAAAAAAAAAATTACATCATTTTAAATAATATTCGTAAACAAAGAGTAAGAAGTTTTTGTAAAATAAAAGAAATTGTAAAAATGTTGAAATTAAAAATAATTTCACTAAATTATTCATCTTAAATAAATAAAATAAAATTGTAAGCGCATTCAGGTTTAGATTCTAAGTTGAATTTAGTTTTTCTTTAAGTCTTTTAGTAACACGCGTGTTTTTTATTTATTAATTTAAATTTTCTTTAATTTTTTGTTTATAAAAATATAGTTAAATATTTGAATTCTTCTACTCTTTGTTTGGTTAAATATTTAGATAATTATTTATTTAATTTTTGTTGAAAAAACTCACCTTAGTTGTTTTCAAACATGTGGCAATAAATGTAAACTGAGCATGGCCGCATTTAAATTTCATCTGAAATAATAAGGGAAAATAAAAAATTAGTAAATCTTTAAACAAAACAATAATATAGTTGTTTTCTTAATTATTTAAATCAGATTTATGTTTCATCAAGTCTATTCAAGAGTAGCAAATAAATAAAATAAACATCATAGACATCCTAATTAAATATAGTTAAAACAAGTAAACAATAATTACCTTTAATTTTTGAGACAGAAAATTTCCCTCTGCAGTTTCACTAACTTGTAAATCTAAAAAAAAAAAGAAAAAAATTATTAATTATTTTAAAAATTCACAAGATTTTAAAATAATTTAAATTTCTAATAATTAATCAGATTGGTATTTTCATCAAGTCTTATTCAAGAGTAGCAAATAAATTAAAAACATCATGATCAAAATTAATGATTAAAAAAATACGTTTATAAAACTTACATTTTTCGTTCAAGTAGACGAATGAAACACGTGGTTTTTCCATAAAGCATGATGAAAAAGGCCACACTAAAACAAAAAGAAATTATGATTAATACATTTTGTATTTAAATACATTTTAAATAATTGTTTTTTCTTTAATCAGTTAAAAGTTGTCATCAAATAAATATTTTATATTTATCAGCGACGAAAAATAATAAAACATCATTTTATTAAAAAATATTTTCTTAAAGTTAAAAATAAAACTTACTTTATTTTTGCTGCGTCCATTTTGTAAGATGTTCTCCCTGCTAGTGTTGAATGATAACTGAAAATCTGTAAAGAAATTAGAAACGAAGACACTTCCCTCTAGGTATACAACTACAACAATGTAAACAACCCTCCCGTTTTTTTTTTTTTTTTTTTTTGTATTAAGATAACATAAATTTATCACAAATAAACTAAACTACCAGATTTTTTTTTTTTTAACCAAAACTTTTTCTTAAAGTTCCGTTTCCATTTCTTTTCATTTTCTTGTTTATACAAAAATGTATGTTAATTATTTGTGGATGTTATATACTTAAAAAAGGCTTAAACAGACTCTTGTACTGGAGGTTCATAACCTTCGGGTCTTTCAATGACAGCACCTTCAGCTGAAACAACAGCTTCGGTACCTTTGCCGCCACCATCACCGTGCAATTCCAACAATTTGGACAAATCGAAACGGGGCTTCTTCAATACCTTAACCTTGCGGATGTAAACATCGTGCAATGGGTAGATACGTTGGCAGATCTTCTCGATATCCTTGGCAATAGAATCCAAAGCCAATTTGCCAACCAATTGTTTCAAGTCGGAGGTGGTGACTTCATTGGTGATAATTTCGTGCATCTTAGCGCGAATCTTGCGGACCTGAGAGTGTTGAGCATAACAGGTCTTGCGTTGGGATTGTTGATCCTTAGCGGTGAAACCAATGCAGAAGACACGGAGCAAATAACCGTCAGTGGTCTTGGCCTCAACAATACCTTCAATGAGGGTTTGCCATTTCTTGACCATAGATCTGAAAAGGGCAAACAAAAGTTGTTGTTAAAACAAATCGTGTTTTAATATAAAACAAACAATATTGTTAATAATATAGTTGCATTTTAGTTGTAAATGTTTGGTTTACAAATCCAAACAATTTGATACACAAACATTCATACATGCATTAGACACTTTTTCACATGCACACACATTTTCAATCTAGTAAAACCTCATGGTTTTATATTTTTTTATAACAGCTGCATTCTTTCCACAAATGTTTATGTTTTTATTGTTATTTACAATTTTCATCTATTAAAAGTCCATAATTTAATTGTTTTTAGTTAATTTTTAATGTTTTTAACATTTTTTCCCATTAGGAATCTTATTTTACACACACACACACCCACACTTTGTATATACACTAGCATTTTTTTCATTCACTTTTTTGTTTTGGAACATTACCTGTATTTGTCGGTGGTCAAATCCATACCGTGGAAATTACACAAAATGTTACGATCTTGTACATCTTCAGCGATGAGACGGAATTTACGGAAAGAACGTTCGGAATCGTTGTCCTTTTGCAAATCACCCAAAGCAACTTCGAACACACGGCCCTTCAAGTAGTCAGAGGCGATTTTCTGACCCTGGGTACGGTTAACCAAGGTTTTGCCAATTTGGCGAGTGGCAAACATGTTAGGGGCTTTAACATCATACCAATCTTTACGGGAGAAGGGATCAACAACCTTCTTTTTGCCACCTTTTTTGCCTCCTTTGGAGAGACCCTTATTTTTACCGACCGCCATCTTCAGAGTTCAAAGCGGAAAAAGATCGAATCACGTTGCTGACGTACTGTCAAAAGAAAGGAAGTTAAAAAATTGCCCACTGAACAGTAATTTTTTCGTTAAAAATTGACACTTAACGACCAGTGCTGCCAATTAATGCTATGAAAAACCAAAACAAAGCTTGTTTTTTGAAGATATTGGTATTGTTTAAAAGTAATTAATTAAAAATAATAATACTTTAGGTTAGAAAAAGTGTTAAGAAGTTTCAAATTATAATTTTAATAGCATATTAAATTTTTTTCTTTTATATTAAATATTCACTTTATTAAATCTGGCAACATGTTTGTGTAACATTTTAACGAAACTTTTCCGAACACTTCCTTAACTGTCAGTGCTATAATTGCAACGCTGGGTTAATTTATATCTAAGAGTGTTGATAATTCTTCGATTTTTTTTTGTAACCAACTTGAAAAAGAGTTTATAAAATATTTCTAAAACCAATATTTCCATATTTTAAGATTATTAGAACATTCTATTTAATAAATTTAATCCATAAATATTAAAGGTATGATTTAAATTTCGCAAAAAGCCTACATTTTTAGAAATATTTCAGACAGTATATTCTGAGTTTACCCATATCTGAACCATGTTGTTCCAAGTATTTTCAGACTACAATATTGACTATCAACACTTTTCAAATCAAAAAATAAATTAGAAAATTATATTTTTTGTTTCTTAATTTTTTTTTTTTTTATAATTTGTATGCAAATTTCTATCTTATTTTAAAAGTTCATGACACTTCTTGCTTATTTTATTTAATAAAGGTGTTTTCAGTCTACAATATATGCCAAAAATGTTTGTATCATAATACAATTTTCTAGTCTCAACAAAATGTATATTTCGATTTTTAGAAAAAAAAGTACTGATATATTTGGCATACGGGTTATTATAAACAAATCAAAAATTTTATTATAAAAATGTAAGAAGTGTAAAAAAACAGCAAAAATAATGCAAAATTTACATAAAAAAAAATTTACAGTTCAAAAAACACAACTGAAAACATAGGTGGCTCACAGGCGATTTTAACCCAACGGCGTAATTTTTAGTATTAGTCGACGACGCCGTTAAATTTTGACGGCGCAGATCTCTGCACAAATTTTTCCGAATAGTAAACAAAAAAAAAAACTGCAAGTATAATAAAAAATTTTCTTTGCAAAAAAGCAGCTTAAAAATGCATTAAAACAGTCGAATTAATTTGCAAATTAAATAATTTATAACGAACAAAGAAGAAGTTATTAATCAAATAAAGACGAAAGCATTGATTTTGCAAAAAAGAACACAAAATGTCTCAAAGTACGGCTGGTACTGGAGGCGTCAGTAGGCGTGAACTGATAGACCACACAGCGGTTGGTGTAGGTATTATCAATAATACTATAACTGCAAGATATGGTGCTGGCGATACGGAATGGGAAGCTCGAGAGGTTAGTGCCACAAATAAGTCTTAAAATTAAAAACAAATTGCAATAGTTTATTTTTTTCTGAATTTAGTCTCAGCGTCAAAGGGAATTGGAAGAGGCACGCGCTAGAGCAGCACAAATGGAAAAGACTATGAAATGGTGGTCTGATTGCACTGCCAATTGGCGGGAAAAATGGAGTAAGGTAAGTTGAAATTTGCATAGTTAATAACACGGTGACCGGCGGAGTTGTTGTATTTGGTAACCAACCAAATTTTATTTATATTTTTTGTATTTGTACATACAATGCACTTTATATGGTTGCCGTTGCTGGCTACTTTTTGTTTACTTTTCGAAATTAAATCGATATACATATGTATGTATTTCTCTTTTATTGGTAATATAAGGTGCGTAACGAACGCAATAAAGCCAGAGAAGAAGCTAAACAATTGAGAGCTAATCTTGAGATGTCCATGAAAGAAGCAAACTCCTATAAACGAGAGAAAAATGATCTGGAAATGCAAATATCCCAACTTAAAAAAGAAATGGAAAAGGTTCATTCGCTGATGATGAAACATGCTGGACAATTTCATAAGACAGGGTAAGTAAATCTAAGGGTATTAACTTTATAATATACCAACTAACTTTAATGGAGTATTTAGTAGACAATGGTTTTTAATTTAAAAGCGGTAGTTTATCTTTAAGATTTCGATTATATTTTCTTATTTAATATCTAAATATTTTTTTATTTATTTTTATGAAATATAGAATGGCTGATACTGGAGAAGAAAACGAAGCAAATAGTAGAGATGCTAATTGTTCTCCTGATATATCTTCGGATGGTTTAAAAAATGTCAATAGCGAAGATGGTTTAGTTACTAAGGCAGCAGCTGGTGGTGAACTTAAAGATCTCGATATTGAAGAATATGTTTTAAAAGGTGCTGTACATAAAAATTTATCCGATTTGGGTAAGTTTAAAAATCGTACAATAATAATAATTCAAATAAATTATTAACAAATGTTTTTAATAATTTATTGATTTGGAGGTTTTTACCAGGTTATGCATTAAAATTTCTAGAAAATCTTGTATTTTTTTAATTTTATTCGTAATTCCATTATTTATGAACCGATATTGTACATTTTCAACAGCAAACTTCTCGAAAGCATGTCTGATAGAATTACACAATATTTGAATCTAGAAGATATATGATATCTAGAAGATAATAACAAACAATTATTTTCATCTTTTTTAACAGATGAAGTTTCCGCTGAGGAAAAACGATTAATTCAACAATTATCAAAAGATGAATTCGATGAAGATTACTTATTGCAAAAAATATCGATGTTACAATTGCGCTTAGATGAGGCACAGAAAACTGTGCAAGCAGAAAGAGAGTAAGTATATTTTAATAATTCTATTGCATTTAATTACATAAAAATGTAATTGTTTTTTTTTTTTAGCGAAAAACATATACTACATAAAAATATTGAAAAGCTATCATTAGAAATACAAGAAGTTCGAGAACGTCAAGAAGAATTACGCTCAGCTAAACAGGTAAATTGTATAACGAAATTTCTATTAAAATATCTTATAACTTACAATAAAATATAATTTTAGGAAGCAGTACGAGAACTATTAACACTACAAGAATCTCATCGTGCTGAAATGCGTATTATAAACAATTCTCTACAAGAAGAAATAGCAGCACGCGAGAATCTTGAACGTCGCTTAAGTGAATTGCGTACAGAATTGGAACGTTTGCAAGTGGAAAATGCCTCGGAGTGGGGTAAACGTGAACGTTTAGAAACGGAAAAATTGGCTCTGGAACGCGATAATAAAAAATTACGAACTGAACTACGTGATTTTCAAGAACGTTCGGATCGCAAAGGAAGACCTATGCAAGCAACCGATGCTGAAAATCGTGCTCTACAGCAAGAGTTAGCTGATCGCAGTAAGGTAAAAGATGACTTATTTATAAGATATATACATATACCTATAAACATTTATAATGTTCTAAATTTATGATTAATGATCAAAATACCTTTCTGATGCTTTCAGTAGAACTTTTTTTAATTTTTTTATCTAAAGACCTTTTTTACGGAAAAATTATTTTACTTTTTATTACCAAATAAATATATACATATATGTTTTTTCAAAATTTCATTTCAGGAATTAAGCGAACTTAAAATATCACATTCCAAACTAAAGAAACTGTTATCTGAAACCAATACTGAGCTGGGTCATGCAGTAAGACGTGCTGAACAATATGAAGCCGAGGTAAGTACAAAATTCTATTCTATTATTGTGACAGCACTTAACAAACTAACAGAACATGTTTAATAAAAGCTTTTAAGAATATTTGAAATTAACTACAAACTTTTGATAAGTAATTAAAATTAACGTAAAAATAAATAATCAATTTCTCAACAATTGGGGGTAATTCTCAATGATTTTTTAGATTAGATTTAAGAAATGATTTTTTCTTTTATTATTCCTCATATTCATACAAGTCCATAAGCGTCATAAAATGTTGTTGAAATTAGTACAATTAGACTAATTAGCACTTTTTTCTAAACATATCAATTAATAAGAAACAGAATTCAAAATTTCATTGTTTAGAATATTATACGAATACAATTTTGCCAGAGGGCTAAGGATATAAATAAAAGCTTGTAAGAGGGTGTGATTTAGAGATTTAGCTCTGTTCGTGTATGGGTTTTGAAAGTAACAAAGATTTCCCAATATTTTAGAGATTGCTAAAATTAATAGGGTAACAAATTTTTAAACCAGTACACTTTTCTAAAGTGAGAGAGATTAAACATTTACATATTTTGAAGTCAAATGTGGAAAATGTAAATTCTTATCGAAAACTTGATGTTATGCAGAAATTATGAGGTCTTGATTTGAATTCAGTATTAATATAAGTATTTATTTACATTTTACGCTACACAACTTTATTTTCTTTTTTAATCTTAAATGCATAATTACAGTTTATTAATCTATAAAGAAAAAGACAAGAAAAATTTTTACATTGTAACATAAAGTGTAAAATTTTAGGGCACGATATATAAAAACCTATAAATGCAATGTTTCGAATATGTTCAATATTTACATACATTCTCATCAAATTTTAATTGGCAAAAGCAGGAATACCGGTAATAGCACGACCCAAAATTAAAGCATGAATATCATGTGTACCTTCATAGGTATTAACAGCTTCAAGATTCATAACGTGGCGTATGATGTGATACTCATCGGCAATACCGTTGCCACCCAACATATCACGCATAACGCGAGCAATTTCCAATGATTTACCAGAATTGTTACGTTTAATCAGGGAAATCATTTCGGGTGTGTGCAATTTTTGATCCTTAAGACGGCCAACTTGCAAACAGGCATGTAGACCAAGAGCAATTTCAGTGGTGGCATCGGCTAACTTTTTCTGTATCAATTGATTGGCGGCCAAGGGACGTTTGAACTGTTTACGATCCAAAGTGTATTGACGAGCAACTTCGACACAAGCCTCAGCGGCACCCAAAGCACCCCAGGCAATACCATAACGAGCATTATTCAGACAACCAAATGGTCCTCTAAAACCAACAACATTTGGTAATAAGTTTTCTTCGGGTACATGAAGATCATCCATAAGAATCATGCCGGTAGCAGAAGCTCTCAATGAAAATTTGCCTTCGATTTTGGGGGTGGCTAAACCTTTGGGAGATTGTGAACGATCCACTATAAAGCCACGTACTTTATCATCTTCTCCCTTAGCCCAAACAATAATGACATCGGCAATGGGAGAGCTAGTGATCCAAGTTTTGGAACCATTTAAAATATAACATTTGCTCTTACTATCATATTTAGCTCTAGTTTCCATGCCAGCTGGATCACTGCCATGATTAGGTTCAGTAAGACCGAAAGCACCTGAAAATAACAATAATTTAAAGAAAATCTTATCACTTATCATTCTCTTAGTTTGTGTGTACTGCTTATCTTTTAAGCAAATTGTACTTATTCACATGCTTTCATTAGGCAACAACAAAACTAAACTCACCGATTAATTTTCCTTGAGCCATAAGTGGTAAATATTTTTCTTTTTGTTCAGCTGTACCATAGTCGTAAATGGCACCCATAGCTAAAGAGCTCTGGACACTCATGGCTGAACGATAAGCAGAGTCAACACGTTCAACCTCGCGTGTCAATAAACCATAGGCAACATTGGAAACGCCAGCACAGCCGTAGCCATTGAGAGTACAGCCCAAGGCACCGAGTTCACCAAATTCTTGCATTATAGCTTTATCGAAAACTTCGTCACGATTTGCTTTGGTTACTCTGGGCAATAGGGTAGTTTGGCAGTAGTTACGGAATGAATCACGTATGGCAATTTCATCTTCAGTTAATTGTGATTCCAAATTTAAGGGATCTTGCCAATTGAATTTTGGTTCACTTGCTTTGGTGGCAAAACTAGCTCTTGAAACAAGAGGACGTAATTTGCTTAAAAGATTTTGGGCAATCATTTTTTTCAATTATATTTTTTTACAATTTTGTCTCAATTTTATTATTTGGTTAGATAAGTATCCAATAAACAGCAAGAACCAAATCAGCTGGTGTGTTTTTTTCCACTACTGCTTCATACGAGTATTCTCACTGAACTAAACTGGGGGGAACATACAGGTTGTGGTGGTTTGCTTATATATTTTTTTTGGTTTATGCTCGCAAACATGTTAAAGTTCTTATCAACTTTAAGTACACTCTCACTTTTTAGTTTATTCTCTCAATTATTTTATTAATATTTACAAGTACGATTAGTATTATAATGAAAATGTTTAAAAAAATCTCTCCACATTTTCGTACTTTGTGAGATGCATGGGTGTGTTTGTATGTGCGTTTGTATTTTTTATGGAATAAATCTAATCATTTAAATATCATGCTTATGGTGTGTTTTAAAAAGAAAACAAAAAAACGTACATTTTTGATCTATACTACTAGGGATTTTATGTGATTCTATTAACGTAATGTTTGATAAGATCTGTAATGAAAATATTCAATATTGATATTTATTTGTTTATTAATATAAAATAATGAAAATTCAAATCTTAATCATTTTCTCATAATATTACAGTGCAATATTATATTTGTATAATCAAATATATTTGCCTGAGCATGTTAAAGCCAATTGAGTATTTGGTCAGCTCATTTCTAAGATGTTTATTCTGTTTATAATTGATAGCTAAAGCCGTAAAAATAAAATTGCATAGTACATTGGAATGTCCCGGTTCCTAGAACTAGAATAAAATTATAACAAAACTAGAAAAGAACTAGAACAGAGCTAGAACAGAACTATAACAGAACTAGAACAGAACTAGAACAGAACTAGAACAGAACTAGAACAGAACTAGAACAGAACTAGAACAGAACTAGAACAGAACTAGAACAGAACTAGAACAGAACTAGAACAGAACTAGAACAGAACTAGAACAGAACTAGAACAGAACTAGAACAGAACTAGAACAGAACTAGAACAGAACTAGAACAGAACTAGAACAGAACTAGAACAGAACTAGAACAGAACAAGAACAGAACTAGAACTATACAGAGTCCTGTAATGACAGCAATTAAATTTCTATGTTGGTTACGCATAATTATCTGGATTGTTTAGCAATGCAAATCAAGATTTAGTTGATGTTGTTCTGATATATCCCTTTATAAGGATTGATAATCTCCTTCGAATTTTGTAAAGGAGTAAACAGTTGGGGTTTTTGCCTAGCGCTTTCATTAAGACAGTTGTCCATAGAAAATAATCGAATTAATAACCGTCTCAAAATCTAGTTCACCAGCTTAGGATTTATTCCCCGTCTTGTGCCTATAGCTCCCCTGCCTTGTATACTCTGGCTGTAATGATTTCCATTAATAAGTTATATTACTTATTTTAAACTCTATTACTTATTTAATTTTTTTGTTGTTAATTTCTTCGTTACATTAAATTCTAATAAATTTCGTTCTTTTTAGGTCAAACGTTTACGTCAACGTGTTGAAGAATTAAAGCGAGAATTGGCTGCAGCTGAAGATGAATTAGATTCGGCAGTAAATCAAGTGAGACGTCTGCAGCGCTCCAATGACGAATTAGTCGGTCAAAATGAAGGATTGCAAGTACAGATACAACATCTACAAACCAGGTTTGAATCATTTCTTACATTTTCTTAACAGACACTAAAACTTATTCCCTAATGCTTCAAAAATAATAACCCTAAAAGTTAATAATATTTAAACATTCTAACATTTGGAATGCTGCAAAATATGCTAAACATTTCGCCAATACTAACATTTATTAACTACTACACTAAATCACAACAAAAAAGACGTGCACCTAGTCCACAAATGCGCGGAAGTTTTAATGGTGTACAATTGCGTAATAAAATAGCAGTTGAATTACCAAGTGATTGTTTGCCAAACATTAATGATTTACGTCAGATATTCGATGATGGTTCGGCGCAAGGTAATATAGGGTTACGTCATTCAACTGGCGCTGAACCATCATCCAAGCGTTCCAGTCACACGGAACGTACTCTCTTGCAACAACAGCAAGCGAATAGTTTTTTCGATGCGAAAACATCACATGTTGAAGAGAATATATTTGAAGCAAAAAGTCGTAATCTAGAATTTGAAAGGGCTAAGCAAAAATTTGATAATCCAACGCATTTGCAACATCAACATCATCACCACCAGCGCGAACAACGTGAACGATCATCTGGAAGATATGGTCCAAATAATAGCAGTGGTAGTGGTGGTGTTGGAATGGGAAATGGAAGTGGCAGTAATGGTTCTACTGCTGCCAATCCATTAAGTACTCCAAATAGTCGAGCTAATTTGGCTTTACCTTTGAAAACTACTACAGCTATGAGTGGTCAGAGCAGCGGAAATTCCAATTCAAATTTGAATTCGAATTCATCTAATCTTTCCAAAGACGATATAAATCGTCAGTTATTTGAAGATCATTCACGTTCTTCGACGGTTGGTGGTAGCGGTGCTGGTGCAACAAGTGCTGATGCAAAATTTTACCAAAAAGATAATTCCAACTCAACTGCAACTGGTGGTGGCAATTATTCACGCAACAGCATTAATTTGGATGGTCTAAAAGTATCTGATGATGAGGTAAATAATATTTCTAATTTATCCTTTTATTAAAACATTTATTTATCTATTTTTAAAATTAAGTGTGTGTGTGTTTTCTTTGTTTTTTTAATTTTCATATAAATTATTTTATTTGCTTTTTTGTTAATTTTATTACATACATAAATCTTATATTAATTGCTTATCTGATCTGATATTTGTAAGTATTGCACTTTTTAATATGTTTTCACTTGGTAGTAAAAATCATTTAAAATTCACCAACCTGGAGATACAATTATAGTAAACGAACTATATATTTCTTTCTTACAATCACTTGTTTAGACTCCGTAATTATGGTTCGACTAGTTTACTGCTTGACGAAGAAACCGAAGGAAACAGTGAATAAGGGATTATAAAACATACATTGGGACTTTGCTATGTTATTTTAAATAACTCTCTCTCGTATTATTAAGCACATAAAATAAGTATTAATGGAAAAAAACGAGATTTTTATTATTATTTTGTCTACTTTAAATTCATTTACAATTAAGTATTATTGTATAAACGAAATATAAATTAAAAAAAATATACTACAGTTATAGGCAATAAAATAAATACATTTGATGGTCGACAAATATATGTAAATCTTTAGTAAGAGATGATGAACAAACTTAAAATATGGCGTAAATTTTTCTTGTAAAAGATCTGCGAAATATATTTGTCCATTTACCGGTCATTTATGAACCAATTTTTTCAATTGTGAATGTTAGAAAAAGTTATTAAAATAAAAACAGAATCTAACGAAACGTCACTATATTAACAACAAAATAAAACTTAGCAATGATCATAACATAGAATTCGTATAAAATATTAAAATGAAATGAAAAACAGATTTGCCAAACGGATAAAATATAGATTTGAATCGAAATGCAGAATAGGAGTATATATATTTTATTGCCTTTAACTGTAATATTTAACAGATTTATTATTACTAAGTATATAAAATATTGAAGTTCTATAATTCGCAATACCATACGATTTTTTATAAAACTACAACCAAATTTGAAGCTATACTTTCATTCCTATTGACTTGTTTAACTGAGTCCGTATTAACATATTAACTTGACCAGATAGTTTTTTTTAACTAAAAGTGGACCCTAATTGATTAAAAGATGTTTAGAAGAAAGATTAATAAACAATTATGAAATTGAAAGTTTATCTGCAACAGCATTAACAACTGCTTTTTATAATAACTTAAACCGAAACGTAACATTCATTATCGAATGAAAAACTATTTACTATATTTCCTGTTCGATATCGAATGCCGTTGCTATATGACGACTATGAATCTCATAAATCTATGAAGTGATTCTGAAAATTAACCTTCTTCAATATTAAAGAACTGTTCAGTTAAAATTTGAACGTAATAAACTTTGAATTGTTAGCTCTTAACACTAGAAAAGAGGGAAAAGACTTCAAGAGTGTGTTACTCACCAGAGACGTCCAACATTTGATTTGAAACTATTTATTACAATTTTGAACAGTATATTAAAGAGAGATCTTCCTTTCAATCTTAACAATTTTGTTCCTCAAAATATCTAAAAATTAAACTAAGGAATGATAAAAAAACTATTATTGTAATTGAATAGCTTTTGTGGATCTGCACTAAAGATTTAGCTGGAGATTGCTCTTTATTTCTTATATATTAAACTTCAAAATTTTATATTACAATCAAAAGATATCAACAGTTTACTGCTTTTAAATTTTAATAGAACAGTTTTTTAGTTCAATATTTTCTTTGGAATAGTCTAGAAATAACACATATGGAACGTTTTTATCGAATGTCGATCTATTAATAATATTGTGTAGTTCAAGATGAAAGAATATTGATACCTGTTAAATATTCTTTGAAAACCCATTGATTTGTTACCTTTTCTGATATTTATTTCTTGGTAACAAAATTGGATTCAATTCTGATATCTATTTTGCTCTGAATGAATTTATAGGCGGCAAAATATCAGGATAATATTGCTTAATATCGAGTGTATGGTTAATGTTGATCAAAATAATATATTTTTAGCGAACACAGATGAAAAAATTGTAAAAGCATTTGTTAGAAAATGACAGAAACCTTATATTATTTGGACTGATAAAATTAGTACTATGACTTATATATATTATTTCATAATAATTATAAGGTAAAATTTAATTTAATACCTTAAACTTAATACTATAATATTAACTATAAGCATCACAGCAATCGTTTTAGAACTATATACATACATATATAACAAACATTTCAGGCCAATCAAATTTGAAAAAGTCGAAAAATAAAGAATATTTTTGAAAAAGATTAAGCTGCGCTGAATATGGCATCTGAATTTCTCCAGGTTTTTAAGATATCGGGTGTTAAAGTTTGAAAAAAATCCGTTTTTGAACATATTTCGTCGTTATAACAGCGGGAAGACACCATTATTTATAATTTTTATTATATTATCTCTGAATGTCCATAGCAAAATCTTTATTATGTCATCTGAATGTCCATAACAAAATCTTTATTATATATTCCTCATTCTTCGAGATATCTTAACTTAAAGCTACATTAAAAACAAGTAAGAATATATAGTTGGGATTGGCCGACCTACACCAGTGAGTGAACCAGTGTTGAAAATGTGGATTACTTATTAATTCAGACATTTCTCTGAAAAATGGTTTATATGTGGCCCGATCATTCCGAAAATCGGCAGTATTATTTAGACTTATATAAAGTAAAGTTTTGTCGATTTTTGTACAGATACTAGAACATTCAACATAATTATGTGTTCAAGAGTCCTATTCGAGGGGTATATGGGGGCTAGGTGAAATGAACCGATTTCAATAACTTTCAATAGGCTTCGTCCTTGGAACAATCGTCTCATAAAGTGATTCTGTAATGACTGGTATACTTTAAGGTGTGTGTTGGATTAATATTTTTGGGTGTTACAAACATCAGCATAAACTCATAAAACCCTCCCCACTATAGGGTGTAGAGTATAAAAAGTTGAATATTAGTTGGATATAGCTCAGCAACAATTCAAAAAGTGTTTTTTTTTTTTTTTTTTTTTGGGAAAAATTGTGACAAATTGTGATATATGCGTTCTTGTAAAATAAAGGCGAAATGTAGTCAAAAACTAAGATTTTGTCAATTTATGAATGTTTCGAAATTTAGATTAAGATATTACGAAGAAGGATGGGAGGTTAAAACATTATTTTAAATTCAACCGCTTGGACTTGTAGGACATAACAAAATTATTTAATAAAGATGTCTTCACTCTCTTATAACGTCTCAAATAAGCCAAAAACAGAATTATTTACAATTTAAAGGCTTAATATCTAAAATACTTTGGTGTCTAGATTAAAGATAGTTTTGACCAACTTAATCATAAATATTAACGGTAATAATATATTTTATGTGTGTTTTAAAACAAAATAAGAACAAAAATATACATGATATTAAAATAAATAAAAAAAATTTCAAAAGCAACAAAAAAATAAAAATAATATTAAAAATAATTAAAAATATTAAAAATAATTAAAAATATTAAATGCAGTACATATATAAAAAATTGGTCTTAAACTAAATTTTAATGATATTTTATTGAAGTTAAAAAAAACACAGGCCTTAAGGATGTGTTTAATTATAATTAAAATTTACTCTAAATGTACAAAAAAAGAAAAATAATAAAAAATAAAATAATTCATAATATATGTATGTACATTACTCGCATAAGTTTTTCCACTAATTCCATGTTTTCAATTTACCTTAAAATAGTAATTTTTTACTTTATTTAAATTAATATTTTTAACCAAGTTCGTAATATAACATTATGATTACATGTTTATTCCACCAGAGTTTGAAAAATATAAAATAAATATTTAATTATAATAAACTAGTATTAACACAAATAAATAAAAAAAATATATATGTATATTTAAAACAAATAATGTATTAGTTTTTTTTATTTAAAAAAAAAATAATATATTTTTTACTTACTTTTTACTTTCAAACGTTGTTTTAAACACAATTTATTTAAATTATTTATTTTTTTATTTTATTTATTAATATAATAAATTTTTTTTAGTACAAATTACTTATTAAAAAGCTTTAGCACAGTTTTTAAAGGTTTTCATTTTTTTTGGTGTGTTGTTATACAAAAAAATTTTAATTTTATTTTTTAATTAATTTTGGACTAGATATTTCGGTATTAATGTTTATCTTGTATTTAAATGTTCAGTTACTATAGGCAATTATTTAAAGTTTAAGCTGAGAATTATGTAGGTTTTATAGTTTATTTTTAAAATTGAAAGGTATTTAATAATGATTTAATCAAATTACTGTTTGTTTATTTAAATAATACTAAAAAAAGGTACAGGAGTATGTAGGTTTCTGTAAACTTTTTTATTATATATTTTTAAAAATTTTTTTATTTCGGCAACTATTAGTTGTATCTCAGAATTTTCGAATTAAGTTTTAGTTATATTCGGTTATATCGTATCTTATGCAACCATTATCAAAACAAGTGTTTATGTATATGGACCTAAGTCTTTATGGATCGATATGGATAGTGATATTAATATAAACTTCATAGAGATTTTCGGGAGAGGCTCATTTAGGAGGTGTTGGGTTAATTATTATGGACTAAGCTCAATTGTATTTGAAAAAGTGAGTAATCTATTTTGTAGAATTTTATATTAATATCGTAATAATTAAATGATTACTTGAGTTTATATGCTCTGTAAACCTATCATCCTGCAACTATTTAAGCAATATTACCTGGGGTCATTTGTATGAGGGCTAAGAGAAATCATGGATCTATATTGCCCATTTTCAATACCAAACAAAATGCAACAATAGAAAACATTTAATTTCTTAGCTTTTTCCATTCGGACCCAGACAGGCAGACAGACATGGCTACATCGCATAATGATCGAAATGAATAATCTAGCATTTAAATTTTCATGAGTGCTAAAAAAAATCGTGGATCTATATTGCCATTTTCAAAATTTTTGAAGAATATCAGTCCCTTAGCTCTTTTCATTCGGACCATATCGTGTTTTCAATAGATAGGCTACATCGCATAATGATCGAAATGAATAATCTAGCATTTAAATTTTCAAACTTTAAAATCGGGAAAAGTTTTTTTTATGTTATGTATTGCCGAATAGACTAGATTCTGCCCAATTTTTACTTTATTAACAAATTTTATTTATTGTAATTGTTCGTGCCCGTTTTTGGTTACGGCCATTATTTTGATCCCGTTAATTCTTAGGATAACGACATATAAAGGACGAATGCGAAGGGATTCTGCCACACCTAATATATATTCCGCTCGTTTTGAGTTCAATTACTGAAGATGTGGTGAAAAACATTAAAAATATTCAATAATAACTAGTTATTTTTGTAGGAGGTGCCACGCCTACTATTTTATTCCGTACATTTTGATATACATTAAAATGAAATATCGAATTCACAGTTTTGGGACTAGATTCTATGAAAATTTCGGGAAGTTTTTATAGTTGTTTTCGAGCTTGGGGCAAAATTCGTATTTCAGGCATAATTTTATTATTCATTACAACACAATTACAAATTATATGAATATGTATATCCCTTCCTAATTTACAGAGCAGTCTGACAATTATTATACGTCCGTTGTAAATCAAAACCACGCCCCAGATTGATGATATTAACACACTACTAAGTAGCTTATCGGGGCACACTTTCAATATTTATATTTGTTAAAAACACATTTTCTTAGGGTTCAAAATATTAAACAAATGTATGTATAAGAAAGTCTGCTAGTAAACAAAATTTTGTTATAACCTTTCCTAAAATTGTAAAGGCTTCTGAAAAGATTTTAATAATTTTACAAAAGAAGCTCAATCTAAATTTTTCAATAATTCTTGAGAAGTTTGAAACTAATGAAAATATTGCATCGTATATAGTTTTCTGTTAAAAAGGTACAGTTTTGTTAGTTTTTGTAAAAATGCTTTTTTTTTCTTATACTGTATTATTAAATTTAATTTAAGCTAAACAATTTGAGATGAGAATATTTAATTTAATAATTTACAAAAGTTTCGTTTTTTAAGGTCCTTTGGGAGATTTTCTTTTTGCTATACTAAAATTAATATTATTATTTTCAATAATAAATATATTTCATAAAGTACATACAAAATTTACAAATTTAATAAATTTAACAGAAATAAAACAGTTAAATAGAATATAACAAAATTGTTTTAACAAATTAAAAATAACGTTAGAGTAAACGATTTAAACCTATGGTTATTAAGAATAGGAAAGTATTAATTAATACACTTGAAGCATTGCCGCATAATTCTATATTGCTTTCCTAAGGGAGACAGAATAAAAGAGAAAATATTGTTTTAGGTTTCAATAACCGAACTAATCTATTAACAATATACTTACATTAACATGTCGGCTTATACAACTAATAGGACGTACTCGTGAAAATTCATGATCCCGCTTAAAACATGCCAATGTTTGATTCTCCTCTAGTGGATAATTAATATCCATTGGATTTACTGTTAGTATATGAGTAGCATCACGTGGACACATTTGATCAATAACTAATAATATTAAATTGCTTGCTGGTATGGGTAGAACAACAAATGGTCTCTCACAACCATGCGCTGTCATATTATAGACAACATTATCCTTTTCATTATAGAGCGTATAAAGATCACGTTGCATATCGCATGGTTTCAGTCTTGTTCTTTGTAATGTTACTAAACGTACCCATTCGTTATTTTTAACATTTACCGTATAATCGGTCATATTTTCATCTACATAATGTTCGAAAAAATCTGCTGCCACTGTACTTACTTCGACGAGGTATAAGACAATTGTGGTTATTAGCCATTTAAATGCTCGAAGTACGTGGAATAGGGGCTGAAAAATAGTAAAATTTAATGATCATTATTAGAATTATCTAATATTATATTGTTATAATGAAAGGGTTTAACAGATTCACATTGCATATAGTCTAGTCTATAGTCTAGTCTATAGTCTAGTCTATAGTCTAGTCTATAGTCTAGTCTATAGTCTAGTCTATAGTCTAGTCTATAGTCTAGTCTATAGTCTAGTCTATAGTCTAGTCTATAGTCTAGTCTATAGTCTAGTCTATAGTCTAGTCTATAGTCTAGTCTATAGTCTAGTCTATAGTCTAGTCTATAGTCTAGTCTATAGTCTAGTCTATAGTCTAGTCTATAGTCTAGTCTATAGTCTAGTCTATAGTCTAGTCTATAGTCTAGTCTATAGTCTAGTCTATAGTCTAGTCTAGTCTATAGTCTAGTCTATAGTCTAGTCTATAGTCTAGTCTATAGTCTAGTCTATAGTCTAGTCTATAGTCTAGTCTATAGTCTAGTCTATAGTCTAGTCTATAGTCTAGTCTATAGTCTAGTCTATAGTCTAGTCTATAGTCTAGTCTATAGTCTAGTCTATAGTCTAGTCTATAGTCTAGTCTATAGTCTAGTCGTCTAGTCTAGTCTAGTCTATAGTCTAGTCTATAGTCTAGTCTATAGTCTAGTCTAAGTCTAGTCTATAGTCTAGTCTATAGTCTAGTCTATAGTCTAGTCTATAGTCTAGTCTATAGTCTAGTCTATAGTCTAGTCTATGGTCTAGTCTATAGTCTAGTCTATAGTCTAGTCTATAGTCTAGTCTATAGTCTAGTCTATAGTCTAGTCCTTTTACTAGAATTCATTCTTTGGAACATTGCGAGGGTGATACATTTAATAAAAAATCGTTGGTGAAAGAACTGATTCCAGAACCGTTCTATGAAACAACTGATTCCAGAAGGAACCATGAATTACTTGAGAATTTTGAATATAAACCATAAAACTTGTAGTGTCACAGTTCTAGAACCTGTTCTCTGAAGCATTCATTTCTTCCATTATCACTTCCATGATAATGGAAGAAATGATGCCACAACCATTCTATAAAACAACTGATTCCAGAGCTATTTTAGAACAAATTCAGATATTGAACATAAACATTGAAATTTAAAATATCCAACGGTGAGAATTTTGAACATAAATTGTGGATGAAAGAAATGATCCAAGAACAATTATATAGAACCGTAATATGTTGTAAAACATATAGACAGTAAGTGTAATAATACAGATCAAAATTTCCGAAATAATTAATAAAAATTTTCCACGAAAGATTTACTTGCTTATTAGAACTGAACGCCCATTTTTTTTAAAAAGAAACTACTTACCGTCAAAACATTCGAAGACGAATTATTATCACCGTCCGGTACAAAACAAACTGCTTGATAATCATATACCGTAACACGTTTATAAACATTTTCCTCCACTAAACGATGCATAATGGCACCATTTATTTCTCCAAAGAATCTACCAGTCTCATGACGACTTGGCGATATTATTATAAAACCATTATTATCTAAAACATAACAATCTTTATCATCAACAGCACAGGCCTTTAAAAAGAGAAATTAATCCAAAAAGAAATTTTAAGAAAATTTTCCAAAGATTTTATCACAATTACTTACATTGCCGGTTATATTACGGAAAAGTTTTAACAAAGCACTATGTTGAAATTGAAAACCAACTACGGCAGCTGGTGCAGATTTACCTCCTTCGGTATGGAAGACAGCATGACTGGCGGTAACAATAGTTTCGGCAGCAGTTTCCCCAGCATCAAAGGGTACGGAGTAAACAAAACTTTCCTCACGAACAAAATGTTGATCGACTGCACGTTTATACCAGATTTCATCAATAGCCTTATTATTGTGTTCACTAAATGATTCTCTACAGGAAGGGTAATTAATGTATTTTACGATTAATTTATAGAATAAAATTTTTTAATAGAGACTAAATACTGACCCTGCTCCCAATTCTTCGGCCATATTCGAATGAAATTCTTGCCATCTTGTGAGACCACTGTGAGTGGCTAAAAATGCCACCGTTATGCCAAAACGTTGCTTAAATTCATTTCTATTTGATAATAATTATTAAAAAAATAATTTTATTAGCAATAATAATAACAATTAATTAAAGAAATAACCGCGCTGATTATTAACTGCAAAAAAAAAAAATAATTTATTTCAATATTTTACCTTGGCAACAAACCCATTAATACTGAAATTGGATTTGAAGCACTTGAACTACTACTAATCCATAGAATATATTTTAAATTTGTATAAAATATGATTAAAGTGCGTTTTTAATAGTTTAAAGATAAAAAATAATTAAAGAAAATTTTGATGATTTATTTTAAAAGCAAAAAAAGAGAAATATAGAAATAAAATAAATAAAAAGAAAATTAAAACAAAATGGTGGGTGCAGAATAGAAAGTAAAATAAAATGTAGTATTTATTAAAATGGAAAATTAAGCTAAATTTTAGAGATTTGTTAAGGTTATATATAGTTGGGTTTCCGATTATATTACATATGAACTTAAAAATAATTTTATTTTCTTTAAACTTAAATTTCTTATTTTAATTCTAAAATTTCTAAATTTAATCAGACCATTCCGAGGAAGTCAATTTCTACTCGTCTACATCTAGAATGAGTGTTAAAATAAGTATCTCCGATTCTTAAATAGCAACCTTGATAAGTAGTGATATCGAAGGTTAACCGTTCTCTGGATCGTTCGATCAAAAATCAATTATTATTCCTGATCGAGAAATAGTTTTAACACAATTTCTTCCAGAAAAAGTTCAGATTCTTGAATAGCAACTTTAAAACTAGTGACATTGCCTGTACTTTTGAACCCATTCTCTGGAACATTCCGAGTTTGACAATATCGAAGAAAACTCATTGAACGAGTATCGAATTTACATATATGCTACAGAATTACAGTTCTGATTTTTTTCTGGAACTTTAACGAAATAACAGGTTCCATAAATTTTCTATAAAAATAGTGTTGACTCTAAAATTCCTTAATAGAACTCGTTCCGAAATTGAAAATTTCGTACAAAATAAATAAGTCCACGCCAATTAAGAACAAGTTTAGCATTATAATAGTAAATTACTCATTTCTTTATTTCGAATGTTTTAAATGAATATGTATGAATAGGTCTCAAATTTGTAAAGTTTGCCTTGTCAATACTTGATTTTGGACTGCCCTTCGTAGACAACCAGTCTTTCATATTTCCCAATTCGTTCTGTGTTCCCTCAATGGTTCCTTTAACTGTGCCATCTTGAGTATTCATAATCCAGCCATGTAGACCCAATTCTTTGGCTTTCTTCTCGGCATATTTGCGAAAAAATACATGCTGAACTTTACCGAATACCTCATAATCACAGGCATATAATTGTCGAGAACCCATTTTAAAGTAAATCTTTTTTCACGATTTTATTGTTTTTGATGGTATTTTGGGAAAATATTTGGAAAATGCTCAATAAAAATAAACTAAATAGGAATGTGAAATGACACAACTTTGTTTTACAAATCAATAAATATTGAAATACCATAGTGATTAGTGTTGTCTTTGAAGCGATTTATATAAAAGCAATACCTAACCCTTTCGGTTATGTTAATGAGACGTATATATTTAAAAAATGTATCTGTATAAATTAGGAACTTTTTCACTTTTCGAAGATCGAGAAGTGTCTCATTAGTTTAGCATCTTAAAAAAAGTCAAATCTGCTAACTTTAAGTAAATATATAAGTATGCAGTGTACGACCCTACCTCCTCAATGTTCGGTTTTTAAACAATAATATTTAAATTTTACTTACCCCTTATCGTCTTTTGAATTAAAGCTGGTATTTTTTGAAAACCATTCTGTAACTCTGGCATCAAATACCAATGACTGCATCAATTGGCGATCACCTAAAATATTAATCGTATTTTAGTAATAGCAAAAAAAATTAAAATATTAAGTATTTATAATAGTGCTTTTATTTGAGAATTTATGATCATGTCATCATGCATTTGATTGAGACAAACAATTTAAACAAATAATGTGCAATTCCTCAGCTAACAGTGCATTATAATTTTGAAAGTGTTATTGTTTAGATACTTATTAGTAATGTACATTTGTGCTAATATTATTAAATCGGAAATTACGGGAAGTTAAAATGTCGAGGTTTATTACCAATAGACTAGTCCCTAGACTACTTAACGGACTAGTCCTTAAACTAATCAACAGACTAGTCCTTAGACTAGTCTAACTAATAGTCTTTTGATTAGTCGAAGAATTAGTCTACTGATTAGTCTAAGGACTAATCTACTTATTGATTAGTCTATAGACTTATCTAAGTACTAATCTATTGTCTATTCTAAGGACTAGTCTATTGACTACTCTAAGGACTAATCTATTGACTAGTCTAAGGATTAGTATATTGACTAGTTTATAAACTAGTCTTTTGACAGTTAATGAACTACTCCATTGACTAATCTATAGACTAATTCATGGTCTTGTTTTTAGCTGGTCTATGAACAAATGAATGTGATAGACTTTTAACTACTCTATGGTCTAGAGTATGGGCTAGTTAATGGACTACTTTATATAACGTACTAGTTTTGCAACAGTTCCCAGCTTTTTATTAAAATTAAACTTACAATAATCATTAATTGTAGCGACAATTTTCCGGGAATTTAATAAAATATTTGGACATGTGATTTAGGCATTTAATTTCTTCCAATTATCTACTGTGCTTTACAAACTTATATTCTTTTTCATCATTTACATTTACAAAAGACAATACTGGTGCTTACGAATAATGAACAAAATTAGGTGAAACTATAGTTATGTGATAAATGTGTAGTAAATGTTAATAGTTTCGTAATTTAGTGCATTTAATTAACAAATACGAGTATATAAATAATAATAGTGATAATTTTGTGAATGCATTTTGTTCACAGTATGAATGTTACTCACAATAGTAATTATCTTTGTCGAATGATGGTATGCGCCCAGCAGATGAGTTAGCTGTGGATTTGCAATTTTTTGTTTTTTGGTTTGTTGATCATGAGTGATTTTAAGAGAAAAATGTTTAGATTGAAATCAATAGAAATTAGCTCGACAAAATAAATGTTTTTATGTTTATAGCCTTTAATTTCGTGAGAAGTTCTAATTTTGTTTGTAATATTTATATACTGAAACCTTATAGAAGGCCCCAATTATCTTAGCATCCAAATCATAATAATTCTCAGATAGATAGATAGATAGATAGATAGATAGATAGATAGATAGATATAGATATATATATAGATAGATAGATAGATAGATAGATAGATAGATAGATAGATAGATAGATAGATATAGATAGATAGATTAGATAGATAGATAGATAGTAGATAGATAGATATAATGTAGATAGATGAGATAGATAGCTAGATAGATAGATCGATAGATAGATAGATAGATAGATAGATAGATAGATAGATAGATAGAGAAGACAGATAGATAGATAGATAGATAGATAGATAGATAGATATAGATAGATATAGATAGATAGATAGATAGATAGATAGACGATGAGATAGATAGTATAGATAGTAGATGATAGATAGATAGCTAGCTCGCTCGTATCGCTAGATAGCTCGATCGATCGCTCGCTCGCTCGCTATCGCTCGCTCGCTCGCATCGCTAGCTCGCTCGCTCGCTCGATCCTCGCTCTCTCGCTCGCTCGCTCGATCCTCGCTCGCTCGCTCGCCGCTCGCTCGCTCGCTCTGCTCGCTCGCTCGCTCGCTTCGCTCGCTCGCTCGCTCGTCTCTCTCGCTCCTCGCTCGCTCTCTCGCTCTCTCGCTCGCTCTTTGCCGCTCCCCCTCCATTTCCCGTTCTGTCCTCTGTGCCGCCACCCCCCTCCTCTCTGCATTACATCAGAGTAATTCTAAAACTACTCTCTTGCTAAAATTATAGTAGTACCATGTTTCGCAACATGCTCCTATTTAATGCAGACTATGGACCATGTTGTTATCAAAAATAAACATGATCCATCCCGTTATTGCATAAGACTACTTAACGGATCATGTACTCCAATCATGTTTACAGGGGAGTAGTTTTGGGATTACTTTAATTGGTTATGTAACATATTCATTTTTGCAAAGTAGGTAGGTAAAAATATATGTTTTGAGGACCTTCCATTTGATGTACATATGATCCAGGAAAAGATCTATGAGATCGATAACCCAAAATATATTCAAAATATGGATTTTAAACGGTATGTAAATCTCAAAGTATGTGAAATTAATTTTGCAATGGTGCCCACAAGTTTGTTCTCCTCAACATTTTAACATCACTTTTATCGAGTGTTTTTATTGATTTCAAAAAGTAATAAATATTTCGTTAAAAATAAATTAATAAATGGCAGCCAATTTTTAAAGTAAAAATAAATATTTTTTATGAAAAACGTTTTCATGTAGTACAGAGTTAATTATACTTAATGTAAGCTTAAGCTGCCAATTACAAATGTAAATTGTTTTTAATTCGACTAACTAAATTTTAAATGAAAAATAAAATATACTTACACAGCATGGCAGCCGTATGTTCTGGAGGCAGTGCACTTCTACTGGACGGCCATTTCCATCCAGGCTGTGACATTTTACCCAAAAACCATAATAGTTCCTCTTCGGGAGTTTCAAATGTCATATTGCTGTGTTTGCAAAATAGCCTAAAAAGGAAATTGTTAAACACCGAGAGCATCTTAATAATTTTGTAAAAAGAAAAAACTTACCATTTAGGATGAATTTTCCAGCGTTTGCCAGTAAAGTAGCTGAGAGTGTTACTGCCTTTTATATTCATACGATGTATTTCATCTTCGGTACGTATCTGAAGACGATATACACCGTATAGCTCGGGATATGTTATAACCAAAGTGAATGGTGTATTTTGTATAGCAGTCCAATAATATTGGCGCTTAACCCGAGCCACACGTTTTCTGAAAATTGTAAAAAGAAAATAAATTTACTTATGTATGTTTTTTTTAAATATGTATCAATATTTTTGGTTACCATTTCATCGAAATGATTTTTAACCAACATCCATTTGCTACCAGTTGATTGATTGATTATGGAATCACGAATCTAAAATATTTAGAATTTATTAATTAGTACAAGTTTTTTTTTTTGTGTATTTAAAGCGCAATTTATGTTACCGTTAGTAGCACTGGATTAAAATCTCTAGGTGGCCGATCATCATCCAATAATTCAACTTCAATCATATCAACACTGTTATAAGCAGGCTTTAAGATGTAACGTTGAAACTAATGTTTTGCAAAAATATAAAATTAGTTCTAACTTTTTTATTTCTGTTCCAAATTAATGATTTCTGACTTACAATTGGACGAAAATCGGGATGAAATAATATGTAACCATTATTGGTAACAATAAAAGCATAACCATTTACACCCAACTAGAAAAAATACAAAATTTGACATTATAATTCATTAATAATAATTTTAAATAATGGTCTTACCAAAAATGGTGATAATAATTTTTTTATATCTCTGATGGGTACATCGGTTCCAGCAACACCCAATAAATTGGCAATTTTTGTCTGCATAATGGAATGGAATTTTAAATTATTAAAAAAATCATATAAAAAGTTTGCTAATTAAATCACTACATAATTCTCGATTTATTATACTCTAAATAAGACAAATCAAGAGTCTAGTATTTCTTACAACTAAAAAAATTATAAAATTTCTCTATAAATTACTCATATATTGATATTTAAATAAATGAATAAATATTTAAATTTAATATTTATTATTAATAAAAAATTATACGTTAAATAAAATTACACTTATGGGATACTTATTTTTTCATTTTCTAATATGTTCTGAAATACATATAATTAGAATTTTCTAAAATAATGTTATTATAATTATAAATTTCTGAAATTCTAATATTATACTCAGAAGAAAACAATTTTGAAAACTGAAACAACGCACAAGTTTTGACACAAAACTATAAATTAATGTTAAAAATTACAATCTAAAAATAGGAACTAAAACATAAAAGACTTTAGATTCAATCAATAACCTTGGTCTGCAAAATTTAATGCATGATTATGATATATTGAGTACTCTTGAATCGAGATGTAGTTGTAAAATATTCTTATCGCATGTTTTTTGAGCAGTTTACATTTTAAATAATTTGAACTCGGGCCGCGACGCTGCTTCTGGAGTAATGTGCTTTAAAGTTATTTTCTGGAGGGGACCTTATATTGATGGTAGGGTCAATTATGGTCCGATCATCATAAAATTCGGTAGAGAGAATTTAGTTCATATAAAACTTGTTTATGTCGAATTTCATCGCTGTTAAAGTAATTTTCTGAAGTGGACCTTATACATGTGGGGTAGGTTCAATTATGGACCGATCCTAAAATAATTTGTTAGAGTCAAATTTCGTCGCTGTATTTGAATTTTTAAGCAAATTATGAGCGATAAAACCATTTTCTGAAGAGGATCTTTTATGAGGTGTAGGGTCAAATATGGAAAGATGCTCATAAAGTTTGAAACAGAGTTTTTAGTTCACATACATAAATATTTCATGGCAGTACTTGAATTTTTAAAACACTTATGACTTTTAAAACTGTTTTCCGGGGGCCACTTGTATGGAGGCTATGCGAAAACATGGACCGATATTGTCCAATTTCAATACCAAACCTTACCTAAAGAAAATGTTAAAAAATATACCTCTTTCCGTTCGGACCCTATCGTGCTTTCAAGAGACAGACGGACATGACTAAATTGTCTTAGAATTTAATAAGGACCCAGAATATATATCCTCTTGTGGGTCTATAACCAGTATCTATTTTGATTTTGGATGGTAGGTATAAAATATGATTGAAAAAGTGAAAAATTAACTTTTCATAAATTGGAAAAAAAAATCGAAATACAATTAAGATAGGATCCTGTTTGGCTATCAATCTGGGGATCGTGTGTTCAATTTCTATCCGTGACTCGGGTCTACTTAAATACAACGTGCGTTTGGTCATGTAACCCTTGGTAAATTCGATTAGAATATAATTTAATAACTTTAATTTTGGTTTCACTTGCGAAATAGAAAAATCATTACAAATCATTTTCTAGGGATGGTCAAATTTTCTAGGGATGATCAATTGTTTTTATACATGGGGGGGTCTTTACCTATGACTATTTAGAACATTTTTGGTAAAAAGAAATAAAATAACATTAACAAAAAAATCCAAAAATTCTATAACTAAGTTTTACGGGAATATACATGTTGCAAAATTAGACATGCAGTTTTTTTACAAGGTTTAGCGACGAATTTAGGAATTTGTAATATATTGACTAGCCTATTGACTATTCTATTCACAAATCTATTGACTTGTCTACTGACTAGTCTATTGACTAGCCTATTGATTAGTTTATTGACTAATTATTGATTAGTATATTGATTAGCCTATTGACTAGTCTGTTAACCTATATTAAGTAGCCTACTGACTAGCGATATATAACGCTTATATGTATATACTTCTCACGATGGTAAAGGATATAAAAAGCTTGAACTGCGAACTAAAAAAAAAATTGAAGTTCTAATATCTCATAAACTGTTCTGATTGGAAATAGTAGATTTTATATATAGTTCAACCTTTACCATAAGATCATAAATTTATTTTACATAAGTGAGGTGCCCTAATATTGAAACTTCTGGGTCCACCGCCGTTTAGATTAGAAAATTCAAATTTTTACCAACACTACTATGTACACTATGTACGTATGTATATGAAATTTGATAAATCAACAATTTTCCCGGTTCTGCTTTAAAATTGTAACTTAAAATGAAGAGGATTATAAAGGAACATTTTTAAGGACATCACAATGAAACTAAAGTCCTTCAAAAATTATGTTATATAATTTCATACTTTTCATATAGCAAAATATAATTATTTATATAAAAATTATTAAAAAATATGTCTACAAATACTAATAACATGAACTACATATAAGATTGTCACTTACTTAAATATTTTAAATGTTGAATTATGACGATCTATTACTTACTAGGTTACCAGTTTTTATATGCATGTATATTAAACTAATTTGATACTTCTGTATATAGTATATTATTGGAATTATACATTTATAAATATAAGCAAATTTTACATACTTATATAAGTATATGATATACATGAAATTATATAATTTTTGGTATTTATCTGTTGAAACTCCAAAATGTTAACTACTCGTACATATGTTATCTATTGCATGAAGAGTTAGTTATTTTACGGATTATATTATTTTAAATGTTCGGTTAAAAATGAAGCGCTATAACAAAAATTGATTACAAATATATGAAAAGGTTTTATTTTTCGCTAATTCGATTATAGTTTGGCAAACGTTTACATTTTTGTTTTGTTTATTGTTAATACCTCACGTGTTTGCAATTCCCAAAGAGCTTCATTTATTAATACCAGTTCGGTGATATTCTGTTAGAAATTCGTGAATTTAATATATATATTTTTTTGGTATATTTTATAATAAAACAAATATAGTTCAGTTTATAGGATTTATGGGGGTCAGGACAACATACATTTTTGTTTACATTAAGTTTGTTATGGTCATTTACATTTTAAAAGTGAAAAAGATTAATTTACATAGTTTTCCGCTTTAAGTAATGTGAAAAGAATTGTGTTAAACTTCTAAGTACTATCAATACTTACCGCATTTTCGCGCCGATCGTAAACAGGCATTGATATAGTGGTCATAAAATGATAATCATCCGATTCGGTAGGTTGATCCCAGGCCTAAAATTAAGAGTATAATGTTTGTTCATAAATAGTTTTCCTTTGAAAACCACGCTATTTTTGTGAGAATAGATCCGATTGGAATAACTTTAACGATCACAAATCTCTAGAAAGTTTTCTTACTTTATAGAAAATTTGATGTCTGTTTTATAGAAAATATTCTTTTATAGGAAATTTTCAAAAAATTCTCTTTTTATAGACATTTTTCAAAAAATTCTATTATTATAGAAATTTTCTAAAATTTATCTTTTTTCATAGGGAATTTTTGAAAATTTTTATTTTTTTTTGAAAATTTTTCTTTTTTTAGAGAGAATTTTCGAAAAATTCTCTTTTTCATAGAGAATTGTCAAAAAAAAAAAAAAAAATCTCTTTTGAAAATGTTTGAAAATTTATCTTTTTTCAAAAATATTTTTTTTATAGAAAATTTTAGATAATAATTTTTTTTTTATAGAAAAATTTCGAAAAATTTCTCATTTATATAGAAAATTATCGAATTTTCTCTATTATGTGGAATTTTTTTCGAAAAATTCTCTTTTTTATAGACAATAATCGAAAAATTCCCTTATTTTAGAAAATATTCGAAAAATTCTCTTTTATTTTTAGAAAATATTTGAAAAATTGTCTTTTTTATAGAAAATTTTCAAAAATTCTCTTTTTATAGAAATTTTTGAAAAATGTTTATTTTTTAGAAAATTTCCGAAAAATTCTCAAAAATTATCTTTTTTATAAAAATTTTCCTAATTTTTTTTTTTAAGGAAAATTTTCGAAAAATTCTCTTTTTTATAGAAAATGTTCGAAAAATTTATAGAAAATTAAAAAACATACATATCTTTTTTATTAAATATTTATATAAACTCACTTACCTTCTTCATACGTCTGTACTCTCGGCGTCTTACTTCATCTGGATCTAACATACGAAAACTTACTTTACGATATTCTAAAATATTTTCCTTTGATCGGCATTTTGCTCTAATTGCCATAAATAATCTGACATTTCCATATCCTTAAATACATACATTTTTGAATAATAACATTTAGTGATATATTTATTTAAAAAAAATTTATAATCAAATTTTTTGCAGCCTCTTTAAACATTTAAATGTTCAAATGGACTTGTGTAAATATAATATTAATTCTTACCACAACATCAGCATATACTTGTGTCCATACCACTGGATGATCGTGTCTACCCAATACTAATGGTCTAGCCATTACTGGTATATAATTCAAAACCATTTCACGCACTTCCGCCGTATCACTCAGATGAACATAGAAGCCCTGATTGGCACATGCCATCCATTTAATATCCTTAACATCCGCCACCTCTTTGCCAATTAAATAAGTAAAGACACGAACCGGTTTATAGGGTAAATTTTGCCAATTGTACGTTTCGAAGATCTCTTCATAACTAAATGGTGCACCATCACTAACAATCATAATTGCCTGATTGCACTGGGCACCATGTTGTTCCGTTTTAAATTGTTCCAAAACCTCAAAGGCTTTTGTCAATGCAGCGGAGAAATTGGCGATCGACACGGTTTTAACTAACTCAATTCCCTCTTTAAGCTCTCGAATGTTACCAAGATTTGCCTTATATACATATTTTATGTATTTAAACATACATGAACATATGTGTTAGTGTGTGTTTTATATATATTTGTATATAATATATTCATTTGTGTACCAATTATTTCGTATAAGGTCAAATATTCAAAGCAGATTGGCGGTAGGTGGGTGAGTTATTAATTGAGTTTTTTTAATTATAATTAATTAAACAAACAAAGTAAGTATTTGTTATTAATAAAATTGTTGCACAATTGCTTGTTGTGTGTTAAAAACGTAAAATAGTGTTAAATAAATAATTTTTTTTTTATTAAAATTAAAACAAAATAACTGTTAATATCATTGTTATAGTTGAGATTTGATCTGTGATCTTTCCTTTTTCTTGAATAGAAACAGTGTTTGTATTTCTGTAATATTTTTGATTTTTAATAAAACATAAAGTACATATTTACAAAACTAGAAGTGGTAAATGGTTTTCAAAAATATCATAAAACAATAAAGTAGTAATGGTCAGACCAAATAACAAAATATTTTACAAGTCGGGTTGATAATGTGGTATATAGAACATACATATATAATTGCGTTAGACTTTAGACAAAGGACATTTTGATAATACATACATTCATATGTACATATGTATGTATGTTGGAGATGGTTATTGTTCACATGCAAGTTTTTAAGAAAAATATATTTTCGATCAACATAATTTATGTATAGTTCTAAACCTTCATTACAAATTTTAACTAGAACTTGAACTTAACTAGAAATGTGGAAAAAGAGAATTTAGAATTTTAAAATATTTGAAAATTGTTTGTTCTAGGAATTTATAAAAATAATATATATTTTTTTTTTTTAATTCAGAGCGCATTATCTTTATCGATATATTCCTGTGCTACAAACAATGGACGAAATCTTGATAAATACTTATTTTTTATGAACATACATATTTCTAATTCTAGGTTTCTTCTTGCAATGTGAACGATAATTTCTCAATTTCACGAAACCTTCGGAGGGTTAAAAAGACAGATTTGAAGACAACGTTGTTTCATATTTAAAAATCTGTGGGAAAAAACATATTTTATTTAAAATAATACTAAACTAATTAGCAGTTCAACTATAACAATGATGATTTCTACGAATGAGAAAAAAAATACCCTAAACAATAAATAAAAATGTATTTAAATAGGGGCGGCCTATCTGGATTTTGGATATTATTAATAAATACTACTCGATATATGTATGTATATTACAGAAACAGATACTATAGATTTAAAATTTTTATCCTGTATGTATGTATCATTTAAAATTTAGAAGTTCTAAATTAGAACTAGAACTGAACTAGAACTAAACTAGAACTGAACTAGAACTGAACTAGAACTGATGTAGAACTGAAGTAGAACTGAACTAGAACTGAACTAGAACTGAACTAGAACTGAACTAGAACTGAACTAGAACTGAACTAGAACTGAACTAGAACTAAACTAGAACTAAACTAGAACTGAACTAGAACTGAACTAGAACTGAACTAGAACTGATGTAGAACTGAAGTAGAACTGAACTAGAACTGAACTAGAACTGAACTAGAACTGAACTAGAACTGAACTAGAACTGAACTAGAACTGAACTAGAACTGAACTAGAACTGAACTAGAACTGAACTAGAACTAGAACTGAACTAGAACTGAACTAGAACTGAACTAGAACTGAACTAGAACTGAACTAGAACTGAACTAGAACTGAACTAGAACAGAACTAGAACTGAACTAGAACTGAACTAGAACATGAACTAGAACTGAACTAGAACTGAACTAGAACTGAACTAGAACTGAACTAGAACTGAACTAGAACTGAACTAGAACTGAACTAGAACTGAACTAGAACTGAACTAGAACTGAACTAGAACTGAACTAGAACTGAACTAGAACTGAACTAGAACTGAACTAGAACTGAACTAGAACTGAACTAGAACTGAACTAGAACTGAACTAGAACTGAACTAGAACTGAACTAGAACTGAACTGAACTAGAACTGAACTAGAACTGAACTAGAACTGAACTAGAACTAGAACTGAACTAGAACTGAACTAGAACTGAACTAGAACTGAACTAGAACTGAACTAGAACTGAACTAGAACTGAACTAGAACTGAACTAGAACTGAACTAGAACTGAACTAGAACTGAACTAGAACTGAACTAGAACTGAACTAGAACTGAACTGAACTAGAACTGAACTAGAACTGAACTAGAACTGAACTAGAACTGAACTAGAACTGAACTAGAACTGAACTAGAACTGAACTAGAACTGAACTAGAACTGAACTAGAACTGAACTAGAACTTAACTAGAACTGAACTAGAACTGAACTAGAACTGAACTAGAACGGAACTAGAACTAGAACTGAATTAGAACTGAACTAGAACTGAACTCTTGATTTTTTTGGCTGGGACAATAATTTTAAACACCAAAAATATTGCCATATTATAGTCAGAAACTTTGCTTAGATGTGTTAATGTATGCAGTGGATATAATGAATTTTGACAAATATTAGAGTATCTGTAGTGTAGGGTTATCGAGTAGTAAAGCTATTCCTGTGTATTCATCTAAACCGCATAATAGGTACATACTAAGTGTGTGTTAGGGTTATGACTTTCTGATTTTTTTTTGTTTCAAATATACGATTTTTTATATGTTTTTAGTATTTTTTTTCGGAATTTTGATCATATGGACTGATTTTGCGCTTTTATTATTAATTTACATTGTTATAAGTACAATGTTTGTAAAATGTTAGTCATAACCCTAGTGTGTATAGGTAATAAAATTCTGATTCACTTAAGTACCTTTATTTAGTACGCATTATCTGAATAATTTTGTTTGGGGGTTTTAAAGATAATGTGAACTAAATAAATTTCGCTAAGATATTAGGAAAAGTGTATGTCTGTATGTGAATTATTTATCAGATACACTTAGACTAAAAGGGTGAACTAAAAAGCTTTGTAAATGATAGCGTGTTCTTAAGTACATTCATATTTATATATAGTAAATAATTTGGGGCTAGTTTTTATGTAAGCATCTACTCGTACTTAAGTAAACGGATCATTAAGGGAGGGGGTGTAAAAACGGAAAATATGTAAAATAAATATTAGTGATTAAATAATGAAAAGTAGAAAGGAAGTTTAAAAAAAAATATAATAAGTACATACATAATAAATATAATATAAATAGAACTAGATTAGCAAAAAAATAATAGTAATAAAGAATTGATATATACTTGAACAAGAGTATCCTCAAAACATCCAACAACAGGCTTAACTTTATCGCTAAAGGTGAAGATGTTCACAAAGTCATTTGTACCTAATGTATCGAGTATTGTATTTACAACATGCTTTGCGATATCTAGCCTCTGCCCAGTCATAGAGCCTGATCCATCCAATAGGATAATGACATCCTTTGGACTTGTCGCCGCTTCCATAAACCATGAACGTAACCGGCAATCGTATAGATCAACCGGATCCGCTTTCCATTTCGATGCCGGGAATTGACGCATAAAGCCGGTCGAACTACCAAAAAATTGCCACGACAGTGTTGGATCTTTTTTATAATTGTCACGAAATATTTGATCCAAATTCTCTGACCATTCAATGGCTTTAATCGTATCCGATGCTAAATTTTTTTGTTGTTTATATATTTTTTTTGTTATTTTATCAATGTCATTTGGGAATAATTATTTGAGCCAATTTGAATTTTGATCAGTTAATTTTGTTTGTTTAATTTTCGGATCAGATCAGATGTGTGTTTGTTTGTGTGTGTGAGTAGATGTAAATATGGAAAAATATAAAAAAGTAAAAATATATATAAATTTATGATATTTTTCGTAAATTTTTTAAAAAGTTTTGTTCTTAGATAAATTAGTGTTTTAGCATTAAATGAAAATAACAAAAAGGTGGTTAGTAAAAGCATTTAGAAGCCATACTATGCGCTGACTTTTAACAAAATTATTTACACAATCAACTTTAAGCCTGCTCATTTCTGTAAATCGAGATGTTAATATGATTCTTAAAATCAACATCTACGAGTTTTTCGCAATTAGGTACACAGTTCTTAATGGCCATAAACATGTTTGTGCAATATTTTTTGTTAAAAATCTGTTTTAAATCCGTTCTTTTATTCAATATTTCGAAACGTGTGCTTTTAGCATCGGCATAAGTGTGAAAAATGAAAACATTTTTTAACGGAAAATTTCCAAAACAAAAAAAAAAAAAAAAAGGAAACAAAAAAATTCAAACCTCTATCGTAAACATTCGTCGGCACATGCACTGAGCTAACACTCATATTGACGGGTGTATTAAAAAATTCAGCTTTGGGTGTTAGAACAATCTCTTTTGGTTGAACGAAAATCTTTGGCCCACCCGCATCTTCTAGATCTCTAGGTGGCTCTGTTGGTATTGGTTCGTGAGGTTCAATCATTTCTTTAGAATTATAATATGAAAAATATTTATCAGGTTTTTCACTTTGATATGTTAAGGCGGTATTTTCGGCAGTATCCATTATTCGCTAAATTGTTCAAATTAACAAATTTATGATTAATGTTTTTATGTGTATATAGCTAATATATATATATATATATATATATATTTGAACATCTAGTATACAGTTTTAAGAATATATAGAATAATTAAAAAGTTAAATTGTACATTTTTCTTTTTAAATATTATTTGTTACTTACGCGCACAGCACTTATTTTGGAATCCATCATTGTTTTGATTTCATTAGCCATATTTTCGACGATTTTAGCTCCCGCTCTTGAAACAACTTGGGCTTGTTTAAAACTCTAAAATAAAAAAACTTACAAGGTTATTACTTTGTTCAGTTTATTAGAAGATTTTTAAGTTAAATTAAAGTTAGAGTTTCTTATCCGATTTAACAGATTTTACCACATAAATAGATATAAATTTTTGTAGTTGAGATGTTTCATATCAAGATAAATTAAAAACATAATTAATTTTTTTATGTTTGGAAATCAGTTCTACCTCAATCTTCTCAATGTCTGGTTAGACAGTATTAGTATATGGTCAGCACTATATAGAAGGGGAATATCAGATAATCTTATTTCTCTGATTAAGGAAAGCTATGCCGATGCCCTATACTACGTTATACATAAGGCCAAACTATCTAAAACGTTTATGGTCAAAAGTGGAGTATGGCAAGGATGTATACTATCACCTCTCTTGCCCCTGGTGGTAATGGAAGATGTTCTGAATTCCATAGAGAGCAAAAGCCAGGGAATCCGGTGGAGTATAACAAAGAAGTATACTATCACCTCTCTTGCCCCTGGTGGTAATGGAAGATGTTCTGAATTCCATAGAGAACAAAAGCCAGGGAATCCGGTGGAAATATAACTGTCAATACCCCAATTATTTGGTCTACGATGTTGATATTTGTTTGCTCTCTCACAGGCCCCGTGATCGAAAGCGTAGGAGAACAATTTTTGTCCCCATTTTCTGCTACCTTGGGCTGCGAGATGGATACTGATGTAGGTTCCGATTTGGATGTTGATAAAAGAATCAATAAGGCAAATGCATCCTTTTATATATTGGCTCCAATATGGCATAGTAACAAGTTCAGTCATCGTACTAAAGCATCATCATCATCATCATTAAGTCTCTATGTACAACCTAGAAAGTCGTTGCATTACCTACCGACTGCAAACTTTTGTGAACCGTTGGCTCAGAAGAATACTCCGCATATTCTGGCCTAGAACCATCTCAAACTCGTCGCTACTACCACAAACTGGCCAAAAACTCATAGCTACAGTTATAAGTGAAAGCAAGTGGCAGTGGATTGGACATACTATGCTGATGGAACCCATTTCACCAGTCAGGTCGCCAAGACCACCTAACACATGGCAAGACCACGTATCCTGGAATGAATTAAGAGTTATTTCAAATAACTCGGTGCATAGGCTGTTATTGGCGCCCTATACTTGTATTTTTATATGCCAGTTATAAATGTTAAAGTCGTATTCTGAAGGGGACCTTATATGGGGGGTTTTCAATACTGAATAAACTGCATCAATAGAGAATATGTGAGGAAATTTTCATTCCGTTGTAATTTCTACAATTTAATTTTGCAATCATTTTTTTAACGAAGTCGAATTAGCGATTTTCGTCTCTACATGCCTATGTTTGCTGATATGATATAAGGGATATACATTTGCTTGAACAAAAATCTGAAAAAATCCGTGATTATTCCAGAATTTCTAATATATTTGCGAACTATGTTTGATAAGCATAGGTACACCTACATATGGGCATTTCCATCGTGACGAACGTGACGGTCGTACGTTTTAAAGAGATGAAAAATATATATATACATATATATTTTTTAAAAATTCTTGTATTTTTATATAGGGCTTCAATAGCTCTATAACTGGTCGGAAGAAGAAATTGAAAGATCTTAATGGCCCTAAGATATAAGTAGTTAAAGTGCGTGACGTGACAGAAATAGAAGTTGCTTATTTCTTTTTTGACAAAAATGTAAAAATCTGCGAGTTTCACCTGGCTATTTGGTTAAAACCTTTTTTATTGTAATTTGGAATGTTTATTGATTGTTTTTCAGCTTTTAGAACTAAAAAATAGTTTTCAGATTTTTTTTGTACTAGCCGTTATGTGTGACGTGACGTGACATGACGTGATGTGACAAAAATTTTCAATGATGAAATTTGCAATATTATTGAAAATTAATTAGTCCATAGATTAATTTTGGACGGACATTGTTGAAAGTTTTTGGAATCGGAGAAATATTTCGACTATTTAATAACATTTTAGTTGAAAATAGCTCCCGTATAAGAATAATATAAGAATTAACATTAATTAACATAAAACTTTTAAAAATGCTTATATCACCATAAAATTTAACACAAATAATTTTGACATACACAAAAATCGTTCATCCTAATATTTTTAAAAATTGGTCAATGATTAGGCATAGCTTCCATACAAAGCCCACATTTGATATACCCATAAACTTGGATATATAACTAAAATTTCGCCATCCTGATAATACAAACACACAAAAAACTTTCAAATGTACAACTACTGACCCTTCTGATGATAATACAATAATCGGTCATAACGCCCATTTAAAGCTGATATCCGAAAATCACTTTTTTTCCATACATTTTTTAAAAATATCATTTGTTGAATTTCTGTGCTTTTTCTTCCACTTATCAACTAAAAAATCATAACTATCACCTAATTGAATAAATTGCATAAATATCACATCTTTTTAAATAACAATATTTCACAATTCGAAGGTTGCACTTGAGAAAATTTATGTAATGTGACGTGACGTGACAGACTTTGAAATTCTATAAAAAATAACCCCGCTTAGAATTATTTTTTTTTCTTTTAAATTGAGTTCTATATACTAAACTTGATTTAGATTCAAAGTTTTGAATACTTCTGAATGCCAACTAAAAAGTTATCGGGATAAATCCTGTTTCAACGTGACATTTAAAAGTCTATGAAAGAAAACCGAAAATTTGCCTTTTAAGGATCTTTATCTTTTTATATTTGTATATTTTAAGATAACTATTATTCCAACAAATATTTTCCGATAAAAGTCCATTTAAATATTAGCCTTTAAAATAATAAAAACTATTAAAAGTAAATGCTGCTAAAGGTGCAAAAATATGCCTGAAATATTATTTTAACTTTTAATTCCGATTTCTCATCATAGTGGTTAAGAAAAGCTTTGGGGTCTTTAATTTAATAAAATTTGAATCTTTTTCTATAATAATAGAAGTTGAAATTTTATTTTTGATGACTTTTAGTTTTTGAGCCACGGTGGACTTTTCGGTGGAAATGCCCATATATAAAATATTTTTTCATTATCGCGTTTAAAAGTCTTGGGGTAATAAGTGACACACTTATTTTTTAAATTAAAGATAAATATGTATTTCAATATTATTCAAATTTATAATACCATATGCTACAAATTTGTTCAATGAAATGTTAATAATAACAAAAATACACTTTAAATTAACCTACATTCAAGTGCTATTAGAAAATAATTGGGTAAAAATCAATAATTGATGCTCCAGCAAGTAACCAAAGGTATTTAGTATATAAATTCAATTTAATGAAAACTTACCTCTTGGACCTCTTTACGACGTGTTATAAAATCGCCTAGATGAAACAGTTCCATGCCCAGTTTATCAGCCCACGAATGTACTCTGAAAAATTGTTAAAATATATTTTGTTTTTCTATTTTTTTTTTCGAAAATAAAAATCCATTTTTTCAATAATTACAAGTTATAACTGATTTTTTCACCAGGCACTAGATTGGCACCATTTGGATAAAGCACAAAGAAACAGCACAAAACTTTAAATAATATGGAATTTAAATTTCTCAACAACATTTTGTTAATTCTATTTTAAATTAAGGAAAGAAATAATTTAAATAATTTTCCTTTTAAAGAGCTATTAATGTGAAAAACAAAAATCAGGCAATCGTCATATCACTTCTTTGTTTTCGTATGTTGTGCGTAACGAGAGGAATATTTTGTTAATTTTTAATTTTGTTGCTTAATTTTTATTACTAAATATTTATGTTTTATTTAATTTAAATTGATTTTATGCAAGTAATTGATATTTATTTAAATAAAAGTATATTTTGTAAAACTAGCACTGCTCGATGAAAATTTTTTCCTGTATCTATACTGTCAGTTTTGAAGAAGAATTTTGGAAATTGTAGCAAATGATGAGTTCATCAATACCAGTGCCTGTGTTACAAAGAGACCTCTATGGGTATGTGATATTTATGTAGTCTGTACTCTTCTAAAGCTGTGCTACGCAGTCGTTACCGAAATTGACGCATGCATTTTACAATTGTTTTTGTTTACATTTTGCACGTGTACCGGCATTAGGTGGCGTGCAACTGGTATTTGTTTACATTCTCTTTGTAAACAATAACAAAAGTTGGAGTTGGCGCATTCACTTTGTTTATGTCTGGTTTCATTGACGGTATTCCAGTAAAACGTTTTTGAATGAGATTTGTAGTCTTGGAATGTGTGTTTTAGTTCAACAGTTCTTTTTGTTTGTTTTCAGCACTTGTTGTTTTATTACTGGAAATAGTAGCACCCCGTCAGTATTATGCACGTTTAAGTATTGACTATCTTATCTAGGTCACTAAATGTTCATGTCACTTAATTCATAAAAACTATAGTAATTCAAGAAATTACTGTGTTTACTAGAAACTCTGATGATAAGAAAGTTGTAATCTAAAAAAATAACAATGATATTGGTATACAATTTGACTCGAATGTGTTTTGCATATCCGGATCGGCCCATAATTGTTCATAGCTCCCATATAAAGACCTCTTCTGAAAATCAGTTAATCGTAACTAACTCATGAGTTAATAATGATATAAGATAAAATTCAGTAAATACCGATAGCAAAATGTTTTTCCGGATCGGCCCATAGTGGGTCATAACTTCCGTATAAAGCCCACTTCCGAAAATCACATAACCCTACTTAAATCATGAATTAATAATTTTATCGGGGCAAAATTGTACTCAAATATGTTTCGTTTATATTTATACAAATCATTCTGTGAAAGTAGGATCGGCCCATAATTGGTCATAGCACCCATATAAACCGGTCCATAATGGACCTAAGTTCTCATATAAAGTCTACTTTAGCAAAAACTTAATTTTACATCAATATGTATATATACAAATCATTGTGCAACATTTTCTGAATCGGTTCATTATTTTAAAATTTATAAATTGTTAATTTCTATAAATACTCGACGTGTACACTGTACAGTCTACAGGTTTATATACTTATTAAATAAATATAATACTAATTTAAATAGTTTTCACTTTAAAATTAAATCCACTTGAATCAACTTCACAACTTGACGACCTCAATTCTTAACAACTTTACGCTATTACTGCTTCTGGATAACTACATACCAATGTATGCACATACATATGTATGTATATCAAATTATATCGACGAAAACGTCCGTCTATTAAAAGCTTTCGTCAGTTTTTTCTGACTTTCTAGAATGTTCCACATCTTATAAATTATATATTTATTATCTACCTCATATAATAATAAATGGAAGAGTCATATTATTTTAGTTAATTCGGAATTAACCCATAATGGGGTCTGTCATAAGTCCCAAATCCCACATTAATTTATTAACTTACTATGATTAAGAATTTATGTACTTAGTTTAGAAATGGAGCAATTGAATATATCGCAACGAAAGTTCACATGTTTGTAGCTGAGGTGTTTTCAAGTTGATTGACAGTTGTAGGTAATCGTGAGCGAAATGAGGGTTAATAGGTCACTTACGCTATTATTTTTTTTTCTAAATCGCTAAAAATCCATGTATGATTGAGTTCATATTTAAAATATAATTACACCTTGACAAGATCTACAATAAATATCTCTTTTGCTTTAAGAGATATTTAGGTTTAATTTTTTTCAGATCTTTTTTTAGTTTTTTTAGATGTGGCGAGCATATGGAGGGTCGTACATTTTTTTAAATATGTAATTTTCTGATAAAATTGTAAATAAAACAAAACAACTTTTCTTGTCCCTATAAAATTCCCTTTGGGTGCATGCTATCTTGATGAAAGACCCTCATCTTGGTGTTATTGGTATCCCGGGGAAAAGGGGTCTACCAATACATCTAGTCTGCCGGGACAATAAACCTCGAACTAGAGAACCACATAATCAGGTACCCGCAGGGCAGAGTTTCGAACTTGGTCTTATAGTCCATAATTCCGAATAATTTCGGTGCTGTTGGCGAGACAACAAATACACCGCAGAGGAGTGACTGTGAGAGTTAGTATGCCGGATGAATGAGAAGTGCATTAGGTCGAATGGTGATAGATGAAAGGTTCTTATACAAGTGACAACATTGAATTTTCCTTCTGGTCCGGGTATGTTTAGGGTTTACACTGTTCATACCAGATTTACAACAGTATAAATAAGAACAAGTCCTCGGCGTATTTGACGAATTCGTGTTTCGGTTTACCGAATACGTTTGTAGTTGATTTTTTTGACTCAACAGAAGCCATTCCATCTGCGTGGTTGTAAACGGATGTTTTTGCATATTGGAAGTTATGCAACGGGGCAGATTAGATAGGTCGAGTACTCGAACAATGTGCTTGTACATGGACCGGGTGAACCATGTACAAAAATGACGTGTAAGAAGCACAAAGGGGCGGTGGTAAGTCGTCTAATCATCTCACCCTGTGGTTGAAAAAGTACCACCGTTAAATAAGGCAACCCGGCATGTGTTCACATTAAGCACTTCCTGTCCATATAAAAAGTAAGACGCGATGATGTCAAATTCCTGTATATAAACTATAAACTTAATCACCAGATTGAACCTTTACTCTTTTTCATATTGTTATTGCTTGCAAGAAAATTTAGCTTATTAGCCCTGCCCTGAAAAGGAAATTGTCTTAGTTGAGTTCAATTTTATTCCAGCTGGTCTAAAATTAACGTGTGATAAGTTTTAACCCAATCGGATAATGAAAATTCGTGGAAGAATTCTATTAATTAACACAGAATATTTTTATTACATTATGCATAAATTTATAAATCGAACAAGCGAACATTTCAAAATGTTATAATTTTTAATTAAATTTAAAAGTAATTTAGTTCATATTATCACTAACGCTGTTAGTTACACCCAATAAACCCGTTAAAGTTGTAACTAAGATCTTCTCCGCAACATATAAAATACCATGTAAAATATAGGTTATTGGCTAGGGGAATAAAAAAAGAAAATAATCCATATATTAATTAATTACGGCTTGAATATACGATGTGAATCGATCATAACTAAATACTTTATCTAAATTTGAACTTTAACAAAAAGTGGGGAAATTTTGAAAAAATTAAGAAATGTGTAATTTTTAAACGCTTGGTAAGATTTTAAACTAAACTTCACATACATATGAACATATCTAGAGAATTAGTGTTCAGTTTTCATAAATCCATCCGAGGCTGGTTCGCAGATCCCCACATTAGGGCAGCTATAGTATGTGAAAAATATAAAACGATTCTCTATTTACAGAAACAGACCCTTAAACTCTAAAACACTTCCTCTCTAGAGTTGAAATTTGATTAAAATCGGAAATTTTATTAACATTACTTTTTTTTTTTAATTTCCCCACCATGCGATAGTTAATTTGCTAAAGAATATTTCAGAAAATATTTGATTTGATTTATTTATTCACACTATTTAGTTACTCTATAATTTCTTAAATCCCAAACTTACCGTTATAAGCAGTAATAAAACAAACGATGCCCGTTGGGCCAATACAACAAATACTGAGATACCAGTTAAAATTCCAAGCAATGTTATTAAGGTTAGAACCTCAACTAAACGCACTGCAACGGGCATTCTCTACATTTATGAATTTGCGAAAACTTGAAATTTTCAAAAACAATATTTAAATTTTGTCGAATAACTTAAAATTTATTTACGTTAATAATTTTTATAAAATAATTTCAATTTTTATTTTTGACAATATAAATTATTGAGTTTTTCTTTTAGAGCATTTTTCTACTATCATAGGGTTGTATTTCTATTGGGAAAGAAACACTATTCAAATATTTTTAAACAAAACTCCAAAATTTTTCCCAATATCAAGACCTGCAATATAAAAATAATTTAGAAAAAAACATATAATTTAAATTATACCCCCTTCACCACTAAAGTGTTGCAGTAAATTCCGAGAAATTCAATTTATATGAAAAGTTTCTTCGGGAATAAAAAATTCTTCAATATTTTCTTCTTTGGATGTTTCTTTTCTTTCTTCCTCGCCAAATAGGAAATAGTAAAATATAATAATGCAATCTTGCAAGTTTTTATATATTCGAACACTTTGGTGAAGGGTATAATAGTAAATGAATCTTGCTCTTACTAAAGTGTCCGCCACAATTGTAAGTGATTTGAAAACTATGTCCGCTATGTCCTCTGGTTCATAAAATTGTAGTATACGAAAGACTATCTGAAAGAAAGAAAAATAAACTATTATAATAAATGGAATTACTTCATATTTCCAGATTCCAAAACGAACACTTTCAACTTTCTATTCTATTTTTATTTGATTTTATTTTGAAAACTTCTCTTTTTTAAGAAAAATTTTGAAAAATTCTCTTTTTAAAGAAACTTTTCAAAAAATTCTTCTTTTAAAGAACATTTTCAAAAAATTCTCTTTTTAAAGGACATTTTCGAATAATTCTTTATTTTTTTTAAGAAAATTTTCAAATAGTTCTATTTTTATTGAAAATTTTCAAAAAATGCTCTTTTTATAAAACATTTTTAGAAATTTCTTCTTTTCTATAAAAAAATTTCCTAAAAAAAAATTCAAAAAATTTTCTCCTTTTTTATAAAAAACAATTATCTTTTTTTATAAAATTAGATTTTTAAGGAAGTTTTTGGAGAGCTCTCCTAGAATTTTTTTGAAAACTTAACTTTTTATAGAAATTTTTCTAAAAAATCTTTTTTACATAAAAAAAGAAACAATTATCTTCTATTATAAAAAATTTTCTACAGATTTTTTAATAGAAATAGATTTGGTAAAACTCTATTTTTTGAAAAAATTTTGGGAAAACTCTTTTTTTAATTAGAAATTTTTTTGAAAAATTAACTTTTTTATAGAAAATTTTCCAAAAAACCTTTTTTTTGAAAAATTACCGTTTTTATAGAAAATTTTCGAAAAAAAAAACTTTTTTATAAAAATGTTCGAAAAATTCTTCTTTTATAGAAAAATTTTTCGAAAATTCTCTTTATTAATAGAAAGTTTTCGAAAAATCCTTCTTTTTTTATAAAAAAAATTGGAAAATTTGGATTTATAAAAAATTTTCGAAAGATTTTCTTTTTAACTAAATTTTAAGTAAAATTCACTTTTTTAAAGGAAATTTTGGATTAACTCTTTTTTAAAGAAAATTTTCATTTTCGAAAAATTCTCTTTAAAGAAATTAAAAATAAATCTTTTTTTACACATAATTATCTTTTTTATGGAATATAATCAAGAAATTCTCTTTTTTATAGAAACTTTTTAAACAATTCACTTTTTTATAGAAATTTTGAAAAGTTAAATTAAAAAAAAAATCAAAAAATCACTTTTAAAATACAATTTTTTCTATAGAAAATTTTGAAAAACTCTGTTTTCTTTCAAAAAATTCACTTCTTAATAGAAAATTTTCCAAAATTCCTTTTTTTATAGAAAATTTTAAACAAATTTATGGAAAATTTTCAAAAAATACTCATCTTCAATAGAAAATTTGTAATATAATTTATTTTATAGAAAATCTTTCAAAAATTTAAAAAGATCAATTTTTAATAGAAAATTTAAAAAGTTATCTTTTTTTTTTAGACAGTTTTTATAAATTACCTTTCTTAAAGAAGATTTTAATTAAATAAATTCTCTTTTATATAGAATTTTCAAAAAATTCTCTTTTTTATAGCAAATTTTCAAAAAATTATGTATTTTTATAAACAATTTTAATAAAATTTCTTTTTTAATAGAACATTTTCGAAAAATTTTCTTATTTATAGACAATTTTCATAAATTATTTTTTAAACAAAATATTTAAAAAAATTTTTTTTTTATAGAAAATTATCGAAATAATCTCTTCTCTAAAGAAATTCACTTTTTTAAAGAAATGTTCCCAAAAATTCTCTTTATATTTATACTCTTGTAATACTTACAATTGCCGATGCTATCAAAAACAATGGCCATATAATAGTCATAATAAAACGTGTCACCCACACGATTGAATACCAGCCTATTAAAAACAAACCAATATATGCCACAATCGTACTCATATCGCTGGGTATACTCATATTTTTCACAATCCATTCATATAGTACTTGATGCAGCGGTAAATCCTGCAATATATTAATATATTAACTATTCAAAACTATTTCATTGTTTATATTTACGGTCCAATTGCCTTCAATCGTGTGTATTTCTATTGTTGACATTTTACGGGAAATTTTGAAAATGCTTAAAAAATAAAAATTATCCGCATACGACAAGAATTAGAAAGATAGAAAAGAAAACTAAAAAAGTAAAGTATTGAAATTTAAATACACACTACATACTTGCTAAGAATAATCGGTATTTGATTTTCTTTTACGATCTTATTATTATTAAAAATGTATTTGTTTATTTCTGCCTGCAACAACTCAGATAAGATACAAAATTTGTTGATCTCATTAAAAATATTTATTCTTTTAATATAAAAACATTATATTATTTGTATATTCTTTGTAATGTATGACGTGTACTTGAGTAATATTTAGGTAGGAGGGAACTCTTTTGCAAAAAGAATGTGTATGAAGAGAATTCAAAACTTTCGCCGTTATCATTTTTGTCGGTACTAGTAATCAAATGATAATAAATGAAAATAAACGCTTTTAAAGCAACTGTTTAAAAACAATTTTTTTTACTTAATTTTAAATATACAGGTGTAAAACGTAAAGTAAAATGAACCGGTTATTTTACGTTGTATTAAACATTTTCTTTTTTTAAAGAAAATTTTCAAAAATTTCTCTTCTTTATATATGATGTTCACTGTTTTTTAAAAAATGTTGCAAAAATTTTCAAAATTTCTCTTTTTAATAGAAAATTTTTCAATATTTTTTATCAAAAAATTAAAAAATTTTCTTCTTTTTAAAGAAAATTTCTATTTTTTGAGAAACATGTTGAAAAAGATTTTTCAAAAAATCTATAAAATAAGTCCTTTTTTAGAAAATTTTCGAAAAATTCTCGTTTTTATAGATTATTTTTGAAAATTCCTTTTTTTAATAGAAAATTTTCGAAAAATTCTATTTTATAAAGAAAAATTTCGAAAGATTCTCTTTTTTATAGAAATTTTTTTTAAATTTCTCTTTTTTATAGAAAATTTTTCAACTTTTCGCTATTTTAAGGAAGTTTTCGAAAATTTCTCTTTTTTCTACAAAAATTCTATCCACTAATCTTGTATCCAAAATAAAACAAAGTAAAAAAAAACTCATTTATAATATAATGGCTAAGTCCTTTTTTAGAAAATTTTCGAAAAATTCTCGTTTTTATAGAATATTTTTGAAAATTCCTCTTTTTAATAGAAAATTTTCGAAAAATTTTATTTTATAAAGAAAATTTTCGAAAGATTCTCTTTTTTATAGAAATTTTTTTAAAATTTCTCTTTTTTATAGAAAATTTTCCAATTTTTCGCTATTTTAAGGAAATTTTCGAAAATTTCTCTTTTTTCTACAAAAATTCTATCCACTAATCTTCAATCCAACTAATCTTGTATCCAAAATAAAACAAAGTAAAAAACGCTCATTTATAATATAATGGCTAATGCCTTTATTTTTCACACTCAATAGATTGAAATATTTTTCGATTTATTAAATTGAATCGATAAAAAAAATGTTTACACATTTTTCTCGTTTAAGTAATTTCATAATCATAGACACGTATTTAATAAATTTCGATTTTACATTTTAATAAATATCTAGAATTTTATTTCATATTTAGTTTCAACATTTCATCATTGGATTGTTGGTTGTACTAATGTAATTGGCCTCATTACAGGTGTATGTATGATAATAGTTTAAGAATAAATGAAATGAATACAGTTTCTCTGCAATAAAGCCAAAAACTATAAATACATTTTGTTCGTCCATCTGAGAAATTATTACTTTGAAAATGTCGTTTATATATGTACTATATATGCCAATGTATGTACTATTTTTTAACGTTTCTCTGCATTTTGATGTTGATTATGCAGTTTTTATGTATTGTTTTTAAAGTAACTACTGCACAAAATACTAATAAATTCAAATTTGAAATTAAACAAATCAAAGGAAAACATACAATAATAATAATGAAATATTAAATCGATTGTTTGCATTGCTGATTGATTGTGTAAATAATTAATTAATTAACATATACATAAGAAGTAAATAAACATTTAAATTTTTGGAGGATTTTATTTATTGTTAATTTGCTTTACTCTTTATACTTCACTTTATGTGTAATGTTTTTAGTATATATTTTTTTAGTTTTATATTAAAACTTATTTAATAGTTAATTTTGTAGTGTATAGATAACATCTATGTATATATCTTTTTTAAATTTTTATTCAATGGATATTTGCATGTATTTGTTCTCATTAATCTTAATTTACTTTTTAAAACTTAAACAAGATTTTGTGGCAAATACCAATATCATTTTGAAATTTGAAAATGTTTATAACAAAAAGTGTTCATTTCTTTATTTAATTTGTATATGATTCTATGATTTAGGTTTGTTATGGTTTGTTATATGTCGAACATTTGTAAGCTTAAAAACTACAAAGAAGTTTAATATATCGTATTTTTTTTAATATATAATAGTAATCATAAAAAAATTAAAATATCTTAAGAGTAGAAAATATCGTCTGTTTTGAAAAAAATTGCAATGAAAAGTTGTACATGTATGTGTATACTTAGATATTATGTATATACATCTTTATATATATAATATTTCAATCTTTTCTTTTGTACAATCCTTGGTGTATGCTTTCATGCAAACGATACAAACACACGGCAGCCAAATTAGGAAACGAAAATATAACCTAGAAAGTAGAAATAGAATAAATTTAAAGTATTTTGTTAATATTAATGTAGAAACATTTTGAATTAGTTAATTTTTTAATTAAACTGCTGTAAAGATATCAAATTGAATAACATTACACCTTTTCAACGGCTCTAAAAGTTGGAGAAAGATCCAATAAGGAAGCACAGGTCTATATCATTTTCAAAAACAAAATTTAATAAAGTGAAAATATTACTAGATAGAGTGATATATTTAGCACAAAATTGACTTTGTTGCATTTCAAAATTTTTATCATATAATAATTATTAAGCAAAGGATGTTCCAAAAATATCCAATTTCCCTAAACAACATTTTTTGCACACTTTCCAATTTTCGTAAAAGTTTATCAACTTAAAAACTTTTTCTGAGAAATCGCCAATATATCTACATACTAAAATGAAAAGTTTTCATGTGCCATAGTGAAATAGTCAGTGTGGCTTAAATTATCAAAAAATTAACCAATTTTGTGAAAAACAAAGCAAATCTTTCAGAATCTAATGGAAAAAATCGTCATTTGCACAATCAAGACATAAAGATTGAAGCACAATTAAGACATAGGTAGAAAACGAAATGTCATTCAGAGAGTTATACATCGTTTCAAGGATTGATGAAATTTGAATTTTAGTTTTGAACTTTACAACAGAAAACCGCGCACGCCCGATAAGGGAAAGGAGAAAAAAAGGGGAGGAGGGAGGAGGCAGGCGGGGAGGAAAGGAGCGACAAAAGGAAAAGGCAACAAAGGGAAGGGGGAGGGAAACGAGGCACAGGGAGAGCGAGCGAGCGAGCGAGCGAGCGAGCGAGCGAGCGAGCGAGCGAGCGAGCGAGCGAGCGAGCGAGCGAGCGAGCGAGCGAGCGAGCGAGCGAGCGAGCGAGCGAGCGAGCGAGCGAGCGAGCGAGCGGGCGAGCGAGACGAGCGAGCGAGCGAGCGAGCGAGCGAGCGAGCGAGCGAGCGAGCGAGCGAGCGAGCGAGCGAGCGAGCGAGGAGCGAGCGAGCGACCGACCGACCGACCGACCGACCGACCGACCGCCCGAGCGAGCGAGCGAGAGAGCGAGCGAGCGAGCGAGCGAGCGAGCGAGCGAGCGAGCGAGCGAGCGAGCGAGCGAGCGAGCGAGCGAGCGAGCGAGCGAGCGAGCGAGCGAGCGAGCGAGCGAGCAATCGAGCGACAGCAGCGAGCGAGCGAGCGAGCGAGCGACGATCGAGCGACGAGCTAGCGAGCGAGACGAGCGAGCGGCGAGCACGAGACCAGCACCGACCGACCGACCGACCGACCGACCGACCGCGAGCGAGCGAGCGAGCAGCGGAGACGAGCGAGCGAGCGAGCGAGCGAGCAGCGAGCAGCGAGCTATCGAGCGAGCGAGCGAGCGACGAGCGAGCGAGCGGGAGCAGCGAGCGAGCGAGCAGGAGCGAGCAAGCTAGCGAGCGAGCAGCGAGCGAGCGAGCGAGCGACGAGCGAGCTATCGAGCGAGCTAGCGAGCGACGAGCGAGCTATCGAGCGATCGAGCGAGCTAGCATCGATCGACTATCTATCGATCGAGTCGACATCGAGCGAGCGATCATCTAGCGATCGAGCTACGATCTAGCTAGCATCTATCTATCTATCTATCTATCTATCTATCTATCTATCTATCTATCTATCTATCTATCTATCTATCTATCTATCTATCATTCTACCTATTAATTACTTAATTTATACAGCAAGAACAACCTTTTGTAATACTTACGACAATACACATTTTGTTTTGAATAAAAATTAACAGTGTGGATCTTTCGCTGACCGATTCTATTTCTCAACAGCGCCTTTACTTGTTAATCGACAGACCTTCAATGCTGGCTAACAACTCGTCAGCGGTCTGTGAGACAACCTGTTCTTGATCATCGCGGGTACTTAGATTCTGTAAGCGCTTCTCCAAATTGGAGAGGTCTTCGAGTTCACGCTGCTGTTTAACCATATATCGTAGTATTAGGGCAGTTAGCATACACATATCCTCAAGAATTTTACTGGTCTCTGGTGTAGGATTCTCGTATCTGGTACGGAGTAAACGTAGTTTAGCTTCGGCAAGTTCCAGTGGCGATTTGCCACTGCGGTCAAACATATGAACACTGGCACCGCCCTGCAGGAGGACGCGCACCACAACATTGAAATTATTAGAGCTGGCCGAGATGACGGCCAAATGCAGTGGTGTATTGCCCAAGGAATCAACTACATTTGGATTTGCTCCGAATTTAAGCAATTGCTGAACGATTTGTATGTAACCGCGACAAGCAGCCAAATGCAGCGGACTTCTTTTATACTCGTCCGAGGCATTGGGATCCGCTCCGGACTCCAAGACTCGAGTCAATAACTCGATGTTGTTTGTTGAAGCCGCATAGCGCAGTTTCCGTCCCGTCGATTCGGCAAAAATATTGTTGTAACTAAAACGCAACCTACTCTTTATGCACGTACGGGGACGCATTTTGAAGTTGTGACTGCTAGAGGGCAGGGTACTAGGATGGATGATGCTAGACATAAAGTCCGATGACGACTGCGACGACGAGTTCAATGGCAGTGGCGGTAAGGTAGGTAGCGCAAAATGCTCATCCGAGTTGAGATGGAATGCGTTCGGATTTATGGTAGGCCACTCGTGGGTATTAGGTGACGATGTTGGTGTGGGCGGCATTATTGGCGGTGGCGGTGTAATCATTATGCTAGCGGTCACGCCGTCATTGCTATCGTTGCTGGTGTCCACACCTGAATCATTTGCGGCCATTGTGGCGTGCTCAGTCTCCACCTCCTCGGCTTCGTCGACGAGAGGTTGTGCTGGATTTCTATAGCCCTTAATTTTGGCGTTTAAAATATTTTTCACTCTTTAGCTTAAAAGTTATTCACGACAAAATTAGCGTTAGATCTTGTTATATCTTTTAATAAATTTATTTTAAGTTTTAATTCTTATTTTTTTACACACGATTATCAAACTTTTCACAATGAATGGATGGTATTATGGTAGAAGAAAAAATTTGTTTTGTGTATTTTGTGTTTTTTTCCCGTCTTCGTTTCCTTGTTTCTATTTATTCAATAACACGAAAAGAGAATGTCAGAAAATATATAATAAGTATTCCGCGAACACACCGAACAATAATAATAAAGAACGAAGGGATGAAAACAAACAAAGGAAAAAACAAATACGTCAGACAGGGTGATGACGATAATAATAGATTTATAAATATGTTTATACACTGAAAAAAATATATAACATATGTTGATAGAAAAAAAATGTTTATTGATTATCTGAATTTGTGGTTATAGAAATAGTTTTGAAATCAAAGACTACCAAGAGATGATGCTTTTAAAGATTCTAGGATGTCTAAGACGAATAAACAAATTTTGGAATTATTAAAAACTAATAATTATCAGTAAGATTGCAATTTTACATATTAAAGCATAACTTTTAGGAGGGAATAGTTTTTATTAAGTATGGGGAGTTTTATTTTAATGAAAAACAAATGAGAACAGTTTCTTTTGAAATATTTGGAACATTTTAAGAATCTATATATTCCAGCTTTTAAAATCAAATTAAAATCATACAAACCATAATATTGATTCTACCGTTCGATATTATGATATAAACCATGTAAAAACAAGTATTTTTTAATATTTTATTTGAATACTACATTAGACGTTATTAAAAAAATTGTCATATTTTCTTTAAAATTAACGTTATTGCTATTTATATTTAAAAATACGAATAATTGTTTAGAATTAAATTCTATAATAAATATAAACTTTTTAATACTGATTATTATAGATTAAAAGAAAATTAAAACATATATATTTTATTTTTAAGTTAAAATCTAAAAATATAAAGTCCAAGTATTGCCTTGTTCCTTAAAGGAAAAAAAATTTAGCTAAGTTTTGAAAGTTATGTGAATTTTTCAAAACTTTTAGCAGAATATCTTCCTTTAGGGCGAACTTTAAACTATTTTTTAAAAGTACAACTACAAATAATCGCTTAAATATTTTTGCAAAGTTTTTTTTTAATAAATAAAGAATACTTTAGCTTAATAAGTACTTAGAAAACTTATTTCAAATATCATAATTACTTTTAATATTTTAATTAATAATTTCTTATTCAGAAGAAGCTTTTTATATATATTTTTATATTTAGTCGAAAGCTACTTTACGTGTAAATGATGTAAGAGATGAAATTTCACTGGGATTTGAATCGGAAGGTAAATTATTAAATTCAATTTCTTCATTAGCGGCAGCCGCTACAATGTTCTCGTTAGACTGTGAGGTTTCATTAGAATTGGCACAAGGCCACTGTTTGTGACTGGGAGCGTATAAGATAAGTAAAGCAAATATGTAAATATTCCACATGCCATAGACACCAGTGAGGAAGGCTGAAGTTAATTGGATTTCAATGTCCTCATCCCATTTCCAGTGACCTTCAGCGACTTGGCCCATTATGAAACCGACAACAGTGAGAGCAGCACATAATAATGTGGCCAACATTAGAAACTTGAAGCGATAAATCAAACCTAAACGTTAATGCATAAATAAATAAATAAGTAAATCATTAACAAATCATTAATTTTTCAAAAAAATATTACTCTACCTTCATAATGCAAACGCCTGGCTTGTGACATAGAAGGCAAGGAAGTTCGTTTGGCACCAATATTTCGAAATACTTTACCCACCATAAAGCACAAAAATAGAAAGTAAACACCTGCCGAAATTCCCGCCAATATGATAAAACTTAAGGCAACCTTTGCGCCGAGCGGTGTTGTCCAAATCGAATAGAAAGGATTGCGCAATTGAACACCCCTCTCACATATATCAAAGATAAACAATGACAAACAACCCACAACAACGGCCGACAAATGTTTCCAATAGCGTGAACGTATGGAATTCTTTTGGGGCGACTCTTGTATCAACATATGCTCTCCGGCGAAAACCAACCAAAATGACAATAACATGGCGTAGAATATACCTTGACGAACATCGCTTAGCAAAAGCATATAGGGCATTTCCAGGCTTAATGTTAAAAATTCTAGAGGAAGATTTAAAAACGTCAAGGCACCACCCAAATAGATTAGCATATATTCCAAAAGGGCCGGCGAACGTTGAAGTATGTGAACACGACGCCAGAACCAAATCATGATGGCAACAATGAAGGGGAAGAGAATGGTTTTCAACGATAGCCACACCTTGGTAAAACCACCGTTTTGATAAATGGCCGTTAGGGTCAGGTCATGCATGTGGCCAATTTTCAAATTCATTTTCATATCGGTATCTATGGGAAAACGCAAGTTCAGCAGATAATAATCGTGGTGCAGAGAACCCAATTCGAATAGTGGAATCATTTCACAGGAATACAAAGTCTCCTGTTGGCTTTTATGCACAGGATGACAGTCTAGATAACGTTGTTCTATAGAGTGAGCATACAATTTCCAATCACTGGCTGCGTCTTCCTTATTGCGGTATGCTAAACGCGTATCAATGGTCAGTTGTAAATCTTTTGGCGGTTCCATGAGGCTGCCATCCGAAACATATGCCAAATCCACTTGTAGCACACCAATTAAATTTTGCTGCCACCTCGAATAATCCAGCTGCTTACCATCTCTTGGCAAGGGCATTTGAAATAAATACACTATTCCATTGGCCATTTTGGTATCATGATTTTCGATCTCTTCTTGCGATATCGAAGAACATTGTCCGTCACCACGCGAATACAACCAGAATGTAGTGTCATTTTGACGTTCCTTCTGATCGCGACACACCATGCCCAAAATGTTCTGATGACCGGCCGGTACTGGTGCAAAGAGACCACCCAACAAGAAGCAAGCCACTTGACAAAGCAACAATAATGCCACCAATATGGATAACTTACGTCCACTTAGATTCTCCAGTATTGTCCCCGACATTATAGTATTCTGAACATACAACTGTGGGAATTAAGATTTTTTTATTCACTATTTTTATTACTTTATTTTCTGTATACTTTTTTACTTAAGTTATTTTAGAGAAATATTTTATTGAAACACTACAAAGACACCGACGTCTTTGTTGTATATTCCTCTGTCTGCGTCTGCTTCACTATAGATGCGAAACAATTATATACAACAAAAACAACAAACATAAACAAACAGCGGCCATATTATTTTTAGTTATAATTACAATGTACACTACAACTACTAGCAGTAATTCTATTGTGGTTATAATGTTTTCTGTCGTCTTTGGCTTGTCGTCAGCAGTTGTATTATAATTATGCTGTTATTTTTCATCAATGCATATCAGGGTTGGCAAAATTGGTATAATTTTACTTTTTTGGAATAATTCGTTGTTTGAAAGTATAATGACACATTAGGTAAATATTTTTAATATATTTTCTCCTTGAAATAATAATCTGAGATCCAAATTCTGTCACAATGTTCAAAGAAATACCGATTTCGGTAAAAATTATACCAATCTTTAAATGAAGTTTATGAATTAATCTTTGAACTGATATACGGGGTAACTCTATTATATACTTATTTATTATCCAATCTATAGGTTAGTCTTTTGTGTAATCTATAGATCAATCTATTATTTATTATATAAACTAAAGTATTATCTAGTTTAAAAGCAAGTATATTGTCTAGTCTATAGGATAATACATTGTCTGATATATGTAGGTCTATGCATAGTCTAAAGCCGATTCCATTGTCTAGGCTAAGCACTAGTCTAAAGGTTATGCCATCGACTGCTCCTTATACTAGTCTAGTCTTAAGAAAAGTATATTGTTAGGTCTATAGGCTATTCTATAGTAGCCTATAGGCTAATATATTCCATTGTCTAGTCTATTACTAAAAAATACGGCTTGAAATTGATTACCAAAAAATATATGTAGATAGATTTGGTACAATCGGAAACAAAATAGTATTATTTTTGTACAATTTTAAAATTTTATTCTCCATCCCTGTTACGTACCTTTTCACTTCTTTATTATTTTTATCCAAAGTATAACAACCCTACAAGAACAGTGACAGTCATTTGACCGGTCATTTGACTGACACTAGTGAAGGAAATATCGATCACTGCGTAGAACAAAGTTTCTATCAAGTTCTTAAGGGCAATATGAAAAATCTGATGGAAACTTTTGTGTACATGTGATCTTGCATCTCCCTTGCACTTATGAATTCTACCGATTTTAAAACATATATTTGAGCTGCTCACTCTTTTGCTTTTTACCAATCAAGGATGATGGAAATGTTAGTCACGATTGACTAATCATTCTTTATGGATATATCCATCACAGTTGACCAATCACACTTGATGAATTTATCCGTCAAATCTGACGGCTATGCCAATTTATAATAAAACACAATTTATTAACATTTTAAGATATATATTTTTAATTTTATTAATATACATAGTAAGCATATACATAAATTAACTACCATTTCACCATTTTACATACCTCACAGAATGTAAAATCCTCCTATGCTCCTTTTAATTTTAGGAAATAAATTGTCTGTAAAGAAATGCATATAAATATTGAAATATAAAAATTAAAAGTAAATATGTATTCATATTACCACAGATAGATTAAACTCCGAAGTGTATATTCTCAGCTCCACTTCCTGCACCGTTTTTAAATTACAATAAATCTCTTTATTTTTAATAATTTTAGTCTTAAATTTTTTAATTTTTTGCTTTTTGATCTTTGGCTTTCACTGAAATAATTAATTTATGCGACGAAAACACAGTGACAGTCAAATGTAGTTGTTTCACTCTTTCATATGCAACTGAAACCCTTTATCACACATTGAGTAAATCACAGTCATTTTACCGGTCATTTGACCGTCATTATTGATGGAATTATCCATTAACTATTTTTTTTAGTAATTTTTAAAGAAAAATGTTGCAAGTGTGTTAGTAAAATCATTTTGTATGTGTTAGTTTCGGTCATACATTTCTTGTAGGGAAGTAGTCCGACTCTTTGACAGCAGTACCTAACTCTAAGCATGTGTTAGTGAAAAAGTACCTAACTCTAAATATGTGTTAGTAACAAAAATGTATTTGTATTGGTGCATTCTAA